TATAAAACAATACAATTATCACGTTTCGACTGCAACACAAGCAATCATCATCAGGTGTGAAAACCACAGCAAGAAAATATGAACTATCTCAGAATTGTTGACAACTTAGTCATTTTATATATATGCACAGGCAATACTATATGCTTTTTTTGAAAGAATCACGGAGTTTGGTTCGAAGCCACAAAAGTGCTCAGCGTGCCCTTGTCAAACATATTCCCATTCATTAGGCGATCAAATTGCAAGGTCTCAAGTGAGTGAATGAGCCATCCGGTGGAGCCCACGTTTATAGCTCAACTCCCCAGGGGTCCCATTAAACACAAGCCCAGGACCTCGTCTCTAGATGCCACTCATTAATGGCTTTCACACCGGGAATGGCCTTGGCAAAAATGCCCAAGTCCCAAAAGAAATCCACGTAGACTTTATCAACCAGAAAGTGTGGTGAATACGACAAAGTGTAAATCCCACGATTCCAAAATAATATCCGATTATATGTACTCAAACATTGTATCTTCAGCAACAATACATAACAAGACTTACGGAATGCTTTGCATGTTAAGATGACAAGACCATTCTTGAATTGGCAACCACATTTCTGCATGCAGCTTTTGTGGTGGCCACAAAACTCAAAATAGCTGAGATTGCAACATTTTTAAAATTCAGATAGTACAAAGACAAGGCAGCTGTATACTGGTTTCACACGTATTTGGACTCCTCAGACAGCATATCCATCATTGCCTGCCGCTCGTACGAGTGAATGCGCCATCCGGTGAAGTCCAAGTTAATAGCGATTCCCCAGGGCTCTTATTCAACCCAGCAACAAGTCCATGGCAACACACTGTTATCAAGTAAATGGTAATGTTGAATATACTGTTGGATGAAGGCCTCACTACGCCGTGTCAGCCATGGGAGTTTGTCTGATCACACTTCTCCACACTGGTCCATGCAAGTTGGTGAATTCACATTTAATACCGAAAATAAATCCGTGCGGCTCTGGAGGCGGAAGGTAATGTGACATATCCAAGCAGTTGTGCAAATCCTTGGATTCCGAAATAATATTTCTTTGCTCTCTTACAAAAAAAATACAACCATAACAACTGGCTATTGTGGACGTAACTTGATTAAACACACTGTCCATGGGAGGGCTCTCCGAAATGGTGATCTCAGGATGTACAGTGAGGGAAAAAAGTATTTGATCCCCTGCTGATTTTGTACGTTTGCCCACTGACAAAGAAATGATCAGAATAACAACAACAAAATCCAGATAAACGCATGTCAAAAATGTTATAAATTGATTTGCATTTTAATGAGGGAAATAAGTATTTGACCCCTCTGCAAAACATGACTTAGTACTTGGTGGCAAAACCCGTGTTGGCAATCACAGAGGTCAGACGTTTCTTGTAGTTGGCCACCAGGTTTGCACACATCTCAGGAGGGATTTTGTCCCACTCCTCTGTGCAGATCTTCTCCAAGTCATTAAGGTTTCGAGGCTGACGTTTGGCAACTCAAACCTTCAGCTCCCTCCACAGATTTTCTATGGGAGTAAGGTCTGGAGACTGGCTAGGCCACTCCAGGACCTTAATGTGCTTCTTCTTGAGCCACTCCTTTGTTGCCTTGGCCGTGTGATTTGGGTCATTGTCATGCTGGAATACCCAACAACGACCCATTTTCAATGCCCTGGCTGAGGGAAGGAGGTTCTCACCCAAGATTTGACGGTACATGGCCCCGTTCATCGTCCCTTTGATGTGGTGAAGTTGTCCTGTCCCCTTAGCAGAAAAACACCCCCAAACCATAATGTTTCCTCCTCCATGTTTGATGGTGGGGATGGTGTTCTTGGGGTCATAGGCAGCATTCCTCCGCCTCCAAACACGGCGAGTTGAGTGGATGCCAAAGAGCTCCATTTTGGTCTCATCTAACCACAACATTTTCACCCAGTTGTCCTCTGAATCATTCAGATGTTCATTGGCAAACTTCAGACGGGCATGTATATGTGCTTTCTTGAGCAGGGGAACCTTGCGGGCGCTGCAGGATTTCAGTCCTTCACGGCGTAGTGTGTTACCAAATGTTTTTTTGGTGACTATGGTCCCAGCTGCCTTGAGATCATTGAAAAGATCCTCCCGTGTAGTTCTGGGCTGATTCCTCACCGTTCTCATGATCATTGCAACTCCACGAAGTGAGATCTTGCATGGAGCCCCAGGCCGAGGGAGATTGACAGTTCTTTTGTCTTTCTTCCATATGCGAATAATCGCACCAACTGTTGTCACCTTCTCACCAAGCTGCTTGGCAATGGTCTTGTAGCCCATTCCAGCCTTGTGTAGGTCTACAATCTTGTCCCTGACATCCTTGGAGAGCTCTTTGGTCTTGGCCATGGTGGAGAGTTTGAAATCTGATTGATTGATTGATTGCTTCTGTGGACAGGTGTCTTTTATACAGGTAACAAGCTGAGATTAGGAGCACTCCTTTTAAGAGTGTGCTCCTAATCTCAGCTCGTTACCTGTATTAAAGACACCTGGGAGCCAGAAATCTTTCTGATTGAGAGGGGGTCAAATACTTATTTCCCTTATTAAAATGCAAATCAATTTATAACATTTTTGACATGCGTTTTTCTGGATTTTGTTGTTGTTATTCTGTCTCTCACTGTTCAAATAAACCTACCATTAAAATTATAGACTGATAATTTCTTCGTCAGTGGGCAAACGTACAAAATCAGCAGGGGGTCAAATACTTTTTTCCCTCACTGTACCTACCGTGTTGTTGTTCGGTATGACGTCCGACGTTTCGCTCCACGCCGAACAACAGGCAGAATACAACCCCCAAAGAAACGCATCGGAGAGCTCCTTCGAGGTACTGAGTGCTCATTAGGAAATTAATTCAGCTCCTAAAAAAAAGTTGCCAGCACGTGGAACAAAACTCGGGGCATCAAGTTCAGCACGCGTCAGCAACCCCAAAACGTACGGGAGAGCTCCCGACTGAAATCGTGGCACCTTGAGCCCTTGAGCCACCATGGATGGGTTTTGTCGCTTCCACTTAGGGTGGCAAATGCTACCTGTATCCACCACGGGCAGAGAGCTTAGCATACACACTGTTTTACAGACACACTTCATTTTTATATTCATTTTGCCGTTGTGTTTCATGTCACATTGTGTGTAGTTTCTTTTTCCACGAAATATATTCGCGATCAAACAACAGTACCGGGTACCCTCTTTAACGACAATGTTTCTCATAAATAGCTACCACCGCGACCCTGCTATCATAGTTATATGTAACTTAGAAAATGCTACGCGAAAATCATTGTTAGCCTTCGTCACCATGGGTGGTACCGATAAACCAAGGGCTCAACAAGGACCAGACATTACATTGTGTCCACAATTAGTAAACCTGCAATAATGGCACTTGGCGATACGTGATGAACACATTTTATTGTCTGATGATTAAACATACGTGTAAATAATCTTGATTTGAAGCTTTCGTGACTGCAGGAATGCAAATTCCAGCTCTCTCGCCTACTTCAGTATTTTTTCTTGCTGTGGTTGTTCCACCTGATGAGGACTGCTTGTGTTGCGATCGAAACGTCGTAATTTGTTTTATTTGATTTCTACCTACGTGACTTTACCGAAAGAACCAAAGAGTATACTGTACTTGTAAATAAATGTTTGGCAAACCCACAGCTTTCACGGGTTAAGCGCAAGTCGTCGTAAAACTGGCGGTGGTTACCTCTGCTTGCTCGTTACCTTGTGTGAGCCATACCTGTTGCTCAGGGTGCACAAAGACAAACAGCCACCGTTCGGACTTCAGTACTGTGCTGTTAGCGAGCACCTTTTAAGTCGGGATTTCGTTTGGCCAGTGAAGAGCAAACCCTTTGAGATGCAGTTCCCCATTATAACCGAGGTCGCCACAGCGGAGAGCCCGGCTGCACCACAGAGCGGGCAGGCGGGCAGAGGCGAACTCGTGGTGCTGTGGCGCCCCCTGGACACATTCACGGAACTTGCCACTGGTGGGCGGTGTTGTAGTGCACTGCGTACGAACGAGGAATCCGCGCAGCCGAGTTCGAATTCCCACCACGGCCGATCATCAGTGGCGAGTGATGGCTGAATCTTGTCCTGGGACACCCGCTTCACGCACTGATCAGCGTGGTGAAGTATGAGTTGTGACCGACACGGTTATGTGTAAGGACACCATTTTTGGGCAATACCTCTTTTAAAAAATGGAACTCGCTTTAATCTTGTACCACTGAGCTGGGTGCAGTCCAAACTCAGTATATGCAGTGCCGGATTATCCTCGTAGTAAAAGTGGCTACATATGTAGTAGCTACGGGCCCCGCACTTTCAAGGGCCCCGCGCTAAATGCTTTCAAGCTCTCAATTCCGGTTCAGTGATTCTGCACTTGCTCAATTACTGTAGTACTATACTGCCTTCAACTTTATGAACGACCGGGTGTTTAAGGTTAGCGATTTGTCGTATTGTCTGGCTGTATAGCAAATTTAAAATACAATTACTTTACTATGCAGGTAAAAAATGTATGTGTTTTAATATTTATTTGTGTTTTTTTAGGGCCCCTTTATAAACATATGCGACAGGCCCCGAGCCAGCTTAATCCGGCATCGGTTATGACCGACATTGTGTGGAGGGACACCATTTTTGGGCAATACCTCTTTTAAAATTGGAACTCGCTTTAAACTTGTACCACTTAGCTGGGTGCGGTCCCAACTCAGTATACGGATTGATTAACAGTGGCTGTTAATGTGAAATGTAGGCAGTTTCAGTTGATCATGAGAGTAATTGGGTACAACTTAAGAACGCGGGATAAAACTGGATTATACACGGAAGCAATAGAACTACAATCAAGTCTCCACAGAAGAATACAAAAATCCATTTGCTGTGGTGCCATCTCCTGCCCACCACGCATCCGCAGTGAGTTTGGAAGTTTCACCACTCTCTGTGCGATCCACCAATCCTTGCCTCCAACAATGAAATCTTTCCAAGAAACATCACGCAGTCAACAGATCACATTTCGACGGTTTATTAGAAAATGTTAATCAACAAAGCAATCGAAATTTAAAGCAGGGCTTTGTTTCCGATGGAGCTCCGGAAAATGAATTTTAACTCTCGACCCCAGCTGGCCGGGGACAGGTGGAGAAGGGGGTTGGGCTTAAAAAAACGTCTTGTTACATACAACATTAAATAATACAGTGAGACAATTTAACATTTTTTCACATACATATACAATATAAAGAAAGGTTTACTATGTTTAAAAAAAAAGACGGCAGTTTTTTATTAATTACAGTGTGACAGGTGTCAACTTTTAAATACTGTATGAATGCACACTTTTCATTTAACGTACACGATATCTGGCATACTTTGTCTTCAAAGTCTTTCGCCAAAGAATGATTGCATTTACAACGTTGAAGATGTAAAACGCCCTACCAAATGTATGAAGCCTGCGTGTTCGCTTCAATATCGATCTGTGCCGAGGTATGTCTCCACTTTTGCTTCCTACCTACATCAGGTGTCGCTGATACATGACTGCAAGCACAGCGATGATTTGACAAAACACTCGGCATGGTCTGGAACTCCATTCCCCCAATAATGTCCAGGCCTTCAAGACATTCCCTCTTTCCTCTTCCTATGACTGATATCCTCTCTCTAGAGAATACAAATGCGCACTTTTGCTGTGCAGTGTTTTTGAGATGCAGTTGCATTCAGAATCTTAAGAAAATTCATGTTATTGAAAGCGGTATTGTACTGGGACGTAAATGACATGAAAACAATATTTAACATTCAGCATTCTGGTCGACTTGCACCCATGCATCTGTCATAGGGCTAGAGACCGACATCTCCCTCCAAAGGAGACCCACATCTCAACTACAATCATGACTTAAAATACTGTACTGATGCTCCAAAATAAAAAAAAATAATTACATTCTTCTTTGTGTATGTTGGTTAGAACTTCTTTCGCACCGTATGTAGCCAACCGTGCTGATCGGAGGTGCGGCCTACTCTTATAAATATAAAATGTTCCATGAACACAAAAAGTGACATTCACGCACACGAAGTAATTTAAAGGGCTGCAAAGCAAAAACGTAAATTTCATGGTTAGGAACTTAAGTTCAGTGGCCATCCTTACTTTGAACAATACCAATCACGATGAATATTCGACTCACAGTCAATCAAGCAACCAATATTAATTTGACGTGCCAATATCGCCCTCAATAAAGTAAGCACCAGTGACGCCCCGAGACTAAACTGCACTCTGAGCTTGAAGCTGAGGATTCAACTTTCAGTGCAAATATTCCAGGAACCACAAGTTACCATGCACCATCATGGTGAGACGCCGCAATGGCAGTTACTGGAAATAATTCCATCACAGTACAAAAGTAAGCCTGGTTACAATTGCATATACACATACAGTATAACGTGCAACAACGCATTGGAGGCTGGTCTGTATTGAACGGTTGGCTACGTATGGTGCGAAAGATGTTCAACATACATACAATCATAACACACACAAAACACTCACAAAATATACACCATCAATCACGAAATGCACACAATCAATATAAAAGATTGGGGCAGCATCCCACCCAAAAAAAATATTGAAAAAAAATAAATTTTGATTTAAAGCTTTATATTTTTATTATTTTATTGTTTCCCTTCTATGTGACTTTACCGAAAGAACCAAGAATATTTCAGAGAAATAATCAATAAAAAATGTTTTACAAAGTTATACTTTTTTTTACATGCAGCTAATTTAAATCTATCTGAATGTTTTGCCGGTATGAATCAGTTCAGATAGAATCAAATACAAATTTTGTATCCAAATATAGGGATGCATAATTAAGCATCTCATTGGCCATTCAAACGACTCTTCCCAAAAAAATAGCTAAAGGAATGTCAAATATTTCGCCGGCTGTGGCTCATAACAAGCCACCGTTCTAGGGCCCCTTATATAGGGACTGTCACCTTACTTGCTGCCATAAAACATCTGATCTACCACTCATAACTTCAGTAAATAGCATGTACTTCATAGTATGGTCAATTCTGCTCAAGTTTGTTTGTGCTAATAACCACTGAGTAAGGCTGCGGTGCTTCCTCATATATTCTGCTCTTCACGAGAGCTTCGATGAGCTTCAAGTAAGATATCATTTCACTTTCGATGGGGTGACGTCTGGGACCTGGGAAGAAAAAAAAACATTTTAAACGTCAGAAAAGACTTGTAAGCATACTGTAATACTGTAATACTCTCTTGACCAAGCCGCACTGCTGAGCGTGGTAAAGCATGTTAAACAAAACTCCACGACCAACAGCGTGGGGAGGCCTTCTTCTGCCAGTGGATTAACAAATCACTGTTAATCGTTAATTTGCAATGATGACTATGAGTAATGAATGACACTGACGTTTCCCGTAATCGTGATGCAACTTTCAGTAATGCAGCCAGTCACGCCTGACTTGTAAACTTTTCGATTTAAACCACATTTCGACATTTCCTCCACATAACTTGTTCGAAATGCAAATACAATCCACTTTTAAAAGTATATTTTTCTCTTGTTAAGATTCTTTCAAGCCAAGAATCCAAAGTGCCAGCGTGATAGAAACTTCCGTACTTTCAGTATCTTAATCTGCCTGATATATCACCCACGTTTCTACACAGATATCGACAATCCAGATTAACATTGCGTGGTATTATAGGTATGTCCCATGATGCATTGCACTCTGAACATCTTTCACCTTAGTTTGCATTTCGAGCACAGTTTACTTCAGTTTCATTTAACCAATTGCCAAGTTTCAAAAAGAATAACGGTTTTTTTTATTCATTCTACATCGTGCCTTTGACCAAATCACCCAGAATGCACCAAATCTCGGAAACCAAGCAAGGTTGAGCCTAGAGTGTGCTTGGATGAGTAATGGGTAACCACCAAACACAAGAGCTTGACATAGACTGGGGCTATGTGGTGGGCAGCAGAGGGCAGTGTAGCTAAATCCATTGTTATAAAGTATTACTGTATACTTCTATGCTCTCACGTCTATTGCTCCTCGTCTTCAGCAACCCGCACAGACCAGCGTGGCGAAGTGTGGTCAAGTAACCCCCAAAACCCGCATGGCATGGGGAGGCCCAGAATCCAGGGCTGGGACATATTACGTAATATTCAGGACATACTTCTTTGTTGGTATTTTCTGTTGAAGAGTGTCTATTGCAATGTTGTTAGGGCAAGGTGATGTCGTGTGGCTTCACCTGTTGAGTAATTTGCTGACGAGGGCCTTCACCCATGGGGCAGCTGGACTCAGACAGATCTTTTGATCTATATTTGTTTTGAGGGTCGCACTGTCAACAAAAAGCATCAGGCATTTTATGAGCACATTGTAGCCTTTCATTACTGTACAATGTGTGTTATCTATTTAAGAGACATCACACATTTGACCTAATTATACAATACTGACAGAAAAACTAATTTGTATTTTTTTTACGAATATCATTCACAATTAAAATGCAAGCCTGCTCTTAATTGTTGTATCCATGAGAGATAATGATCTGCTTTCAAATACTTTCTAAAACAAACAGATTCAGCTTTTACAACACTTATACTTAGATACTTTCTTTCTCCCTTTAATAAAAAAAGTGCCATGAAGGAAGCTCCATCGGTGCAAACAGTGCAACACACACACCATGACACATAACAGTGCAACACACACACCATGACACATAACAGTGCAACACACACACCATGACACATAACAGTGCAACACACACACCATGAAACATAACAGTGCAACACACACACCATGAAACACAACAGTGCAACACACAAACCATGACACATAATAGTGCAACACACACACCATGACACACAACAGTGCAACACACACACCATGACACATAATAGTGCAACACACACACCATGACACATAACAGTGCAACACACACACCATGACACATAACAGTGCAACACACACACCATGACACATAACAGTGCAACACACACACCATGACACATAACAGTGCAACACACACACCATGACACATAACAGTGCAACACACAAACCATGACACACAACAGTGCAACACACACACCATGACACATAACAGTGCAACACACACACCATGACACATAACAGTGCAACACACACACCATGAAACACAACAGTGCAACACACACACCATGACACATAACAGTGCAACACACACACCATGACACATAACAGTGCAACACACAAACCATGACACACAACAGTGCAACACACACACCATGAAACACAACAGTGCAACACACACACCATGACACATAATAGTGCAACACACACACCATGACACATAACAGTGCAACACACAAACCATGACACATAACAGTGCAACACACACACCATGACACATAACAGTGCAACACACACACCATGACACATAACAGTGCAACACACACACCATGACACATAACAGTGCAACACACACACCATGACACATAACAGTGCAACACACACACCATGACACATAATAGTGCAACACACAAACCATGAAACATAACAGTGCAACACACACACCATGACACACAACAGTGCAACACACACACCATGACACACAACAGTGCAACACACACACCATGACACACAACAGTGCAACACACACACCATGAAACACAACAGTGCAACACACACACCATGACACATATCAGTGCAACACACACACCATGACACACAACAGTGCAACACACACACCATGAAACACAACAGTGCAACACACACACCATGACACACAACAGTGCAACACACACACCATGAAACACAACAGTGCAACACACACACCATGACACATATCAGTGCAACACACACACCATGACACACAACAGTGCAACACACACACCATGACACATAATAGTGCAACACACACACCATGACACATAACAGTGCAACACACACCATGAAACAACAATGCAACACACACACCATGACACATAACAGTGCAACACACAAACTATGAAACAACAGTGCAACACACACACCATGACACATAACAGTGCAACACACAAACTATGAAACAACAGTGCAACACACACACACCATGACACACAACAGTGCAACACACACACCATGACACATAACAGTGCAACACACACACCATGACACATAACAGTGCAACACACACACCATGACACATAACAGTGCAACACACAAACCATGACACACAACAGTGCAACACACACACCATGACACATAACAGTGCAACACACACACCATGACACATAACAGTGCAACACACACACCATGAAACACAACAGTGCAACACACACACCATGACACATAACAGGGCAACACACACACCATGACACATAACAGTGCAACACACAAACCATGACACACAACAGTGCAACACACACACCATGAAACACAACAGTGCAACACACACACCATGAAACATAATAGTGCAACACACACACCATGACACATAACAGTGCAACACACAAACCATGACACATAACAGTGCAACACACACACCATGACACATAACAGTGCAACACACACACCATGACACATAACAGTGCAACACACACACCATGACACATAACAGTGCAACACACACACCATGACACATAACAGTGCAACACACAAACCATGACACATAACAGTGCAACACACACACCATGACACATAACAGTGCAACACACACACCATGACACATAATAGTGCAACACACAAACCATGAAACATAACAGTGCAACACACACACCATGACACACAACAGTGCAACACACACACCATGACACACAACAGTGCAACACACACACCATGACACACAACAGTGCAACACACACACCATGAAACACAACAGTGCAACACACACACCATGACACATATCAGTGCAACACACACACCATGACACACAACAGTGCAACACACACACCATGAAACACAACAGTGCAACACACACACCATGACACACAACAGTGCAACACACACACCATGAAACACAACAGTGCAACACACACACCATGACACACAACAGTGCAACACACACACACACCATGAAACACAACAGTGCAACACACACAGCATGACACATATCAGTGCAACACACACACCATGACACACAACAGTGCAACACACACACCATGAAACATAACAGTGCAACACACAAACTATGAAACAACAGTGCAACACACAAACCATGACACATAACAGTACAACACACACCATGACACATAACAGTGCAACAGACACACCATGACACATAACAGTGCAACACACAAACCATGACACATAACAGTGCAACACACACACCATGACACACAACAGTGCAACACACACACCATGACACATAACAGTGCAACACACACACCATGACACATAACAGTGCAACACACACACCATGACACATAACAGTGCAACACACACACCATGACACATAACAGTGCAACACACACACCATGACACATAACAGTGCAACACACACACACCATGACACATAACAGTGCAACACACACACCATGACACATAACAGTGCAACACACACACCATGACACATAACAGTGCAACACACACACCATGAAACATATCAGTGCAACACACACACCATGACACATAATAGTGCAACACACACACCATGACACATAACAGTGCAACACACACACCATGAAACATAACAGTGCAACACACACACCATGACACATAACAGTGCAACACACCATGACACATAACAGTGCAACACACCATGAAACAACAGTGCAACACACACCATGAAACACAACAGTGCAACACACACACCATGAAACATAACAGTGACTGTGTTAAGCAAACGAGGCGAGGGTGCTGGGAGAGGCAATGAGCTGGGTGCTCTGTTTATCCAGCACTGAATTATGAGCCTGCAATATGTGGATAAACACACTACTATTGCCTTCCCAAATCCAGGGGTGACCCGTGACAGAAGGTCGGAATGTGACCCTCTTATGAAAACTCCCCCAAGCCAGGCTTGATGGTCAGACCATTAAGCTGCCGAGGGCTTTAAAGCTGAACTCAACTAATGGCGCGCGGTGAGACTTCGTCTGGACATTCCAACTGGGGAGATGGGTGGGGAGTGGTGGAATCAGCGTATGTGCGGGTCTTCAGTTTATTTTGTTTAACCAGGTGAGACCTCACGAGAGCAATATAGTCTCGTTTGCACGAGTGGCTTGGGTCACCAGCTTTGAAGGTCGACTATTACACTGCACGATTCTGTTCGCCGAAGCCTTCATCTAGCAGTGGATTGACCATGGACGATAATGACGATGACGAAGAGCTGCTCTCAACTCACATGACTTCCACTTTGTTGCAGCGCGAACTCTTGGGAATCACTTCGATGTTTCTCAGCATCTTCACGGGGATGAAGTTCGATGATGATGTAATGCACAGGCATCGTGGGTTTGGCGCAGCTAAAACACCCACACGTGACGAGGGAAAGTCTGGTTACACGTTTAATTTCACGAATGTATCGTTTGTAGCTTTGGAAGAAAAAAAAACACGACTTCAATTCACATTGAGGTCAAATACTTGACACACTTATAGTGTTTTGATCCCAATTAAGCTTTTAATGTTAAGTCGCATTCAATCTATTGCTGATTAATACAGCACTATAGATATTATCACATTTATTTTCATGTTTTTAAGAGCAATGGTCGACGACAGTATATATGCAGAAACAGACAGCCTCGCCTAAATAAGTCAATACATTGTGCAGGTACATACTACAAGAACATCCCTTTATACATACAATCTTAAAAAAAAATAACAACTCTGAATTCATGAGCATACACTAATAATTTACCTTGAGAGTATTTCATGCACAGCATCAGGCACACGAGAAGTGAAGACACTGCAAGCTTCATTTTCGTTTGGATCTCAGTTGAGTCTTGGAGTGAATTATCTTTCTGCTTCTTGCTGTGTCTGGCTAAGGGGCACTCAGAGCGTGGCTTTTATGTTGTTCTGCATGGTGACGCAAACCCTCCCTCGGCCTCTTGCACACTTACCCCAGCCCCCCGTCTCTCTGGGCCTCGTCTCCCAAAGCCCCCTCTACAACGACGGGAATTCCACCGGCAGCAGACGAAATATGGCACCAGATCCACTGAACTTGGAGCGACGCAGTAAATTTCCCCAAACAATTCTTGAACGAAAGTGAGCAAAGTACATCGGGGTTTATATACACATACTTTCACCGCGCCGTGCGAGTTGGTGAAATCAGTGAGCAGAGACAAACAAAAGTATAAATATTTGAGAAGAATACAACAAAATTGCCAAAATAAATTAAGCGGTTCAACATTTGTCCATAAAAACATAGGATTTGGTATTGCATGTCATTGGAAGGGATGATTATTACTGGTTGTCAAGAATAGCAATGGAGTAAAAGCCAAGTCAGAATGCCCGAGGTAAAGTGCTTAAATCAGCTCGTGTGCAAGTGCTAGCTGGATTGTTTCATCGTAGGACTGTGAGATCCCGATGACTTTGGAAGGCCTTCATCCAGTAGTGAATCGATCATTGTTCATGATGATCAAGACTGACATTTGGTTATTGATTAGACAGCCATATCCGTTATTAAATATTTCATTATTGTTATTTGGTGCTAGCAGTTTAAATCATTCACACATTTATAAATGTGTATGAACAGTGATGTTGCATCCGTTCATTCCGAAAGTCCCACGATCACATTTTTGGATTTTTCCCAATCACCGGAATTTCCCAGGGCAATATGTTTTGCCGTGGCTGCTCTCCAGCGCACATCTTGGAGTTGCTCCATATGGAAAGAAGTAATTAATTATAAGATACTGGAGGAGCTTAGAACAATAGGCTTGAAATAATAACCGAAAAGTTCCGGTGATGTGGGGGATTTCCATTGCTGCTGGTATTTTATTTTTACTTTAGGTGCTTCACTAGAAACTCTAGGTCAAATAAGATGTTTTAAATAATCTACCTTAAACGCATTGACGCTATGTTTTATATATGAGGCGCATACAGAGAGGTTTTTTTTTTACTTTTTACATGCCACGTCTGCCTGGTGGCTAGCTTGTTATATATTCACATGAGGAATTTAATACCTAAGCACAATTAAACAAATCATACAATCATTGTCTTAAAATTTGTCATTCCACTGCAGAGTGAAAGCCTGTGCTTGCTGTACCAGTCATCGTGATTGTTTGACCATACTTCACCATGCTGGTCAAAGATAGTTGGTGATGAAAAATAAATATATTACGTTCAAAAATCAAAAGTCAGTGGATTTCTGCTCATCTCCTCTTTGTAGCCCTAAGCCAGTGGTGGATATTCCACATTTCAATAGGCAGGGGTAAGTCTATCCATATAATAATTTGCTTATTTATTCAGGAGAGCCACACTCAGTCAGAACACCCTTTCTCGGGAGAGTGTTGTGTTGGGTTTTTATCGTACGATTTTTTCCCAGCCAATTAATGACGAGTGTTTATATAAGTGGGAGAAAACTAGAGCACTCGGAGAAAACCCACACGCACGAGGGGACAACACTCAATTTCCGTACAGATGGAAAGAAATTGAAATTAGTCCACTTGCTGTACTGTTTTGATGGGCCAGGGTATATGGCACTCCAATGCCCACAGGAGAGGAGTTTCACAAGATTTGTGCGAACCACCAACCCTCGATGCCTCCACGGTGCTGGATTACAGACGTGCGCCACCATCGCCCGGTACTGTTGACTTCCCCACGAAGTGGTATTTAACTTTATCGACCCTGGAGTGATAATGGGCTCAGTCGATTCTCAAACAGGATTTGCATTTGCAACCTTCAAAATCCGTGCCACTCGCTCTACTGCTGAGGTGCCTCTATTGATATAGATATTGATTTAATGCAATTATTAAGCGTGGGTGATGTGTGCACACATCTTGCACATAATTGCAGAAAAGCTAACGGTAATGCAACTTTACAACTTCAAAGGTTGCAACATGAAAGCATTAAACAAGTATCAATTGTCTGCATGGTGTTAATGTCCATCTTGTATTCCTGAAATAATAATCGCACGTCGATGAATACAAAGTACTCGTGGCACGGCCATAGTGAGTTATAGCATGCCTATTAACACCTGATGTTGTGCTATAATTGTTTAGGTATTTCAGCCGTGATATGTTAGGCCTGAAAATTGAGCAGCTCCAATTTCCCTGTGACCCCCGCCCCCTGATCCAGTAAAACACTGGCATTGGGTGCACCGTTTTAATTTCGGGAAAACATAAGTGAGAGCACATTCCGGGTGGGATAGTTACTTGGGTGAAAGCTCTCACATAAATTCTGGGAAATTCCTTTCACTTCTTGTGAAGCGAACAAGGCCAAAACATGTCTTAAATTAATACAGTACTTGGTTGTGTGCTGCTACAAACATTTCGAGGCATCTGAGCTGTGGCTGTGACCGAGGAGGCCACAATCCCACTTCAGCTTCTGCCATCAGTGCCAAGACAGTGGCAGATAACGTTTAGTGCATTCCAACATTCGTACGGTGGAATATAAATGGGAACACACGAAGCGTGCTAGTCTCTTTTTGGGCCAACCACTAAATCATTTTGAAATAGAGAGGTTTGGATTCATGTGTCAAGCAGACACGCTAAAATCGTTAGCGTGGCGGTTGCGGTGTTTTGAGAGGCCTTGTGTGTGGATGTCACGGCACCCCTCAATCTGTCCAGCTTGTAATGTTTTAATGCTTTCTTTCGTGACTTGCATTTAGTGCGTATTTTGTTTGTGTAATGTTTATGTTTAGTACGGTGTCTTGAGATGCTTTTGTATTACGATGCTTTATAAATTCGGATTATTACTATTAAATTAAATCTCACCAGTGAATCGTATGCAAGTAAAACTCTCCAGTTGTATATAAGCAGTGTAAGTAGTAATTGTTAAAATGAAGCAATTAGCGGGACCCCGGGGTCCCATCACTGCCCCGGGGTGGGAAAAACCGCGTAGCGACACGAGTCTTGCCTTACCGACAACAAAACTAGCGGTCAATCGATTGGCCTCGTCGAGAGCTACTCGGGGCACTAAGTTTCGTAAAAAGTTGAAAAATTACATAAACACGTTAAATTTACTGCCTGGGGGGCGGGCTCGCCTTGGCAGAGAAACTGAGGATCGACGGCTGACCGGAGGGCGTCGTCGCCGCGCGCGACTGCGGCGGACGCCCCCCGGGGCTCGCGTTTGGCCGGTGGGGTGGCGCCCGTCGTGTCGATCGCCGCCTGCTGCTGGCGCTTGTTGGCGCGGCGAGTCTGGGCGGGCGGCGCGTTGCTGTCGTCGTCCAACTCGGCGACGAGATTGGGCGGGATGGCTGGGTAGTAGTCGAGGCAATCGGCGGGGACCGAAAAGTACTTCTTGGTGATCACGAGTGGGCAGAATGAAAAATTATAATTATTCACCTGATTTTTGCTGGACCCCGGGGTCCCGCCAAATGATTCAAATGTCAGTTTCACTTCACGTTTTGTGAATAAATTCTCCAGTTTACATTTCACATTATTTACTGTGGTCAATAAGCAGCAAATTCTAGGGGCTGGTTGAAATATTAACCCATTCACCACGTTAGCAGAACCACAGCGGGTCCAACTAAACTGTACGTTTATGAGCACTCGTTGAAAAAATATATAAAGTTTGTGTCATTGATAGCAGTCATCCAAAAAGTCATGAAATATATACAATATACAGTATAGATGTTTTGGAAAATGTTTTATTAAATACAAAATAACTTAACATAGTTGAAGCGACATTCACTTTGATGCATGTTTGTCCCTGCAGATAAACAATTTTTAAAAATATATAAAATGTAATAAGAGTACCAATACTTTTTTTTAAACGTTGAAAGCATGAAAAAATGAATTTCTGAACACATGAGTGTTTGTAATAATAAATATATAAATAAACATTTCGGATCACCCCGTCAATTAATTTCAACAATCATAATACTTTAATCTTTGTTTAGATATTTCGGCTGCGATCTCTGTTACAAATATTAAATACAAATGGGTAAAGTGCTGACACAGGTTTCAAGCAACCTAGAAATATGAAAAATGTATAATTTTTACATATACACATTTTTAACCTTTGTTAATAACTTAACGAATAGTGACAAGAGTTCACATGCTCATTTTTACGCCACTGTTACATTGTCTTTACACATCTGGAGTATAAACTGGCTCCAACTGTGACTGGGATCTTCACAAAGAACAAGGATGGGAGCCTTCAGCTCTGCATCGGGCGCGTGGTGGCTTGGCATTGGCGGTTTCTCTTGGCGTTGGAGTTGTCAGTGCTGGTCACGGCGTGGGTTTGGGTGTCTGAGCCCTGGAAAAACACAGCAGAGCAACGCACGTCACTCAGCGCCCGGACACGGCAAGTAAAACATAGCAAGCACAGTAGCTGTGTTATGGTCGAAACGTCGTGAGAATTTTTATTGTTTCATGTATATTTTATTGTTTCCCTTCAACGTGACTTTACCGAAAGAGCTAAGAATATGAATTACTGCAGTCACGAAAGCGTTAAATCAAAATTTAAAGCACAGTAGCTGTTGAGAAATATTAAAACAGTATTGAAAATGCAACCTATGTGTTTTTTTAAAGACATTGCTATTAAATGTGTATCAATGGTACACTTTCTTAGACTCAACCCTTGAATATTGTAAACACATACGAAGAGATGTTTACAATACACGTGATCCAGTTTACAGCGATAGATACAATACTCATAATTTGCAACCCTTTGTAGATCTTCTGCTGGGTGAAGACCTCCCACCACCGTGTCAGTCATGGGCGTTGCTTGTTTCACAATACGGTGGTAGATAGTGAAACTCATATTGTGGGTGACTGGAAGAAGGCCAGAGCAGGCCCTTGGGAGTTTATCAGTGACCACAGGTGTTGTGACTCACCCGTCCAAAATGTGGCTGATCACCTTCCTCACCCAGGGGGCATCAGGGTTCAGGCAGATCTGGTTTTTGGTGGATTTCATCGTCACGCTGCAAGACAGAATAGGACACATCATGAGATGCACTCTCACAGTATTGAATGTTACGCATAGACCTGTACGTTGCTTTGGAACGCGTAATATAATGTAACAATAAATTATGTTCATGATGATTTAATAAATTCTCATTATTGCTACATATCCCGACATGTTTTGTTTCACTCACTCACCATCAGTATGCTTTATCAATATGTATGTACAATAGAATTAGTTTAAACACAGGTGAAACAGAGGGTTTCTCTTACATGATTTCCACATTCTTGCAGTTGGAGCTCTGTGGAATGACCTCCATTGTCTGGAAATGCTTGGGATGGATGAACTTGGATATCACGTGTACGCACTGACACCGTCCTCCCCCGAATACGGACATCGCTGCAACAATAAATGATACACAGGGTCAAACATTAACACAAGCCGAGCCACAGAGCCGATGAATCACAACATACATTTTATTGGTAAAGTTTTTGCTTCGTATCTCTCAAGAAACTGTTGTCCTACATATATATTTGTCAACAGACATGAATTAAAAAAAAACTTTTAAAAGTCAAGCCTACTTTAACCAGTCGGGGAACTTAAACGCGAACGTTGTAAAATAACTCACCCTGCGAGTGTCCGACGCAGAGCGCCAGGGCGAGAAGCACGAAAAGCAGCTTGGCGTTCATCGTCATCTCGTGTCTTTACTTCTGTGGCAATTAGTCGCAGGAAAGAGCTCGTGATCTCTGCTCGCCTTCTGGCTTCTGATTGAGCTGCTTACCTTGACGCCCATATTTATACCCGTCCGGCCTCACGCCGTCCCGTCGCTCCTTCCACTTGTCGGAAGTTAGACCCTGTAATGGTGGGAAATTCCGCTGCCGAACGAAGAGTCGGATGCGGTCAGGCGAAAAACACGGATCCTGGAATTGAAAAGCCACATCCTCCCTCTGTCTATTACGCAATTTCTGAACCGATAACTTTACCAAGAAATGGAGATACGTTAAAAAAAACCGTATGTGATTATTTTGCTCTTGTTTTTTACTCAAAGAAATGGATAACTCACATGGGGTGTAAAATTGTAACAGAGCACACATCTTAGAAGAAACCGATAAGAACATGCTAGAAATTCTGCACGGAATATTGATACCATATTTGTTTTGTAAAAAAAAAAAATTGGTAAAAAAAAATATGGTATATCTTTTAACAAAAAATTATTATACTAAAAAATTGTGAAGTCACGAACAACAAACAACAACTTGAAAGGATGTAGCAAAATAAGCAATTGTCGCCGTATTCACAAAAAGTGGAATGCACCCAAGAGCCTAATCGCCGCAGAGATGGGTCGCTGAGATTATCTCTGCACTGATTGTTGCCTTGCAGGACCATAATGGTTTGCCATGGCTTGGGGAGGAATTCATCCAGCAGTGGATAGATCACACCTCCTGATGTTGACGATTCACTTTATAATAATGCAACAGGGAAAATGGGAGAAGGAAAGGGACACGGGTTGGAGGAGATGTAAGTGGAAGTGACGCCTTTCTCATGTGATCCAAGTTTGTGCCAATGTTTACTTTGCAGGCATCATGAGACTTTGTGAAAATTATCTGCTGTTGCGTTATAGTGATATGGTGGTTTAGATATGGTCCAGCCAGTACGAAGGATCTGGAGCTGAGAGAGCTATATTTTATGAGTTTATGCATCGCCTTATTATTTCCTGCAGCTTCTTACACTGCTATTTTCCTGCCTGTATTTTTTACTACAACATAATGCAACATCGTCTGCATAACTTACGCGGTGAACATGTGTAACTATTACACTCACACTTTTACGATTAACAGTACACTTAGCTTTTTTCCCCTTCACGATTTAGCGTCTTAAATCTTACACTTTTTTTTAAGATCCATTCCTCGGAAAGCAACTCCATTTCGGGATTTTAGAAAGTTCGGAAATCCCCAGTCCTGAAACAACCGAGAACAGATGTATTGTGTGGCAGTGATCCAAACGGCGATGGGTTTCAGTGCAGTCCTGAAACAACCGAGCACAGATGCATTGTGTGGTAGTGATCCAAACAGCGATGGGTGTCAGTGCAGTGGAGCACGATATTCAACCAGGGAGTTGAGTCACTCACGCAACAATGGGTGGCATCGTCTGTGGAAGAAGATATCTTGTGCAACCACAATCAATCTGTAATGGTGTGTAATTATATAATTCGAGACGATACCACAGTAAGTAATGTGCTTGTGCTTAAAGTATGAATTCAGTAAATAAGCTCTATAACCGAATATGCATTGATTATTTGCTTGTTGTCCTGGGTCAATGGTGGAAATTCCACATTCCTTTGGCAGAGGTCAGTCTCTCCATACGATGATTGTTTGACTTCCCACACCGTGGTGTATTGATCCATCGTAAAGTATTGGCTAATTTAAAAATGCTAGTTAAACGGAAAAATAAATCATTAACATTTATTTCCCTGAATTTTTTTACTTAATGACATCGGCATGTGGTCTTAAGCTTATCAAGATGTTGCCACATCTCCCTGTTATTAAATGTCTTATCATCACCTACCCATCTCAAGGTTCACATGTCTATTCATGCACACAGTCAGTTCCCATGTCACACGTGTGCCACACCTTACTTGTGCGTCATTCCTCACGTTCACACAGCCGTGCTACTCGACCAACATGAATAAGGACTTCCAGAATGATTCAGATAATCAATTATGGGGTGATATAATTACCATAAAATGGATATGACATTTTTTTAAGATTCAGAGTTCTGAACTAGAATTTAAGCATAGTCATAAGGTAATTATCCTAGCCATAATGTACGGCTCTTTTGTCAATCCACGTCTGGACAACCCCTCCCCTATGCCATATGGGTTCTGGGGGTTATTTAACCATACTTGCCCATGCTGACAGAGCACATGATGTGGTGGTTCACTGATTCAAGTACTAACCGGGCTGAAAGCTGCTTAGCTTCCAAGATGTTACGAGATTGGGTGAATTGTGTGATTTGGTTATAGTTTTCCACTAATGTGAATTTGAGTTGCAAAACTTCTGTATTCTTTAAAAGCACACAGCCTTCATTTTGCATGTCCATTAACTGAATGAATATGCTAAGCCGTTCCTTATGTATGTACAGGAAAATGTCGCAGTGTTTCTGTACATGCTATATGAATGTGCTATAAACATGCAGCAATAAAGCTGGTAAAGAACGGACAAAGGTGGCGAGAGTTCTTCCAGTCCCATTGTTGCTCTTGCCAGGAAGGAAAAGTATAGGTGGAATTATATAATTTTATTCTAGTTACAAGCTTACAATTTCGCTGAAAGTATTTAAACAAGTATTATGTGTGTAGAAACCGAGTCACGTTTCGCAATTGTGCCTCTGCCCAAGCAATTACTTTGAGGCTTCCTGTCAAAGGGTGTCATTTCCTCATTGAATAAATATTGAAAACGCCTAATCCGTTTGACCACATGCAACTAAGTGAGAAGAGCAGATCGATGTGGGTGGCACTTAGATATAAGTTCATAAAAGACAGCTAATCTCTCATTTGTGCATGAAGAAAAACAAAGTGCCATTGACGCATTGGAATTTTTTGTATGCACAAAAAACTCGAGATAAGTTGGTGTTTAAGCAATATAACATGCGCCAAGCTTCGGCAACAACGTGACGAAGTAAACATGTGCAATACTTATGTGTCGGCAAATATTAATAACAAACAGCTGTGCAATGATTAACAAACAGAGCAATGATGCTGACTTCCTGAGTTCAGTTCGTAGCCATGGCTAACATCAGTGGTGATATCTGACTCAATCCTGGATCCCTCCTATACTTACCGGCACTGACTAGCGTGGTGAAGTTAAATAATCCCCATGACCAATGTGGCATGAAGAGGCCTTTATCCAGTAGTGGGTTATAGTAACACAGGACAGTTATTTTATTTTAATTGTTAATTGACTGAAGTTGTATTCCCTACATGCAGGCCGCATCTGAAACCAATGAGCACGTAAGCTAAGGATAAACCAAGGTTATTCCTTGTTGAGGCAAATTTTTGATCGAATTTTAGATTCATAGATTCATGTCCATATCCTATCAAAGCCTGAATAAAAATATCAAAATAATACAGTTACAATACAAGACAATTTGCATTCACTGTATAAAGCATCAGCATAAGATGGTATTTCAAGACACTTACGTATAAATATGTATTTGGAAAACGCGCATCTGGAGAGTTTGAAGAATAGGGTGTTTCATGATGATTGTTGAGCATGGAAAGAGAAGTAGATTTCTCCAGACCAGGCAAACAGTTGAGATGACATTATGGTAGAAGTCAAAATGAAAACACTTTATGGAAGTGTGGTTGGCAGAATGGTTGACATGGGCTCTCGTGGAAGCAATGATATGGATCCCCTTGTCCAATTACCTCCATTTTCATAACCTGGTAAACGAGGGCCCAGTTCAGTTGTATCACCTGCACAGTCCATTGCCATGCCACTGCTTTGTAGGTAGAAACAGTTATTATCAAGATCAAGCAAGCAAAAAGGCATGTTGATTAATCACCAAATATGTCCAAGTGGGCCAATATTAAGAATATCTTGAGACAGTCATGGCAATCATGAGACCAAGCCCTGTAATGTTGGAGTGGGGAACTTGTGAAGTCACTGTAGGAAGTGGTCAAATGATGTGTAAATTAATTATCAATCTTTTAGAACTTTGGCCAGATAATCACATTTACTTCCTTTTATGGACAAAATATTTTTAAAAAATTACTGATTGACAGCATTTACAGGATTTTATTTTAAATTCTGGCATTATGTGACTTAAATAATAAAATACAGGCAGACCTTGTCAAACGCGGGAGTTATGTTCCTGGAAAACATTTTGTTGGGCAAAACTGCGTTTGACAAATCATCGACCTTACGGCAAAATAGGTTTGTATTTCTTGGTCTGAAATGATCACCCCCCCCTCCCTCTTTGTTTAAACAATTATACAGTACAAGATTCCTGCTCTTGTTATTGCACTGCAATACATGATGCCGCGTTGCTCTCCGTGTCTTTGTGTGTTTCACCTCAACACAAACCCCCCTGTCTCTCCATCACTCTTCGTACACTGCGGCATCCACGCCAAGCGGCTCGCCCCTGACATTGAATGTCCAGAACGATACTCGCCCCTAAACAGTCACCTGAACGTCAATGATTCGCCACCGAGGCGTCCGGCGAACTGACGTCCTCGACGAGTGGACAGCTAAATGCGTGCGGCAATGTGTGACGATTTTTTTTCCCTGTGTCGTTGGTGCGTGTTGATTGTTACATTGTTTTCATCACACGAAAAAAAACCACATGGTAAATAAATCGTTCTCGCAGTCGATTCATTCACACCTTCAAACGGATGCAGCATTCTCGGGGCACTACTTTTGGACGTGGAGATGAGAATGTTAGCAGCGTCAAACTGCGTATAGCCGAAACATCACGCCCTTGTTCCAGCAAACTTACATTATTCGGTAAATTGTCTATAGCCGAAGAACGTTTTCGATAAAGCCGTGTTGGGCAAAGTTTTCCTGTGCTGTACAATAAAAGAAAACCCTCACCTTAACGCAGGCCACATCTATATAATTCCACATATGCAATATTACATACAATATTAACCGCAATGAACAATCTGTAACGAATCCAGATAGTTACATTGTACACTTGTGACTAACATTCCAATGTCCCATTTCAATTCAAGATTGTACTTTACATCAAGGCCGTAGCCATGGAGTCAACATTGGGGGGGGGGGCACATTTTCCAGGGGGTCTGGGGGTCCCCCCCCCCAGAAAAAAATCTAAATTTTAAAACGAATTTAAAAATTCACTAACACATAAGATGGACTTTTTATTTATTTTTTACGATAATGCCTAACAGTGTATTGTATTTATTACATTGCTCTGTTTTTACTTTTTTACATTTTCTTGTTTCATTGTATGTAATGGCAGAGATTAGGGATTAATAAAGTACAACCATAACCACAATCATATAAACAGAAATCTATTTTATAGCAATATATTGGGGGAGGGGACATTTTGAGCATATTTGAATATTGGGGGGGGGGGGGTGTCCCCCCCCCCCAATATGTGTCCCCCCCCCCCAATATATATTATAATTACGGCCTTGCTTTATATAATTCAAATTTGCTAACATTCCTGGAATAAACTTGACGTTGTTTAGGTTTCACTTTACTTAAAAAAGTATTTTTAAAATGTTATTATAAATGAAAGAAAATATAGCTTTACATTTTTATTCTTGGTTCTTTCGGTAAGGTCACCACGTAGAAGGGAAACAATAAAATAAGAACCAAGAATATGAATCCCTGCAGTCACGAAAGCTTTCAATCAAAATAGCTTTACATTTTTTTAATTAACGATCACAAAATAATTTACACCCAATTGATCCTTATGGCGGTACCCCGGGGTACCAAATCATACTTAATGGCCGAGGCAATTAAATATTGAATTTCTGGGAACACTTTTTTTTTCAGGGGTGTACTTCACTCCGCGACTGGGGTACCAATCAATCTGAAATCAGTGCTACTCCGCGATGTCGAAACGCCAAAACATTAGCATAAAAAAATCCGTTATCGAAACATTCAACTTTGAATAGTGCATCGTGTACAGCTCGTCGAGTTGAGTCGATTGCCACATCGCCGACCATCAACAGACTAATAATGACTGCATCACGGACATTATGCGAGAGCCGGGGTAAGGATGGTAGTACCCAGGGGGTCGCCATGAGGTTCATGTGTCAATCCAATACTGGATGAAGGCCTCTTCGCTTCGTCTTAGTCATGCGGGCTGTTTCACCATACTTCGCCTCGCTGGTCAATGTTGGTTGGTCAAGATTCAGTGGGGGGGGGGGGGGGGGGGGGGGGGGGGGGTCAGCAAACAGCAGCAGCAAACTGTTACATATTACAAGTTTAATTGCTCAATGATGTTAGTCATAGTTGGGAATAAAACTCAAAACACGCGGTTCATAGCGCACTACCCCAACCACTGCGTCACTGCGAAGGTAGAAATTATTTACACTGCATCCATTTATCACGTTTATACAATTACATCGATACCGTGTTTTATCAAATATTATACAGTACAAGGATATAAAAAAATAGGGACCAGGTGGACATGAGACTCTTACAATAAAAGCTTTGCTTAAAACCAGTTGACAGCCCATTAACACTGGAACACAAATTGTTCATGACATCAGAAAAAAAACACCAAAAGCTGAACAAACTAAAACATTTACATTTAAACGTGGTCATGCTTGAAGAGATACTGTATATACATTTGAAAGTGAGTATTAACAAATGTTTTCGGGTTAAAACCAAAACAACGTCTTTGCTATATTTGAGTAATTCCCCCCCCCCCCCCCCCCCCCATTTTATGTCAATTGTTCTATCGGCATCATGTAATCAAGTTAAGTATCCATTCAGATCTCTTGTTGTACAAATACAAGCCTTTGTGTTAAAAAAATAATATTACAGAATTACCTTTGACATCCCTTCAAGTAACCTGGTTCATACAGTAGAAGGGTGAACATTGCCCTACCCATGATGCCATATGAGACCAATATTTTCTGCCAACGAAACAAATATCTTAAAATTAATATAATTCACAACTACGTTCAATCGACTGCTGGAGGAAGTTCTGTCCCCATGCCATGTCAGTGATAGGCGCTGTTTGGCCCCCTTGGCCATTACTTTACCATGCTGGTCGGTCCGGTTTGGGCAGTGTCGGGCGGATAAAGACTGCTTCATAAATCACTCGCCACTGATGTCAGCAATGGTTGGAAATCGAACTAACTTTGCCGGTTATGAAGTGCAATGCGCTGCACCAACCACTAATAATAAACTAAAATTACATTATACCAATTACAGTCTTTACCCAGGAAAGCCTCACTGAGTCTCCAAGCAATTTCTCAGCCGGGTCCTGCGTTGGCCATACCAACAATGCGTGCTTGGTACGTGGATGACACGCAGCACTCTCATCTACTGACCACCTTGCAGCCCCACGCTCGTATAGTCACGGATCCAGATCCATGTGCAGTACTGAGCAGGCTCGGGTCTGCTTAGAAATCCTGTTTAGATTCCTATTCACGTTACGAGCTGTCACACCTATAATATTTGAACATGGCGTGTATTTCTTGTTATGCTGTGGCTGTTGGTTAAAGTCCGAACCACTGCTCTACAATGAACACGAATATTAATCATCAGCTATTATCAATTTACTGCTGGATTAAGCCTCCCGAAGCTGCTGCCATCTTTCATGAGCATGCGACCCAAGAATGCAACCAACAATAAATGTGTAAAATTGATTGAATCACTCTCTGTGTCCACAGTCGACATCCTCTCAAGCCTATGGCTGCCACTCTATCGTTAGCCTTGACCACTGGCCATCAATTCTTATGTCCTGCTCAAGTCCAGTTATATATGTTTAACAGTCAATAAGTATATGTTGTCCAATCCACCAGTTACTCTTTCGGTCTCTGCACGCTATACTGTCGCGGAGTTACCACGCCTCCTGGTGACCCAACCTCCTGGTGACCCAATCTCCTGGTGACCCAACCTCCTGGTGACCCACGCCTCCTGGTGACCCAATCTCCTGGTGACCCACGCCTCCTGGTGACCCACGCCTCCTGGTGACCCACGCCTCCTGGTGACCCAATCTCCTGGTGACCCACACCTCCTGGTGACCCGCGCTCGCTGGTGTGCGGCTTTGGCAGGGAACGATGGGGGCTGGGCACAACACAAGAGGCGTCAAGCCAATCTCGAAAGGTCCACGGTGTGCCCTTTTGTGCTGCCCAGTTGGATAGCAATACTCGATTTTGCAGGGATTATGAGGTTGTTCCGCCCGGCACAATGTGCCCACTGTGCGAACACACCCTTCATTAGCAATAGAGGAAATATGAAATTCGTTACGTGCACGGTATGTGTCGCGTGATAATTCACTACGAAGAGATCGAGCTGAGTTTTCAAGATATTTCTGAAGGTTCTAATTTTTTATCCTGATGAAATCATACTTTTTTTGCCATCTATCAGAAAAAACGTGTTTGTGTTGACTAGCATGTTCAGACAGACCCCCTTACTCAGGCTTGATGTATAGAGGTAGGAGAGGATGAGAAGTTGTACTTGATGAGTTTCGGGTGCTTGTCTGAATACATGTGAACGCGAGCCTCCCCCACACGTGGTCAGTACGGATTGAAGGCGGGCAGCATAGACGTTGGACCGTGGTAGAGGACAATCGCTTTTGCTGCACTGCCCCCTGCTGACAACTACAGCCCCGCAGATCCCGATAAGCTGCTCTAAGCATTGTGGTCGACCATCCGAGCATTCTCCAGACTCATTCATGCTGAGCTACCGAGGAAAGTATACAATATCATCCGTTCAATTAATCAGCAGGTAACACACAACAATACAAATATCCACGCTACAGAGAAGTACATTGTCGCCCCTGCATATGCAATCTGTAGAATTATGTGATGTCGACCACAAAAATATAAAACCCAGCTTTTATATCAAAAGCCTACCGGACTCTCTGACAATTAAGTGACAAAGCACATACACATTATGAACCATGCCAACTCTAATTCACCAATGGACACGGTACCCTGTAGGTGAATTGACATTTGTTCCTTTTACACGTCCCTCCTTTGCTCGTTCCCGGAACGAAATTGGAATATTAACGTCTCATTGCCTCCCCAGCCCGCACCCCCCTCGACCACGAAATGGACTGAACGCAGAGAATTCACGACGCAGGCCTCATTTCTGTTTCAATTACCACCGCGGCCCCCTCTGGACAACTTAAAAAATCCAGGATGCTGGTGGCTATGGCCAATTGCCAGCCCCAGCCGGCACAACCCCCCACCCTCCCTGAACACAAAAAAACGGGCGCATTCCATTCCAGCTGATATATAGGTGGACAATTGAGAACTGCTGAGCGTAGAAAACCATAAATTAGATCAGAGTCCAGGGTCGCGATGGTTAAAATATGATTGAAACTTTGTCATGACAGAATATTACTGATCAATCATCCGTTGGCTACTTTAATCGGTTTCCGAGAGAAATTTTAAAGAAATATACTGTAGGCAAGTGCGTATATATCAGGCTAGTTTATACATAAGTGGACACTTATTACAATAACACTTTAAAGATTGGACTTTAAACTCGTAGGGAGGTACGTCAAAGCATACAAAATGACCAACAATTTGAAGATGGATAAAAATGGTAAGTGATTTAGATATTTTGTATATCTATACACTGATCTAACTGAATTAGAACTCTAGCATGTCTTTTTTACATTTGTAAATTGGAGACATGCATAGATTTGTGCAGTGTGAATGTTAGATTACGTTTATAGACTGTGTATGGGCTTATGTATATACATCCTTGATATCGTTATAATTGTTCTGAGATCATAAACTACAGATTGATAAAACCTAGAACAAATATATTTTTTCCTGTATAATTGAAAATATATATTTTTTTACTAAACGTTGTTGGTTGTTCTCGTCATTAAATGTAGAATATATACATATCCATGCAGTCCACTTAGCATGCAATATGTGCATATGTGAAAAGGCCTTCTGTGAATGTATGAGTGTATAGCCCTGCCAGGTACCGCGTATATATAACTAGAATATGCACGTGCATCTTCACTGTGTAAGTCCCTCCAACAAAGAGTACAGCTGTCTCACATGTTGCTATAATTTGTATTCATGTAAAAATAAAACTCACAGTAAAAATAATAGACAAAAAATGTATTGAACGTTTACACCACAGTAGAGGACTGTAATGAGATTTGCGTGCCCTTGCGAGAGACGTGGGCTCAGGGCGGACACCCCTACCGCCTGCCTGCGGCCTCTACCTGCTCTTCTGCTGTTCGTGGTTCTACCTGGGGCCGGACTTGGCCCATGCCCGCGACTTCACAGCCCATGACGTAGTCAAGCTGTACCCTTCGAGTGAGCACGCATCACTGTGCTCTGTTGAGCAAGTGGTGGAAATTCCACATTCCAATTGCGAGGCCAGTATGACGGCAGAATCGGTCCTATCGTGGGTCCAGTTCATATCTTCCTTTGCGAAAAAATGCTCATCTCAATAGGCTTTTACCTAGGCATAAATATCACATATCCATCTCTCAGTCTATAATTAAGACAACCAGGGTTGATTTATTTTCTGGTGATGCAGATTCAAAATGTGGTGCTCATCCTACACAGCCCATGCAAAATATCAGGCTAAGCTATGCTCACCGGGATTTGAACTCATGTGACGCTAAACCTATGCAAATAGCTAGCAGGATATCAATTGTATGTTGTTTTAAGGGGTGGATGTGTGGCTTGTTTAATGACATTCAAACATTAAAAATTAACAACAGGAAACATTGTATAACCTCCAGCAACAGGTTTGCCGATGTGTCATTAACCAGTGAATTTCTTTAAAATATGAGACGACAGAATGTGATCACAGCAGTGTATAAGAATTGTCCTCCCTTTATCAGTCCACTGCTGAATGAAGGCCGACCCATGCCATGTCGGTCATGGGGATTCTTTGACCATATTTCACCACATTTGTCATTGAGGGTTGGTAAAGGAGGCGTTCAGGACTATTTTAGATATCACTCCTCACTATTAGCCGTGGGAGAAAATCCAACTCAGGTTACGATATTCAGCGCAGAGTGCTAAATCATATCAAATATGTCAAAAGTGTAAACTCTGAAAGGCATGTCTGGCATGTGATTTCCATACCTATGTAACAATGTTCTCGTGTCAATGTTAATGTATGAGGTTTACATGTTTTTTTTACTGCAGCAACACCGCACCCGGGTGGATTTAAATGCTTCACATGTGAAAACGCCAGAGATAACTTTGAGTGCAATCGCTGGGCTCCTGACACGTACTGTCCAAAAGGTATCTGAACGTCTATACACCTGCACTATGCATATCGCAAAGACTGAATTTCATGTTTATATTGTTTAACCCGGCGAGAACTCAAGAGACCAGGATAGAGGGACATGGGACATTCTTCTGCCAATATTGTATAATTGCAATTGCAGTAATGAACAAAGATATTTCGTTTCGATTTAAAGCTTTCGTGACTGCAAGGATTCATCTTCTTTGGTTCTTTCGGTACAGTCACGTAGAATGAGAATAAAATAATAAAATAACACAACATTGAAGCTCTGTCGTCCCGACAGGTTTGTTCCTTTCACCTGAAGGCCACTTGTGTTGTGGCCGAAACGTCGTGAGAATTTTATCGTGTTATTTTATTATTGTATTCTCATTCTACGTGACTTTACCGAAAGAACCAAAGAAGAAAAAAAAGATATTTCGAATTTGGCAAATTTTGCAGATTCCCAGATCTAGTCGTACATGCTGCTGGGGCAAGCGTTGTTCACAAGAACCCATTAAGACCAGAACGTCGCAGAAAGTGTGATGTGAGCTTACCACTGCGTATAGCATGAACACACGCACACCCTATATTAGGGCTGAACGATTAATCGATTTCAAATCGAAATCGCAATTTGAAACAAGGCGATTAGCAAATCGCAAAGGCTGCGATTTTTTTGCGATTTGAAAAGTCCTATTACTTATTGGAATTGTTTCATTTGTTATTATTATAACTTTATTTATTTAACTTAACAATTGTTCTATGTTTGATTGTTCTAGTTCAAAAAAACATTTTAATAAATACATGTTGGAAGCAATTCATATCTTTAAAGTTCTCATCCTTGAATTAGAATCTATAGAGCAGTTCATATTTTGATGGTATAATGTGGTAATGCTCCATCACATGTTTTAACTCTATAACACAGTGAATATTGAACTGAAGCTTGACTTTAAAAAAAGTGTAATCGCAAATCAAATCGCAATATCTGTCAGAAAAAAATCCCAATTAGATAATTTCCACAAATCGTTCAGCCCTACTATATATCAATAGCAAAATATAGCACTTAATAGATTTGTTGTTTTTACACTGCCATAATGATTAAGTAACTCCAACGGATATATTCACAAACCCAGCACGGTGTGACCCCGAGCCAGACATCGCATGCATCGCAGACATCAAACTCGTGCCAGTTTCACTAATTCTGCTTTCATAGCTTAAGCCAAATCCTGCATTTCAAAAGTCTCCCCTGTTCCAAGACCAGAATAGAAGCTCGCGCCCTGTGCTGATGTGGATCGAGATTATTTAGCGATAGAAAACATTCCATGAAAGTGAGAATTGAGCAACTGAGCCTTAAACACACACAGTCGATGTCGTGGAAGCAGCCACAATGTTAAAACGAGCTCCCCTGTAGAAGATGGTGTTTATTCATAATGCTTAAATTACAATGGAAGACAGCTGCTTAGCTGTGAGCCAATCTCCGGGTTTCCCATAAGAAGGATAATCCTCGGCTTATTTAATAAAAAATGTATTCCTGAAAGTTGAGTCACTTAGCATTTCCCTGAATGGCATTGTTTCTTTAACATCTATTACTGATGTTGTGGGTTGCAATCGATTATACATATGTGCAACTTGTTTTAACTTCAACAAAAAATTTAGGAAGTCGACATCTTTATCCTGTTTCCGAACATGTTTGAGTTTTTATCATTCCCAATTATTTTTCAAGCCACATCCACTCATTTAAAACAAACCCTTTTAAACCTCTCTTGGTCGATATTTTAGTACTTTACATCCCAATCTCCTTCGTCAACGCATTATCTAGAAATATAAGGTGCACATGAAACGAAATAACTTGAACTCTGTATGCGAAATATGAAATAAATCAATCGCTCGCTAGTGCAGATTTACACAATCAGATTTAACTTTTTTCCTCGTTTGGGGCGAAGGCTAAAAGTCTGCCGTGCAATAGCGCCACACAGCGGTCCTGCACAGGAAGCGATTCGCTTAATAGTAATCAATAGGCGGTTAAATTTCGATTTAAAGCTGTCGTGACTGCAGGGATTCATCTTCTTGGTTATTTCGGTACAGTCACGTAGAATGGAAATAAAATAATACAAATAAAACATAATAAAATAAAATTCACACGACGTTTCGGCCAAAATGCCGATTTATTACTAATAAACCCCAATGACCCGATCGAAATTAGGGATTTCGATCGGATCATTGGGGAGGCACGTGCCACCCCACCCACCCCCACTGGCTCCGCCAGTGCACACGAGACCATGTTTAAGGGTTAACATTTAGTTTAAATGCCAAAGGCTCCAAAAGCTAATCTCAAGTCGTTTTTGAAAATCCTAAGAACGGCGGTAGAAGCTCCCATGCTACAAAGTTTCCTTGTTATAAATGTCGTGAATTGAGTTGCCAACTTTTGTCCAAAAAACTATACTTACGTGGGGCACCAGCTGTTATAAGTTCTGGTGAGTTTCGTAGCTATTGGTTTCATCGTGTTGCAGTTTTCATGAAAACGTGTGCAGTGTCACCGACATATTTGATCAAAATTGCTATTTATAGATTCGAGGCTACCTTAAAAACTGAACACGACTGCGCATTTCTTAACTGTCACAACAACACAAAGCCTTTCATGTACCACTGCCGAGGAGCAATGACAACGTCGAGTTCAATCTGTAAGATGTGACTACAAATAGAGGCTGATGTTGGAGGGGGGGGGGGGGAGCTACACCCACATGTGACTGCGTTCTCTCGGTTTTCAAAGTACATATCTCGTTAGAAAAAAATAACAACCATGGTTGGGCACGATATAGTTAGCAATGTGACTGTTGAATGTGCAGGAACAATGAACACAAATTGCCCAACCTCTGATATTGCAGCAAATCGGTGTTAAATCCTGGCTAGAACTTGAACGGGTGACCAAGCAGGTGTTGTAGGCGTAGGGCTGCGAGGTGGTTAGCAGATGACAAATATCCCAATGCAGCACCTCTTGAAAATAAGTCTTGAAACTCAGCCAGGCTATCCGAGGTGAATAATAGACACTACATTTAAACATTTGTAAAGGGTAGTAACAGGTAGGTGTTATTAAGAAATTACAGTACTGAGTATTGTATTATATTCATTCCTGTGGAATTTTTAAAATCATTCAACTAAACAACACAAATACATTTGACTCTATAACCCAACACGTAATAAATAGCTTGTGCTATGTAAATGAGCATAACATTTTCGGTTTATGCGATTTCGTGTATATGCGGTGAACCTATTTCTACTCAAATGTCACTGTATGCGGTTTGGATTCACTGATATGCGGCTATGTGGTCGGATATGAAACAACATCGCTTGTGGACTGTGTGCGCTACTTGGCAGGGACTTGTCTCCTCGTGCGGTTTCACTCTGTGCTCCCTTTTTGGAAAGCATCTACTACCGCATAAAGCGGGGGAAACCTGTGTTGTTTTTCTACATTCTACTGAGCTTATTTAATGTTGGCATTCATCATTTTCATTACCCAGGTCACTCTTTCAAACTAAACGATCCTGGTCTCTAAGAGTTTTCACCGTGTTAAATTAAATAAATACAAATTCTGCCCATGTGACGCGGTGTATGCAGAGAGCGAATACTGCCACACGCGGCACGTGATGGCCATGGATGGCCGAGAGAGCGTGCTGGTCAGCAAGAGGTGTTCCCAGCTCAGAGACTGCCTGCCTGTGGGATGCCAGCGCATAAGCAACGGGTGGATCGTAAGCGCGGACAATTTACGCAACAATAACCCTTGACCCACAGTGCTCCGATTACGCTCAAATCACCCAGAATGTTACCCGATCTCGTCAGACCTCGGAAGCTAAGCTAGTTTGATCCTGAAATACTTTGTATGGACACAATGCACAACGCTTCAGGGCTATGTGGTCGGCAACTGCATGTATATTCCCTAACTCCTCGCTTTCACCCAAGTAGAGTTGTTAAAATCTGTTTTTCTTTGCATTACTGGTAACCGCTTAGATGTCCAGCAGCATACAAATACTGTAGTTTAGTGCCGCGGTGGCGAGATGTTAACTACCTCGCTGGTATACAGGAGGTCGTAGATTCGATCCCAACCCTGACGCTTGTATATTTGGAGTTTGCATGTTCTCCCCATGGTCGCATGGATTTTTCTCCAGGTCCTCCGATTTTTCCCTCCACATTTAGAAACATGCGTTTAGAGTAATTGGCTGCTGTAAATTTTCACATAAGTCACTTAATTGAGCAATCGTTTGTGGCCAGGTCACTTCTGAAACAGAGCTATATAGTTCAGTGGGCCTTACCTGTTAAATTAACAAGTTTAGTTACCTTCTTAAACGAGTAACAAAGAGAGTTGCCGTTACGTGATTGATGACACATTGGACTTCCAAGCAAGAGACCGGTGGTTCAATGTAATTTCCTGTAGACGTGGCAATTGAACCCACGGTGCATGTTTGTAAAATTCCCTCGCCTCTGTCCACCCAGCAATATAAATGGTTATGCCAGTCAATCGGCAGGTCGTGTGTGGTGGGTTAAAGTGTGGCTATGTCCAAGACGTCTGACCAGCGTGAAAGAATAAACCAAACACTCTCGAGCTCCATCATACCAACAAACCTTCAGTCAGCAGTAGCGTGAGCAAGCAATTGCAAGGTTGCACATTTATCTTTTAACTGAGCAATAAGGAAAAATATATCACGCGGTGAAATAGGCTACTGCGCCATTTGTACATCGAGCATGCCAATCAGTGCATTCATTACTAAAAGTCGACTGATAACGAGCACTGGTTCCTGATTTTAGGAATCGGGAATACATTCTGAAAACGGTTTACTCGTTGTCTTCTAACAACTCCACCAAACCCACACTGACCAGCATGAAGTATGGTTAAATAACCCTAATCGTAAGTAAAAATTACCGGATTGCATTCCGAGAGTCCAAGAGTTCTATCGGACCGATGAAAGTGTCCAATTTCAACTGCTGTACCCCGAATTAATCCTTTTTGTATAATGAAATATTATTTGGTTCTTTCGGTAAAGTCACGTAGATAGAAAAATTAGAAAAAAATAAAGTGAATACAAATAAAATAAAAACCCACTAATGTAGAATGTAGCCTGGTTCTTAATCAGAGTGAGTGTACTGGAAATCTATGTAGACTGGAGCCTGAGTACGATCGTGGAATGAGCCACTACTATGTGAAGATAACCAAGTGTTTAATACACATTAGACTTTAAGAATAAGGGGCCGTCCATAAATGATGTTACGCACCTGGGGGGGGGGTCAGACATTTGTGACGATGTGTGACGAGGGGGGGGGGGGTGTTGAGCAATGTGACGTCGCATAAAAATGTGCAACTTTAAATAAATATAAACAACACGTTCAACTTTATAAAATAGGCCTTTTTAATAAATGTTTTCTCCTGCAACATCAGAGTGCAGCGCCACATGAAATACGCACTACAATGACAATAGTTTAAAGTGATTTGAAGCATGTTTTGTTTTTGGGGGCGGGGGGCAGAGCTTTGTGACGTCATACTTGAGGGGGGGGTCTGACTTTTTGTGAAGCCGTGTGACGAGGGGGGGGGGGGTCAAAAATCGTCCAAAATCGCGTGACGTCATTTATGGACGGCCCCTAACGCAAAATAATTCGTATCGCTGTAGACAAAATTGGTAGCACAATATGCAAATACTCCACTCCATATGTTCCTCAACTAAAAAAATGTTTACACATATCATTAGTCATAAGGCATAAAGTAACACTACACGCCATTTATACTTTAGCATTTGTTTTATGGGGGTGAAGAGTTAATGTACAATGGACAGATGTATATGGGACATCACAGTTAATGTACAATGGACAGATATATATGGGACATCACAATTTACCACCTGCATTGATATGATTGTCAACTGCCGTTACATTTGTTCGAGCCTCAAATATCAGGTGAGGCCTCAGCATCAAATTTCAAATGCGTTACCCTGTAGTATGCCTCGGTGTACTCTTGAGCAATAACCGATGTTTTTTTTGTAATACACATTAATGTTAAGAATGAATTCCATAACTCAGTGTAACTCACAGCGCATTTGTGATCTGTCTTATCTCTCTAACAGGAGTGTCTTTCATGCTGTGAAGGGTCCATCTGCAATCTGCCTGTGCCATACAATGACTCACAAGCAATATTCGTGACCATCTCACTGAGCAGTCGGGTCACACCAGTGGTAGCACACCTTCAGGGAGTCTATGGAGGCTACCTTGCTTGGCTGTGGGTTTATACTATAATGCTGGAATCAAATACTTGGTGATAAACTCTCTGCACCATTATCAAAGTATAAAAAAATATATACTTAAAACTGAGATGTGCATTTATCTAATATTAAAGTTGTACTTTTTGCACACCCACATAACTAGACATACATTTAAGTGCGGCAAACTTTCATCCCCGTGCTCTGGGGAATCTAAACAGCAGACACCATTCTCCCATAAAGTAATACAGTATTCAGAATTAATTCAATCCACATAATGAAAGTAACACTTAAATAAATACATCTCTCGATTAACTGCAAAACAGATGTTTTATTTCACAGCTGTATTTAATATACAGTTGAATCGTTTAAAGCTGCAGTAAATATGAAACCACACAACAAAGCATCAACACCTTGCCTTGGAACATTAATCTTTGGTTCTTTCGGTAAAGTTACGTGACTTTACTGTCACGTGACTTTGTAGCCAACATTTTCATGGAGAAATAAGAGACTAACGCCATCCAGTCTGCCACTCTGCGCCCAACCTTATGGAAGAGGTACGTGGATGACACTTTTGTCATCTGGCCACATGGCCGGCCTGCTCTAGACCAATACCTCGACCACATCAATTCCATACACCCACCCATCAGATTTACCATGGAAGTCGAAAAAGATGGCAAGCTACCTTTTTTGGATGTCCAAATAAAGAAGAGACCTGATGGTTCAATGAGCCACTCTGTCTACAGGAAAGCTACCCATACGGATGCTTACCTGAAACCGGATTCCCACCATCATCCATCCCAGAAGAATTCCCTCATCAAGACTCTGCACCATAGAGCCCAATGCATATCCGACCAGGAACACATAGCCAGTGAACTCAAGCACGTACACCAAGCTCTTAAGGCTAATGGTTACTCCGACTACACAATCCGCAAAGCTATCACTCCAACCATGAAGGACCCTCTTGAGGAGCCTTTCAAAACGATCACTTTACCCTACATTGCGGGGATCACAAAAAATATCTCCAAAATCTTGAATAAACACAAGATCCAGGTCCGATTCAACACATTACATAAAATCCGTGATCTGGTTCCGTCTGTAAAAGATGTGATTCTGGACATACAGTACCCTGGCGTCTACAAACTAAGTTGCCTCTGTGGTAGTAGTTACATTGGAGAAACCAAACGACATGTCTCGGACCGCATTCGTGAACACAAAGCAGACCTAAAACACGGTAGGACCAACACCTCGGCCGTGGCAGATCACTGTTATAATTCAGTAGGCTCACATGACAGACTTCTCCAAGACACACGTTCTTTGCAAGCCACCTGGCTACCATGAGAGATTCGTTCATGAGGTTATCCACATATACAAACACAGAGACAATTTCAACCGAGAAGATGGATTCTGGTTTAGCAATCATTGGAAGGATTTTATAAACCATTTCCGGTCTTAATTGATTGTTCACGCTTATGGTGGCTTTCAGACCGCATCCATTATTTTCGTCTCCCCTTCCTCTTTTCCGAACATAGATGGACTCGTCCATCTGAATAACTGCCAAATCGCTCTCCGTGGTGCTACCGTTATCTTGCTGTGGTTTTCACAACTGATGATGATTGCTTGTGTTGCAGTCAAAACGTCGTGAAAATTGTATTTTATATTTTTATTATTTTGTCTCCCTTCTACGTGACTTTACCGAAAGAACCAAGAATATCTACAAAATTGTTTCTTTTTAATGCTCAATAATTTTCATACTTCAGGTTGAACACATGGCTGTTTATTGTAGTAATAGGCACTTATGAAGCAAAGTTACATTGTGCTTAGATAGGTTATTCAACATCACAATAGTGCATTTAAAGGCCAAGTGTCATTGAGAGCAGCACTTCAGATGCATATATGCGGCTAACATGTCAACATTTAAATCAAGGAACAGGTGCATATATGCAGCTAACATGTCAACATTTAAATCAAGTTACAGGTGCATATATGCAGCTAACATGTCAACATTTAAATCAAGGAACAGGTGCATATATGCTGCAAACATGTCACCATTTAAATCAAGGAACAAGACATTACAAACTGCATTAGCTCAATCTTAACACACTGTTCATAGTGTATTTATATTTTAACGAGTTGAAATTTTTAATAAAAAGGTATGGTTTATAAAAGCACTTGTGAGCACTTAAAATCATTTTGTGTCATTGTGATAATATACAGTACCGTATTCTCTGGATTACAATATATTATGGAATTTTTGTTTATATTTCCACCCCCCAGAAAATCCATAAATATTCTACGGGTCTTTTGGTTAAGTCACATAGATTGGTTCAAAGAAAATAACAAAATTGTTATTTTGTTTTGTTTGAACCTATCTACGTGACTTTACCGAAAGACCCATAGAATATGAATTCCTGCAAGTCACGAAAGCTTTAAGTCAAGATAAAATACATACAGTGAATGTAGCGGGGAAAAGTGTGCCTCACCTGGAGAATACGGTAAAACAAATGTGTTATGTAGTTCGGTACTGTATAGTATCCATAACGTGGAAGCGGCTGTGTGGTGGCAATAAAGTTAAGACTGTAAAGACTGCCAATAAAGTTATACAAATCTGGTCACATGCTATGGTGGCATGGCTAGCGACATTAAAGTTGACTGGCCAGTGTGAAAAAGGTTACACAAATTTGGTCATACACACACCTACCAGATAAGATGAACTCCACACTTTTGCTTTAAAATGGATGAAAATGTGCATCTTATAATCCAGAGCACAGTAGTCTAAGCATTATATTAAAATGTTATCCAAAATTAATGTGTACTTATAAAACAATCACTTTTAAAATAAACAAAAAATATCACACAAAATGGGAATCAGTATTTGTTAAACATACATTTAACGATTTGTAACTAAAATATATGTTTAAAAAAAGATTTCCATTATGTAGGGGACACATTAAATTATTTTTGGTATTATAACCTTCCAGCCTTTATCCTGTAACTGGAATGTAACTTTTTTTCCTGAATGAACCAGAGCAGAGCTTCTAAAAATCCATTCCTCTCACCACTCCACCATCGAGCAGGGTTTAATGTTACCAATGACCAGGTACATGGAATGTGCAAGGGCTTTATTTGTCTTTCAATGGAGATTGGTAATTTAGAAACATGTACCATGGTGGACACAAAGATCGCAATATAATCCCTGAATACAAAAATAACTCAAATAAATACGTAGTTCACAACACAAATAATAACTGCAAAATCAGATGTTGCAGCACATTTTACAGTATAATGCAAGATCATGAATTTTCCAAAAATACTGGTTTTATTTGGTAACTTGTCTCATGAAAAAACACCAATAATATAAAAGCTATGGATTTGTATGGCATTCAGTGTTGTCATCTGATCAATAACTTGTGGAGGCCATCTGAAAAGTTCTTCCAAAACGTGTTCCAGGCTAACAGTAAAATGTATCGGTTATATTAAGTTTGTGGGACTTCTTTAAATAATTCCACTTGTTATAATTTTTATTTCAATGTGCCAACTATAAGGAACATATTGTTAATTCAAAACAGTATATGGCTTCTGAAACACCCACAAATGTATTTCCACTTGGGTTGCCACAATATATTTTTTCACAATTTAACACAATTATCCCATGACAATTATGGCAATGTCTCATATAACTCTCCACATCCATTTCACAATTCTATTGTTTGCAGTACAAATATTGCATACAATTTTTTTAAATTGTAGTTAATCAACACAAACCTTTCATAAGTATTTGAATCACTGAAAGTTTAAATCTGTCAGCTCATATAACATGCATGCTGCAAGTTACACAAATATTATTTAAATGAGCTGTAAAGATGATGACGTAATATAGCCATCAAGTCATCAATAACGCCACAAAACATTTTGCAAAGCACTAATTTAACTGGCATTTTTTTTTACTTTAATTACTGTGCTTTTGAAATTTAAGAAATGTTGCCAAAAAAGTGTATTTTGTTGAAAAACGGATGATCCAATCATCATGCATGTTAAATATCGTATATTGTTATATTGTCATATCACGGCAACCCTACTTATCAGACAGAAATCCATGACTCCATCCTTAGGATGGTGGTGATAATCACTCGTGCACGCCGGTCACACAATGCCCTTTTCCTTCAGCTCATCTTGAACACGTTTCAGGTAATCCGGGTCTGGATAGCCAAAGCTAAAATAGATTAACAAACAATGATGTAATGAGTGCCAATGGATATAGCTTTAGATCACCAGTAAACAATACATTAAGACTGAAATGAAATTTTAAATAATAAAACTTGGTAAAACATAATTTTTAAAACATTAACAATGCAGTGGTTTATACAAATTGAGAGAGCATACAATCACAAAGAACACATCATTTAGTTTAATAATGTACACGTGGGAATATCGCACCAAAGCTATTGTCACAACTGCATGTCAGGTGTAGTATCTGCAGCTACATTGAGTAAAGTGTTCTCGTGCCATTAGCTAACCGAGGTAAACTACAAAAGACTGTAGCATATTAAATAAAACATTTTGGTCCTCCATTCTCTGCCAGGTTAAGTTATGACAATGCTAGGTAAGGGTGCAACTTAGGAGCTAAAGAGAGACCCTCTAGAGAATGTTGGGCTACTCTTTCAGGCTAGTCAGGTACCTTTGAAGAGGTGAGAGTACCCACACATTTCCCCACCACAGAACCTGCTGAATGACTTAATGTATCCACTTATACTGCTGGGTGGACAGTGGCAGGGGGGATCAAAGAAACCTGCACATTTGCAACTGTCGTGCCGGGAGATAAAATCGAACCAGCGACATCTGGATTGTGCAATTACAGAATGGCAGCATTCCATAAATGCTAGCATATTTCTGCAAATGTTGTCCAGTCATCACACAAGGTCATCAACTGCTAAGATTTTACTCAAAGATTTGGTAATTTCTACCCGCCTTACTTTATGGGCCCGCCTCGGATGCTGGTCTTGTGGTGGATGTCATTCCAAGTGACAATGTTGTCTATGCCGGTGGTGCGCGATACACCCACAGTGAAGATGAGCCTCTGTTTGAAGGCTCTTTTCAGCAGTTGCAGTACGTGGTTTCCTTCCGTGTTGTCTGGCAGGTATGCGATGCGCATGGTGCCATGATAAGCCATACCTGGCTGTGGGTGCTCAGGCTAAAATAGACAAATTCATGCAATTCAGCATATCGTCAGTGTGAAAATGTAATACTGTTAAATCAAGATAAATATATATTGTGAACTTCATGTGGTGGTACTTACCCCTTGTATTCCACTCGGAATGGAATAAGTAATTTCAATAGTGCCACAGAGTGGATAGCCTGGAAGGTGGCCTGATGTGGTGTTGACCGTCATGTTTGCATTTATGGGTTGGTTACCAACAATAGTCCCATATGACTTGCTGCATATAGGACAAACAGGCCGAATCTTGGAAGCCATATCTATGCATTCACGACAAAAAGCATGTTTGCAATTTGGCAGTGTATATTTTTCCGTAAAATCACACAAGCAGATGGGGCACATTTCGTCACTGTCATTTTCTTTGCTGGATTTCTGGTCTTCATTGGATTCTTTGCTTTTGCTACTCTCACCTTCATCTTTACCGTTTTCTTTAGACTTTAAAAGCTTAGGGCAAACATCATCACCTGCACTCAGTGTCCTTTTTAAGGACTGACCAGATGACTGTTGGGAATGCACAATCTTCCGGAATTCTTCCAGGGCCGATGCTGGCTGCTTCCCTTTCCCGACGAAGCGGACACCCTTACTTCCTTTAATTTGGTAAACATCAGGAAATTTTTGTGAAATTAAAGTGTCAGCTCGACTCAGCAAACAGTGTCCCTTGTGGAGATTAACATCACTCCAAGAGATATGGGTAGCCTGCAGCTCAGCCTGTTCATTATCGTACAGTGACATGAATTCTTCTTTTGCAACTTCGTTGCCAGGTTTCAAAGTGACGTTGCAAAGTGATGGAAGTATCCCATCACTTATTTGAAAATCGACACTACAAAAAAGCTTTAAATTACGTATCTCTTTAGCCATCTTCTTAAACATGAATTCTACAATATCTCTGTCTAAATTTTCAAACACATGGTTTGGCTGAGTGAAACCTGTCGCCATCCCGAAAAATAAAAGGTATGTTACTAGAATACAATAAACCTAGTCTTCAAATTGTACACGCAACTTCTTATGCAGTGGTACTGCAAGTCTGTAAAATACAAATGATAAAATTAGTTCATACAGTGGGTTCATTAGCATTCCTTCCTAGAAAGCGGTATCAATTGGTAGCTATAGAATTATATATGCTGGTATGGTGTAGTGTATGCAATTAACAAGCGAGATACAGTATATGATCTAATTCTATCACTTATGGAAATCTCTGAATTAACAGCCAACATAACTCAAAAAAATATCCAGCTCCACTTCATTCTCGATGGCAAAAACAATTACTTGGCTCTGCCGATTTCTGGAGTAATAAAACCAGCACACTGCCCCAGATATTTCCCCTTTTTAGAGTAACGAAGTCAAGGAGTCAAGACGTCTCCGGACTCGTGAGCATGGAGCCGGCGCTTGACCAGTGATGGGAAATTCCACATTCTTTTCGTGGGGTCATTCTGTGCTTCGAAGTGCCATCCACGTGTTCTTTAATCTTCTGCGAAATGAAATGTGTTGGGCTCAAATTCCCTCCATCCTGTACGGACCGCTTTCCTTTAAAAGTCACCGAGCACGAACTCCCTTCACGAAGCTTGCACCCCCGAGAATGCTGAACCATATTACGCGGTAGTGTAACGATTATTTTATTTATATCGATCTTCTAGGCCAGTGTTCTTCATTGGAAGGCCCGCGGGCCACTGGCGATCCCAGACAACACACAAATGTGAGCCCCCCTCCATTATCATCATCGCGCTGATGTTAAGCCCCCCAATGATTTCGAATGTGAGGCGGCCCTCACACCGACGATGTCTTATCGGCGAAAGTGGCGGCCCCCCTCTCTGAAATTTTACATTTTTCTCAGATTGTAAATGTTGTGGATTTGCTCTCCAACACACCTGTGTGCTGTCCTAGTAACACGAACCGTCATGTTCTGTTTACGTGACAACACTTACTAAATTGGGTGGTGGCGGGTTTGACGCCACATTCATACGTACGCGATCTCACCCGACAACAACAAACCTCTGTATTATGGATAACATCGGTCGCGGAAGCCTACGTGTTAAACCAATTCGCTAAGAACAACAACAAGGAATTCTTCCGATCGCCGCGTTTGTTCCGACGGATTCCTGTGTCGCCCTCCAGCCGCGCGAGGTCGCTGCACAGAACCGCGACGGCAAAACAAAACCAGCGCGGAAATCCCTGCGGAGACGACAAAGACGACGACTCCCACACGACGACTCTCACCCCCACACGACAACTCTCACCCCCACACGACTCTCACCCTCACACGACTCCCACACGACGACTCTCACCCCCACGCAACTCCCACGACGACTCCCACCCGACAACTCTCATCCCCACACGACGACTCTCACCCCCACACGACAACTCCCACCCCACACGACCCTCACACGACTCCCACACGACGACTCTCACCCCCACACGACTCTCACCCCACACGACTCTCACCCCACACGACTCTCACACGACTCCCACATGACGACTCTCACCCCCACGCAACTCCCACGACGACTCCCACCCGACAACTCTCATCCCCACATGACGACTCCCACCCCACATGACGACTCCCACCCCCACACGACTCTCACCCCACACGACTCTCACCCAAGACGACTCCCACCCCACACGACAACTCTCACCCCACACGACAACTCTCACCCCACACGACAACTCTCACCCCACACGACAACTCTCACCCCACACGACTCTCACCCCACACGACAACTCTCACCCCACACGACAACTCTCACCCCACACGACTCTCACCCAAGACGACTCCCACCCCACACGACAACTCTCACCCCACACGACAACTCTCACCCCACACGACTCTCACCCCAGACGACTCCCACCCCACACGACAACTCTCACCCCCACACGACAACTCCCACACGACTCCCACCCCCACACGACGAGCTGTTCGAACCGCCAAACGCGACGTAAATGTCCTTTAAAAAGACTCCCGACGATCGCTCGCGGTGTTCTCGACGACGACACGCATGGTTGTACTGTACTTCTAGGCCACACGCGTCGTTGTACTGTACTTCTAGGAGACACGTGTCGTTGTACTGTACTTCTAGGAGACACGTGTCGTTGTACTGCACTTCTAGGAGACACGTGTCGTTGTACTGTACTTCTAGGCTACACCGTGCGTCGTTGTACTGTACTTCTAGGCCACACGCGTCGTTGTACTGTACTTCTAGGAGACACGTGTCGTTGTACTGCACTTCTAGGAGACACGTGTCGTACTGCACTTCTAGGAGACACGCATTGTTGTACTGCACTTCTAGGAGACACGTGTCGTTGTACTGCACTTCTAGGCTACACCGTGCGTCGTTGTACTGTACTTCTAGGAGACACGTGTCGTTGTACTGCACCTCTAGGAGACACGTGTCGTTGTACTGCACTTCTAGGCCACACGCGTCGTTGTACTGCACTTCTAGGAGACACGTGTCGTTGTACTGCACTTCTAGGAGACACGTGTCGTTGTACTGCACTTCTAGGCTACACCGTGAGTCGTTGTACTGTACTTCTAGGAGACACGTGTCGTTGTACTGTACTTCTAGGCTACCGCGTCGCCGTACGGCACACAATGATAGTCGAGTTCACAATCACTCAATGGGGCGGTGGGATTACGACGCGATCTGACGGCGTAGCATCGCCACGTCGAGCGCGCCAACGTCAACACAACAACAACACACGCCACCGCCATGCTACACAGACGCGACATCGTTTCGCGGTCAGCTCGATCGAGTTTTCGATTACAATTCTGAAGTTCACGTCGGGAGATCGAACATCGAACGACTGCATCCTCGGTACGCACCACCTGCCCCCCCCCCCGCAGCAGGCGCCTGTTTCCCCGCGCTGCCGATTCGGCTGCCGATTCGCGCCTTGATCAACCGAATCAATCCCCCGCCGCGATTCATTTTACAAACGATTGATCAATTTTTCCCCGTGTAAAAACAATTGCCTGATAATTATGATAATAACACGAATAGTAATGAGAATTAAAAGCGAACCTTTTTTTGTATTGTTGAGACGTGAAGGAAAAAGTTTGAGGTTTGTTTGTTTGTTTTAAAGCGCGGCGATCCCCTTGGAAGACGGTAACGAAATGAAACTTTTGTGCGACCTGAGCAGGGGGGGGGGGGTTTCCGAGCAATGACGTCACAGTTCCTACCACCCCCACGTGACGCCTGTAGTGTCACGTCGATGAAATGTGTTTTTTATGCGCATGCATAATGATGTAATGGTTACCATACGAATAACCCCACCGGTAATTGGATGCCCATTGTAATTCACATGCATGCATTAAGTGACGACATCAAATGTATTCCTCTATTTAAGAACGAAACAGGAGGATTTATACACAAATGTGTCTCTTGGCTGATCATGCTAGCTGTAATTGCGTACTGGCTAAACGTCGTCCTCGAATTGTAAATGTTGCGGATTTACTCTCCAGCACACCGGTGTTGCTATACTAGTGACGGATTGCCATGTTATGTTTACATGGCAAACCTTACCAATTTGCCGAGTCGGGTGGTGGCGGGTTTAACAACACATGTATATTTACGCGATCTAACCCAAACACTTCTTATGAAATGGTTTATCATTCACCAAACTCCCCCTGATGCCACTCGCTTAGGGGGTTGGCAACCTGCGGCTGCATGCGGCTCTTTTCTAGGACTGCAGTTACGGATTTTGAAATTCAAAAATAAAATGGCTCTTCTTGCTATTTGTTGCCTGACCCCTGACCATGGGAGTCCAGTTCACCATGGGAGTCCAGTTTACCATGGGAGTCCAATTCACAATGGGAGTCCAGTTCACCATGGGAGTCCAGTTTACCATGGGAGTCCAGTTTACCATGGGAGTTCAATTCACCATGGGAGTCCAGTTTACCATGGGAGTCCAGTTTACCATGAAAGTCCAGTTCACCATGGGAGTCCAGTTTACCATGGGAGTCCAGTTTACCATGAAAGTCCAGTTCACCATGGGAGTCCAGTTTACCATGGGAGTCCAGTTCACCATGGGAGTCCAGTTCACCATGGGAGTCCAGTTCACCATGAAAGTCCAGTTTACCATGGGAGTCCAGTTTACCATGGACAGGGGTCGGCAACCTGCGGCCCCGGAGCCGCATGCGGCTGGCTCACTAAGGACTATTTCGTGACTTTATTAAGGACCACCGTCTCGTATCCACATACAATTGCAGCTCTTGCAATATTGCGGGGACAAAAATGTCCCTTGTTGTTTTGTTTGCCGACCCCTGCACGAGCTCCTGCATACGAGCTGGGCGCGTTACCTTATTTGGCTATCCACATTCCATCCATCAGCTTAATCAGCCAATTGTTTTTTTTATTACGCTACAGTATCAGAATGCATCTGGCGGCATCGTCGCAAAGTTGGTAACATTGGCCAAACCGAAACCCCAGAAAGCGAAGTTGCGGTGTTTACAACACGGGAGGTTGCGCAACATTTGAATAATGTCATATACTGTATGTGTACGAATAATACACTGACCAACGTATACGCAGAATCTGAATCAGTATTTATGCTGGAGGAATCCAATGAGCTATGAAGCTATTTTTCACAGATGTCCAATATCAGTCCACATGCTGGCAATTGTAGTTTTTTTTTTTACCAGGGCACACGGTGTTCGTGTTGGCTCTTGCTTACAACAGAAGACATGCAATTCTAGATTTAAAGCTTTCGTGACTGCAAGGATCCATACTCTTTGGTTCTATTCGGTAAAGTCACGTAGGTAAAAAGAATAGAAGACATGCACTTTGACAGCTATGGCGTGTTAAGAGCATGAAACCAGGTTATGCCGTTTAATTAAATTGAATTAGTTCTAGATAAATAGCACTTCACATACCAATGAAAAGGTCCCCTAAATCAGGAGCTAGAGTGTTGCCAAGTTAGAAAGGGGCTGATCCACATGGTATGGAAGCTCATTCACAAATACTAACCTAATGTACCAGCTGCAGGGAATGGCTTTTGTGAACTGCAGTTACATTGAACTTAAAATGTAGGTTTTCAGTTGATCCCGAGTTTAGAGTGCCTGAAGATCAAAGCAATTTGAACAAAACGTCGTATGTTGATGTTAAATTCAGTCCTGTCTTGAGCTAGTGGGAGAGCTTTATTGGTCAGAAATTGATCAACACATTGGCCCGTATAAATGTTTGTCAACAATAATGTTGACATAACACAACCACGTGGCCTAACTTAAAAATAAAATATGGAAAATGTAAGTTACATTGTCTTTCGACCATAATCTCAGGCATGAGTCACTGCTATGTTGAATGAACACTGACCAACAGTGGTTTGTAATACACATTCACTTTAATAATGCAATCAATTGCGTAATATAACAAAACGTGCATTTCTGCAATATGCATATTAGAGTACAGCATTTCCCTTCTAACCCGAGTGTAATTCGTGCCGGTAATATTCCGTCTGCAATGTGCCTGTGCTTTACAATGACTCCTAGGCCATGGTCGTGATCATCTCACCTAACAGCTCACCGAACTGAAAGTATCTTAGCAGTACCAATCCGGTACGAGAGAGGAATATTTTTGATCTGGCAAAACTGTTTCAGATTGTAGAATGCGTAGCCATTTCTGTCACTGCAGGGCTCTCTTGCAGTTACAGTTATGTAAATTCCAAAGTTATTTTAAATTCCTATTCCCTCCCCATATTAGACGATAAAATTCAGAACTCACGAAGTGCCTTCTAAACCAGCGTAGGGTTTCCGCAACATGGTTATATAATTCATATGATGCAAGATCAAGAATAATCGCATTTCCCATTTTTTATACTGTAATATTATATAGTGTTTGATGGTTTTATTGATTTTTTTCATAACACGTTTAAAAAATATATACCTTAACCATTAAATATATTCTTTGGCAGCCGTGTTGAAAAGTAAATGACACCATGGCAATTACAGTAAATGACAAAATCATCTTGCAGTGGAATTAATTAGTTATCGCATAGCTGACAGCAATTGCGTTATAGATTGTAAAGTTTCAATGATTACACCATTTTTGGCAGGCCTATATTGAGTGCAGAGAAGATAAGTTTGTCAACATTAAAACAATAAACTAAGAAAGAGTACTATATCCTAAGGGCTGCACTGCAAATGGCAGATTTTTTTTTATCAAAGCACAAAACGTGACAACCTTCATTGGTTCCATCAATATGACATCGGATGCAACATTTCAATGTTCAATCGTAGCATTCTTTATACAATACGTTAAAATGTGACGTAATATAAAATAAAAGAGGTATGATTTATAGAAAACTCACAAGTACCTCCGATGCATTTACTGTATTATCATTTTGGTGTCATTCTGCTGATATAAACCATCATGAAAGCATAGTATACTTGCGAAGCAATTAATTCAGTATTGATGATATGAAGGAAGTGCTTTGAGGATGTAACTTTGAGAACACAATCAGTGGTAAATCCAGTATATGTTAAATATAAAGTTTATAGTTTTAATAGAACAAAACAAATTCTATGGTTACAAAATAATAGGAGAGGGGAAACTATCTTTTTATTTACTTTCCAGAATTTATCCTGAAACCGCAAAAAAAATCACTCTTGTCATAGAGCATGTTTTTGTTTTTACCTATCATCAGGAGCATGACGTGCAACAGCTGCATTTGTGTTTGAATGGAGATTGGTAAATGTGGAAACTGTACCATGGAGAGCACAATAACAGGGATAACAAGCCTTAAATAAAAGAAAAACTGAAGACAATAGTTTGTTATACAACTGGTCACTGAAAAATCAGATGTTGCAGTACATGTTACATAATATATAGTATTAAAGAAGTCCCAGAAGTGTTACATTTATTTTGTTACTTTGTTCACGCGAAAAAATATTCACGTGATAAAAATATATAGTGTATATGAAACCTACTGTATTGAATTTATATTTGCCATCTGATAAAAATATGAAACTTACTGTATTGCATTTATATTTGCCATCTGATAAAAAAAGAATGTGTTGGCAGCATATTTTCACTTTTACAAATAAGTTCCAGATGTATTTGTGAATGTGATGTCATCCATGTCTTATTTTAAAAATATATATAATTATTATTTAATGTGGCAACTGTACATTCATTTATCGTTATGGTAAACCGGTGCATAGCTTTTGGAACACGTAAGTAAATGATCAAATTGAAAACCATTCTTCATCAACCTCATCTTCATTTGATTTGTGATGACCACTTATTCACGACGTTGGTCACACAATACCCTTATCCTTCAGGTCATCTTGGACACGCTTCAGGTAATCTGGGTCAGGATAGCCATAGCTAAAATAGATAAAGAAAAGAACGGAAAATATATCAATGGATTTTGCTGAATATCACTGGCAAATAATACTTTAACACTATTAATTTAAAATAATACAACTCACTCCCCAATATGTTTTTATTTTAAAACACTGGGGAATGGTAGTTTACCCACTGGACTTTGTAACTTAAGCATTTTGCTCCTCGGCACTATTAGGTTTTTGTTTTAATGACAATTCTACTCTCGCATACATTTTCAAACATAGACTGTATCCAACTAACCAACCTCAATTCTCATCCAAGATGTCATTAATTCTAAGATTAGCAAAATAAAATTTTCCCGCCTTACATGAAAGGTCCACCGTAAATGCTGGTCTTGTGTTCGATGCCATTCCAAGTGACGAAGTTGTCGACGCCAGTGCTACGTGATACACCTACAGTGAAGGTGAGCCTCTGTTTGAAGGCTTTTTGCAACAGGAGCAGTACGTGGTTTCCTTCCTGATTGTCTGGCAGATATGCAGTCTGTGACATGCCACGATAAGCCTTTCCTGGCTGCGGGTGCTCGGGCTAAAGGTGTGAATTAGAAGAACATCATATCAACGGTAATTATAATAACAATTTATTTTTAAAAAAAACACTTCAAAAAGGTAATTATTAAACCAAGATAATAATTAATCATGCATATAATGTAGTAATACTTACCCCTTGAACTCCATGTGGAATTGTGTAACTTATTTCAATCCTCCCACAGGTTCGATAGCCTGGAAGGCGGTCTGATGTTTTGTTGACAGTCATGGTTGCATTTATGGGTTGGTTGCCTAAAGTATTTCCATATGGCTCGTTGCACATAGGGCAAGCAGGCCGAACCCTAACAGCCATATCTATGCAACTGCGGCAAAAGGCATGTCTGCATTTTGGCAATATATGCTTTTCTTTAAAATGTGTTAAACAGATGGGACACTCGTCTCCCCTCTCATTTTCACTTCTGGATTCCTGTTCCTCATTGGCTTCTTTGGTTTTGTTCCTTTCTCTTTCGTCTTTACTGCTTGCTACAGAGTTTAAACTCTTCCGGCCATTGTCATCACCTCTACGCTGCGATCTTTTCAGTGAATGACTGTGTACCTGTTGGGAATGCACAATCTTTCGGAACTCTTCCACGGCTAATTTTGGAAGATTTCCTTTGCCAACAAAGCGGACACCCATGTCATCTTTAATTTGGTAAACATGAGGAAATGTTTGTTTAATGAATGCGTCAGCTTGATACAGCAAATGGTGTCCCTTAGGCAGATTAATGCTACTCCAAGAAATATGTGCTGCCTGCAGCTTAAGAAGCGCTTTTTCATACAGTGCCACGAATACTTGGTTCGCCACTTTATCGAAGGGCTCCAGAGTAATGTTGCACAGTGAATTAAGTATGCCATCACTAATTTTAAACGTGACACCGTGCTTCTTATTCAGATGATCAAAAGCCTCATCCATCTTCTCGAACATGAATTCCACAATATCTCTATCTAAATGTTCAATCAAGTGGCTAGACAGACTGAAACCTGCTGCCATCCTGAAATGTAAAAACGATGCGATTCAGATACAATAATAAGTCTTGTCTTCAAATTGTGTGCGCACCTTGACGCAATGGAATAACAAGCCTGTGAAATACAAATGATAGGTAATACAGTGAGTTCATAAATTATACAGTTTTCCCCATAAAATGTTAACTGATAGGTATTTTAAAGACACTTAACAGATGCCGGCATGGCTCAGCCTTTAAAAAGAATAACCCAGCTATATTTTATTGGAAAAGAACAGGAACGATTAATATTCCACTGCTTACAGAGATACATCCAAATAACAATTAAACATTAAATGTTGGAAAATATCCATCTCTGCTTCATTCTAAATGACATGACCAATGAATAAACTATCCTCATTTCCGGGCTAATACAACACCATACTACCCCATGTTCCACTTTTTAAAAACAAAGTCAAGGCAGCTCCTGACTCAGACAAGCATGGGCTGGCAACCGAGATATTGATTTACAGTCCACATTCCTATCATGGTGTCAATCTATCCATCAGACACCTGCATTTACCTCTCGTATGTAAGTCTGACAAATTGGCTGCTTGTTAACTCAAACGCCCTCCATCTGTTCAAATCTTGAGCTTACGCTTTAACTTTATTTTATTGTAAGGAACACTTGAAGTCATCGAGAAGTTTTACTTTTAATCCCTTGCCTCTTTCCCAACACCCTTCCGTCTAAAACCTTCTCTCGTAATGTCTTCACCTCTGATAATGTCCCAGCCCATGGAAACAGAGTCCGTAGCAAGGATACTAAACCACAGGCTCTATTACTATATTACTTGGAATCTAAGTTTAGGCGACTACAATGGTAAAAAAATCAACTTCCGGAAAATGACAATTCATCGCATCGCCGAGTCAATGATTAGACCCCTAATTATAACCACGATTATAGCAACGAATTAAATAGTAATGAGCGATTATACTTTAAAATGTTAATCCATAAAAACCACACTACAACAAACCTCTGAGACGTGAAGATGCATCAAGCAGTGTCAGAAGCGCGGCGAACTCGGGCCAGAAGGGGCAAAATGAAACTTACAGGGCCACAGAGCGGGGGTTTCTGAGCAATGACGTGACACTACTTCCTACCACCATTCTTTAGTGGCTGCCCAGCCACGTACAAAAACTTTAGTTTTCCTCATCATCAGCCATGCTCTATCAGCTGCTGAATCTAAGTCACCATCACCTACCCAATTTCCCCTGATGCCACGAGCTCATCTCATCGCTCCTTCTCCGCGGTGGTCGTCCACCGTAGCAGCGTTCCATCCTTTGGCTTCCACATTCCATCCATCGGCTTAATCAGACACTTGTTTTTATTACGCTACAGTATGTATACTGGATGAATCCAATGAGCTATATAGATGTACGGTATCAGTCCACATGCTGGCAATTGTAGTTTTGTTAAACAGGACGCACGGCGTTCGTGTTGGCTCTTGCTTACAACGGAAGACACTTCGCATTCCGATTGAGATAATTTACTGTCAGAAATCGCACCTCCTGGCTTTGACGTTCCTCGAAGACACTGGTGTAACAATAACAATCTCACGACAACACCAGCAGGCCGATGTAGGCATCTCCTTCATGAACAGAACATTTAAGACAAAGCCACAGCAATAATGCCACTGTGGACACACAAATCAAACCACATAGCAATCCCCACTGTAGACTACGCGTCTTCAGCGGAGGAGGAGCAGCAAAACTTCACGAACTCCTGAAGCCCTATCCCTCGTTGCGGCTGACAGACCTCGGCATTGGCATTGATCTGAACATACTGCCGTCATACGCAAGAAAGGAGTTGCACAACATACATTCACACGCAATATACAGTACGAGAAAACACAACCATGAAGTGCACGCTGGCTTGCAATGTGTAAGTACTGCAGAGAAATTTAAGCATGACCGGTTCATGCGGTTGCGTTCTGGAAATCCCCGTGAATGCCAGCATGGGATATTGGAGCTGTTTACAAACGCCCAAGGTCATCACAGAGGTCAACAGCAGTTGTATTACTGATACGGTACTATATAGTGCCTGAGTGCGTGTGAGTCAACAAGCAGAACTACTGCGGTATACTGTCGTGAAATGTGTGCAGCACATATACAGCACGTTTTGTCCACCCACTGCTGGATGAGGACCCCCCCCTCCACCACCGTGCCATGCGTCTCGTAGGGTTTGTTTTAACAATACTTCACCACGCTAGTCTGTAGTGCGGTTTGGTGAAGGCGGGAAGCATAGAAGTTCTGCACTGTGCAATAACTGATGTTGTATGCTGTATAGCCGATAACAAATTGCCATGCGTGGTGGCCCCCCATATAAGCCCTAATCCAGGCTCAAATTCGCTTAGCTTTCATAGATCTGACGAGATGGGGGGAGTGCATTGCGGGCGATTTGGAAATACGCAGTAGTGTGGCAATAGGGATGCACAGTGCACATTCATATTATTATGAATTGTCAAAAAATGTGGGGTTGCGAATCAACATTCAATGATCTCTTTTTTGTATTAATCACGGTGTAGATTTTAAACTTCTCGTTTCACCTCATTGAGCATAAAGGTAATATAAGCACATCGTTTTCATGTGATTTTCAAACACGCTGCAATCGAATATAGGTATAGGCCGAGCAGTCGAGAGGGCAATAGAGTGCCGAGGGTCATCTGGGCTGCGTTTGAGTTTTAATGGCTCAGGAACGTGTCGGTGTTGCCACCTCCATGACGTGCAAAAGTCACCAAAAGAATCTCGACAACTCACCCAAACACATTAAAAAAAAACTAAACCATCCCCATCCTACCAGGCAAAGCCCACTGAGGTATGAACTTATTATTCAGAACAAATGATAGCTCAACAATGTGGCCCATCATTTGGACATGTATAGCACCAAAATAGTCTCAATGCATTTGCGATTTGTCTGGTAAAGTATGGTGTTTAGATTAAATTATGAAATAGCGTGTAACACAATGCTACGTTGTCATCCACAACTTAGGTAAATCAGGTTCATTGTACAGTCCGATTAGAAAAAAAAAACTTATTTATTTGGTAGAGTACAGAGGGCAAGTTGTAAAAGTCAAGCAACATTGTTGCGTGGACTTTATACCGAAATCCTATGACATCGTATAACACAACACATGCGTATTTTCATAAAAATGTTGAATACCCTGTATGTTAGGCATTCACCGAAAGATGCAATTTCATTATTTTGCACACATTTTATATACCGTGTAGAATATCTGTGAAGCGTTAGGAAAGTTAATATGGTTGGAGAATACTCTGGGTTTTTTTCGGTAAAATCTAGAATGGTTGGAGAAATAAAATAAAAATCCAGCAAAAAACTGTTTGATTTTTCAAGAGACTTTATTAAAATGCTAATACTCTCTTTGTGAATGTTTTCTGTATTACTGTGCATTGAAATGTACCTGAAGTGGTTTTGGAGAATATACGGCTCAGAATCTCTAAATTGGTTAACCCTTTAACAACACTCTGGGATGTTTTACCCACGCGTGTGTGTGTGTGCGCGCGTGTGCTTGCATCCATTCGCCGACGAATTATTCAAACTTGAGGCCCAACGATGGATGTACGCATCGAATCGAAAAACGTTGTCCAAAGTGTAATAATTGTACTGGCAAAAGTGGCATGCAGCGATAATAAAAGTAACATGCTGTGGAATACGTCGGTTAAGATAAACTTTTTTATGCTTATGATAAATGGATATAATGGTTAAGTCCAGCTGTGATTACGTTGTGGAGCTGCGTTTGTCTTGGTTGGTCTTCACCTCGTGTCATTAATATTAACATTTCACACCAAACTCGGATATATACAGTAGTCACGAACCCATTCCTTTACATTTAAAGAGTCGTCGTCATCATCATCATCAGCACCACGATAATTCACCAGCAGGAGGAAGACAAGCGGCAGGAAGTTTGGAGAGCGCCACTCGCAGGCGCCTCGAGTTCCGCGCGGGCCCCGACGCTTCTCTCTCCGACAAGTTCTGTTGGGTTTGTAATCTAGAACTATTTACACTTGTTAAGTTAAAGTCGGTTAACGAGTTTACCCGATACGTTTAACGTCACACAGCAACGGTGGTTTTGTGTGTGCGTGTGTGTGTGTGTGCGAACGTTTTAAAACCGCGTGTATACTGTGTGGCGTTCATGCGAACGATCGCCACTGGAGCTATATGCAGTTTTTTAAAAATCTAATTTAATTCTTTATAACTGCCTTGTGTTGTTTAGTTTGTTGTCCTTCTCACGCTCCGATTAGCACGGACAAAACAGAAGTTCACATGTGGATTTAGTTTCGAAGCAAGAGGGAAACACGAGATACATTGGTGTGTGGACGTGTGTGCATGTGTACGCGTGTTTGTTTCTACATTTCACATTGAATACAGACGACACATTTGACGGGGCTTGCCGAGAACGAATGGAGAAGTATAAGGAGGGCAGTGAAGAGTCTGAGTTAGTCACTACAGCTGATGGCAGTGAAGAGTCTGAGTTAGTCATTACAGTTGATGGCAGTGAAGAGTCTAAGTTAGTCACTACAGTTGATGGCAGTGAAGAGTCTAAGTTAGTCACTACAGCTGATGGCAGTAACGAGTCTAAGTTAGCTAAGACAGGTGATGGCAGTGAAGAGTCTAAGTTAGTCACTACAGCTGATGGCAGTAACGAGTCTAAGTTAGCTAAGACAGGTGATGGCAGTATCGAGTCTAAGTTAGCTAAGACAGGTGATGGCAGTAATGAGTCTAAGTTAGTCACTACAGCTGATGGCAGTAATGGATGTGAGTTAGTCACTACAGCTGATGGCAGTAATGGGTCTAAGTTAGTCACTACAGCAGATGGCAGTAACGAGTCTAAGCTAGTCACAACAGGATATAGCAGTAACGAGCTTAAGGTAGCCAAGGCAGGTGAGCGGAGCAAGGTGTCTGTGTTCAGTGAGGAACCTCGTCAAGACAGCAACAGGCAGGAAATTATTTCCAAGATCAAGAGGGGCCAAACAGCTGTGGCATCGAATGTAGGAGGGACGGACGATAGCACGAGTTCACATGTGCAGCTGATGGAGGAGGAGACTGCTGTACTCGTGGAGAACCTGCCTCGTGACCTGGACAAGGTACTCAAGGGGAAACTACAGAAATATTTCCAGAGCAAGCGGTCCGGTGGTGGGGAGTGCCAGCTGATCTCTCACCGGGACTCAAAGCGCAAAGCCATCGTGAAATTCACCTCTAAACAAGGTATGGTAGAGCAACCTGTATGTCCACACACTGCCAGCCCACGTCCCAATTTGTTTAATATGGTTTGTGTGCATAAAGGAGAAATTGCAGTGTAATGATGTTGCCCATGGCCTGCCCGCGTTTGCCCTCCACCTCATGGCGAACAACATTGTAAAACCAATCACACAACGCGGTTCGAATTCGACCCTCGATCGATGGCTGCGCCATCGCCGCACACGTGTCGAATAGTCGAATAAAAAGTAAGGGACAAGTCCTTACTTACTAACAACTAACATTTTTCATTGCTGGAGGAATTGCCCCCCCCTACCTGAAAATCCTGGCTCCGCCATTGGTGCCTCTCTCACTCCCTTCTGTAGCCCCATACGTGCCTCTTTATTCCTATGAAAAAAATCAATTTGGTAAAAATAATGTGGATCACATGATGTTTAACAATACTGATTCATGTTACACATGTGCAAGACACTGGACACATTGCAAAGGAAATACATCCTTAAAGCTTTCGAGACTGCAGAAATTAATATTCTTGGGTCTTTCGGTAAAGTCATGTAGATAGGTTCAAAGAAAAAAATAACAAAAAAATAACAATTCTACCACGTTTAGATTTTCTCCTGATGATGATTGCTTTTGTTGCGATCGAAACGTGGTAGTTTTTTGTACTTGTTGATATTTTCTTTGAACCTATCTACGTTACTTTTTTGAAAGACCCAACAATAAGGAAATACATAGTTACATATATTTGATTGTCTTGCATCACCATCTATATACTTTAGTCTTTCCTTCCTCGTATGGATAATGTATCACCAGAACACTGGCACTCACCAGACTCTCATCAGACACCACTCACCTCACACGAATGATCTAATACCACTTAGAACTCATCAAACACTGGCACTCACCAGCCACTCATAATAGCCAGATACCCACCATTCACCTTCCACCATACACTCACCACTCAGAGTAAGTCTGATGGTGGATAATTACGGTACTTACACTGATCAGGCATTCACTCACCAGATGCTCACCACTCACCGGACACTCACCAGATAGTTACTGACACACCACTCATGATCACCTGACCACTGACAGCTCAGACTCAACACTCCAGATAAGCATATACTTTGTGTAAAAAGTGCATAACTGAAGGTAACCCATTCTTTGATACCTATTATATCAGGTTAGTCAAGAGTACATTTTCATCGATGCATTGTATTGGTCCTTGTTATTGTTGAAATAGAAATGACTAAATACTAGTCACTTTTGTTGCAGTGCGGAACAGTGTCTTAGCTAAAGGTGAGCACGTGATTGAGGTGTCCAGTGATGAGAAGGCGGAGGTGCACGTCACTGCCTTCACGGCCTCACCAGCAACTCCTGCGGAGCCTGGAGCATCCATCGATTTACAAACCTCAGCCAATGACAAAAGTGAAGAGGTAACCATGTCTTTCGATTTAAAGCTTTCGTGACTGCAGGGATTCATCTTCTTTGGTTCTTTCGCTTGTGTTGTGGCCGAAACGTCGTGAGAATTTTATTGTTTATTTTATTATTTTATTCTCATTCCACGTGACTTTACCGAAAGAACCAAAGAAGATTAACCATGTCTTTGTATTCAGACATATAACACAAATGTTATAATATTTCACATTGCATTATTATAAGAAGCAGTACAATTCTCCATGGTCGAAATGCATAAGCAGACAAAGTCTCCTTCATATATCTGTCTCTCCACAGAAAAACATTTTTGCACAAATTATTGGCCTCACTGCCTCCTGGAAGTGCATAATTTTAGCAGCAAACGCTCTGGAATGGTTTTTACATAGTGTCTCATCAGCAGTCAGGATTGTTCAAATAAACTAGCTTTTTTGCCCGTCCAAGGACTGGTATATATTGCAGTAAATCTGAAATATTCAATAGAAAAATTGTTCAGCTCATGATTATTAATGAGGGGGGTTGCCCCATGTGGAGTGACGTCACCCGTTAATGGTTATTGTGGAGGGGTGCGGCATGTGGAGTGACGTCACCCCTCATGATTATTAATGAGGGGTGCGGCATGTGGAGTAACGTCACCCGTTCATGGTTATTGTGGAGGGGTGCGGCATGTCGAGTGACGTCACCCGCTCATGATTATTAATGAGGGGAGGGGTGCGGCATGTGGAGTGCACGACCTTGTGCGTTGGTGTAAATTTCCACGCGGGTATGAATATTAATAAAGGGGGGGGGGGCTCTTTTGCGGTGACGTCACGCACGGATGTAGCACTGTGCTGCGTAGATTTATTTTTTACCTTCACTTTCTGTAAAGAATCGTCATATTTTAAGCGACTTTGTGTAATAAATTATTTCATTCAGCTCGACCTGCGTTCGTGTAAAAATCCACCCACTAATGAATATTAATGAGGGAGGTGGCCCTCATGTGGAGTGACGTCACGCGGGGGGGGTGGGCCTCATGTGGAGTGACGTCACGCGCGGGACATTCTTGGCTCATAGTAGTAATTCTGGTAAATTTCCAGACGTTATATATGTATGTAGAACTTCTTTCGCATCATACATAGCCAACAGGGCTTATCGGAGGTGTGGGGGAAGGACAACAAACTAAACCACAATAAGCAGTCCGAAAGGAATTTGTTTTTAATGTTTATGTGAAGAAACAATTATATGAAGGAGACATTGTCTGCTTGTATATTTTGTTATTTATTTTCTCCACAATGATACAAATGATTACTTTGTGTTATATATTATCCAAAGTTAATTGAGATGAACAAAAGTATTTGTTGGCATAGAGCGAGCTGAAGGGATCATAGAGGGGAGATGAAATGTTGAAGTGAAGTAGAATTAAGCCCATTGTATTTTCTTTCAAAGTGACAGTAAAAAAAACCTCACTGAGCACTATAGTGGAACACTCAGGAAAATACATAATTCGCCTTTCATTACATACCTCCACACAAAAAATAAAATGTTTAGTCCAGCAGCCAATTGACCTCCCAGACTTGCATTAACCAGCATCGCCTGTTGAAGCATGCAAACTCAAGAATGGTTTCGACCCCCTGGGTCTCATAAGCAATCAGGCATTTTAAACGCTCAAGTTTTGCCAGATGTTATTGGTAAGTTTACTCTCTCTACACCATGAGCATAAGTGCATAATAATATTGTACCCTGGGCAATAAATGAAATAAATGCCTTTCCATTGTGGACTTACCAATAACATAAAAAGCAGGATTTAACATGCCTGACTCTAGTGATGACACCGACTGGGTCAAACCCTGTTCAGAATTTGCTGTTGATTAACAGAAGCCCAATGGGCTAATAAACGAACAAATATAACTTTGTAAAAACAGGTGATTTTATTAATTCAAAGTGAGAGGTTTGGTGACTGAGGTGGATAAGAATAAAAAGCCAGTGGAGGCATGTAAAGAATTACATTGATACCCTTTATGTTGCTGCTTACATGGGAATAATATTCTTATTAACCCACTGTCTTCATCAGAGTGAAAAGGCAAAGGAAACCCCATTGGATAAATCAACAGATACGCCAGAGAAACTCAAGCCTTTGAAAGAGACACTGAATTCATATTTGCTGAAGTTTATCACATCGAATGAAGAGCACAGGTCAGAGCTGGAAAGAGCCCTGGAAAAATCCAGATGCAAATTCAAGGCGTTGGACGTTAATACCATCTCACTCTTACCATTAAATGAGTCAATCACAGACCACAATGAATGGCAAGGTTCGGTTACAAAGATGTTTACACAATTTATTGAGGGTTATGCTCATGAAACAATAACATGCACAGAAAAAGAATGGCAGGAGGTAGAAAGAAATAATGAACAAAAAAAGGATGTAGAAGTTTTGTATAAGAATGGCATACAACTGACTGGGAAATCTGATGAAGTAAAAAAAATAAAACAAAAAATAGAAGACATCATGAGCGAGTTTAATAAAGGTAGTTTATTTACGAATATTGAACCTCATTATTTTGAATTGCTACAGGATAAGCTCTGCATGAGCTTTCCAGGTGTACAATTTGACATGGATAGCAAAGCATCAACATTGTACCTCAAGGGAAATGCCAGAAAAGTTGAGGATGCCAAAAAATATATAGACTCCAGCATAGAAAACTCAGACAAAAAGAAATGTAGCTTTGGAAGTTATCTGAACGACTTTATAAGGAAAACTGACCTCAATGCCTTGGTGCAAATGCACTTTAGTGATAATAACATCAAAGCCCTTTGTGGATTTGATGAAAATGGAATCTACATTTATTCACTAGAGGGTTATTCTGAACAGGCCCATGACATTTTAAATCGCATCTTAAAGGATCTGCTTTTTCTGGTTACTAAAAAGTACGTAGCTGTCATGAAAAGTGAACAGTGGAATGTGTTTTTTAAAAAACTAGAGCACACATTTTCTTCTGGAAATATTAACTGCATATTCACTCCTTCAAAGCACAATGATGGCACCTGCCGTGCAATTTACATCGCAGGGATAGCAGAGGCAGTAGAAAAGGCAGATAAGGACTTGACAAGCTATTTCAAAGACAACACTGCTGAAGAAATAATTCCTTTGCAGAATGAAGCATTGTGCAGTTGCATCATTGAATACATGAAGATCATCAAACATCCTGCATTCAAAAGTGTTTCTGTCGAAAGGCACGATTCACTGATGGATATCATTATTATGGGCCACAGTGAAGAGGTAGAGAAACACAAGCAGTCTATAAATAATGTGGTTTCAAAAGTCAACAAAGAACTTCGGAAAAATGAGAGAGGCGTACCAGATGCAAAGAGCATCTCTATGTTCCTAGAGAAATACAGAGGGCGCAACTCTCGATGTTCTAGTCAGAATCAAGAACAATTTGCTTCAGTGGCAGGTGCTTCAGAAAGACCAGTTGCAACTCAACAAAGGCCTCCTGTAAGATTGCCTGGCAATCGATTTTTGTTTGTGCATGAAGACGACATTTTAAATTTGAATGTAGATGTGATCGTAAATGCAGCAAATGCAAATTTAAATCATTTAGGGGGGCTCGCTAAAGTACTGTCTGATGCAGGAGGTACAGTCATTCAGCAGGAGAGTGATTCTTACGTCAGAAAGCATGGAAAAGTGCCTACAGGAGAGTTGGCCATAACGGGGCCAGGCCACCTGCCATGTAAGAAGGTTTTTCATGCTGTTGGCCCTGCGTGGGGAGATTACCGGCATAATACATCTGTAGGAATCTTTCTTCTTCGAAAGGTTATCACGAATGCGTTAAAGAAGGCTGATGAAGAAGGTTTCAAATCCATTGCAATTCCTGCCATTAGTGCTGGAATATTTTCCTTTCCACTGGATATCTGCTCTAAAGAAATTTGGCATGCTATTTTTGAGTACTGTAAAATGACTCATGATTGCCCGAAAACCCTGACTGATATTCACATCGTGGATATTAATGACGAATTCATTTATAAATTGAGAAAAACCATAGAGCTTACAATGAACCGTAAGGACCGATCAGAAGAGCAATCGAGTAAAACCCATAAGATGCAGGATGAAGAAGAGGATGAGGGCCCTAACAAAAAAATTAAATTCGCTTGTTATGAAACTGAAGATAGAGTCACTGCTTGGGAAAATCGTAAAACAAAGGAGACATTTTCTGCAGAAATGAACGACATTCAAAGAAATTCTATTACCACGAAGGAAGGAAGAACGATACAAGTTGTATTTGGAAATATTGAAGATCAAACGGTAAGTTATTTCTGGTACCATTCAATTGTTCATGCATACTTTCTCAATGTGAAATGTCAGTGTGTTCCAATACTCAAAGGAGTATTAGGTAGCACTAAATTCTATATGCAGTCCTGAGAAAGTGTTGGAAAATTCTATATTTCTATGGTGGGGTTCACTCTCCACAAAAAAAACAGTTTAACACGTAGGCTTCGCGACCAATATCATCGCGTAATTATAAATGTGTTGTTAAACCCGCCAAACCTTACTAATTGGCTGTCGGGTGGTGGTGGGTTTAACGACACATTCATATTTACGTGATCTAACCGAAAAAAAACCTATATTATGAAAAAAATAGTTAACTCTTCACAATGCTGTATGCGTATCATTGACCCAGGAGGAATGATTGGCAACACTATGTTTGAGTCTAATCTCACACAGCATCAGCAAGACACCTCTATATAATAACTAAACAAATAAGGCTAAGAACGTCATTTCACTGCTTGATGAATGCCTCCCCATGCCGTATGATTCATTGGTGTAGTTTGGATTAGTTCAGATATCACTTGCTCCTGATTAGCTGTGGCTGGGAATCAAACTCTTGTCGTTGGGTGTCAGAGCAGTATGCTAACAACTGCACCACCACTCCACGTCTTTATGTATGGCATGGAATATATTGTATGCACACTGTTGAGGATTGAGTGGTGGCCCAATAGTAAGCAACACTGCATTACAAGCCGCCTGAGTTTAATTCCCGGACAGAGCGAACAGTGGTGCGTGATATGTGAACTGGTCAAGCTCCCCAGCCCTTCACCGCCCCCCTCACAAGTTTGTAGTGACCAAACAATCCCTACAAGTGACACAGCATTGGGCGACCGTCATCCCAAAGTTGAATGACCAAGGGATATGAATTACTGTGTACACTATTACCACCTTGTTTATGAAAAAAAGAAAAGGTAAAAAATAAATAAGTAATATTAAAAAATACTTTTTTTAAACACGCTTTAATGAAATGTACCGTACTCGTAATGGCAGAATTCCACGACTCCAGGAAGTGGCCGCAAAGCTTGCCATAACGTAAGGGGACCGTGGTGATTTACAGTTGAGCAGTGGACAATTAGAGCCAAGCCGAAACAAAACGTAAAAAATATGTTAAAAATATGTTAAAATATATATTTTTATTTTTAATGATATAATATAGTATTGTCACCAGTATGACATAAGTATACCAAGTTTGCATTCGATACCACATTGGGAAGTGGGTGAAAATTGAGTTACAAGATTTGAGGATACAACAACAGACAGAGTGAGTTAATAGAATGCGTGTAATAGTAGAACTGGGATACCCGATTCTATAATTGTTAAGTTACTCTAATAATTATCTATTTATTGGTAAATTAGATGACATGAAAATAGTCGAAAAACATCTGACCCCTATTTCCACGTGTGCCTCTGGATGGGAGGTGATGGGTGCGGCTTCATAATTTCACCAGCATAATGACTTTCATAATAAAGGTTTTTGGGTTAGATCGCGTTTATTTATAAATGTGTCGTAACCCTCCACCACCCGACACGGCCAATCAGCAAAGAAAAGTGTCACGTTGACAAAAGACAAATAATTCACTACTTCAGCCCACCGGTGTGTTGAAGAGTTAATCCACATTTACAGTTTGAGTACGACGTTTCGCTGGTAAATACTTCCAGCATCATCGGGCAATTCGCCAGAATGGATTAATTCACGCAGAACGTGACTTTTAGGGGGTTTCCCATCTGTGGCAGGCTGCCAATTTTAAAGCGGGCTAAGCAATTGCCCACAAAAAAGTAGTTGATTATTCAACTAATCGTCTGAGCTCTAAAAACTAGTTCATTGGTTCAAATACTTAACACTGTCATAGAGTAATTGTCATCCAGTTGTAAATGTTAATGTCGCCCTAAACATGTGCAAGTTAAATGTGCCGCCCCCCCCCCCCCCCCCAAATAGAGTGTAATATTTAAATCATTTGTTTCAGACTGAAGTTATCGTGAACTCCACGTTTATTGAAATGAAGCTCGACATTGGAGGTGCAACATCTGCTGCTCTTCTTCGTAAAGCTGGGCCTGCACTCCAGGATGAACTTAACAGAAAAAATACCTATCGCATTGGTCATGGAGACATCATAAGCACAGACACCTCAAAATTTCGTCTCTCTTGCAAGAAAGTGTACCATATTGCTGTGCAACCTGTTAAAATCAAAGGGGTAAGTGGCCTTGTTATTTAAGCTCATGTAGAAAGACAAAAAATAAATTTGAAGTATGTCTGCTTTGCTTGCTCACTTCAGCATTAGGTTGTGCCCTGAGCGAGTGGTGGAGATTCTGCATTCGTTTTGTTTTGTGTTCCTGTAGTTTACCAATTTTATACTGTACCATGTGGATTTTCATTAAGCCACATGAAAATGAATGTATAAACACGGTGGATCTCTACTTGATCTCTAAAAATAACGTGCCATAAATCGAGTGATTTCCACCAAGGCTGCTCAATCCTGTTGACATTTCCCAGAAGGCAAAGCTCTGCCGAAGTGGCTCCAAACAATCAAGAGCCTGTGAGTGAGATGAATTTCAAATTGTGATATCGGCACATTTTGCTGCCAAGAGCCCAATAAGATGGGGCACAGCAAGTCACGTACCGAAATAAGGGCTTTCATGCCCTACTTCCACAGTCTCATGAACAGACTAATGAATTCAAACCAAATTAATCCTAATCGTGCCTTCGTGTAGTTGTACCAGACACAACATTGTTAAAATTCTATGAGATAGCGATTTGCACTATTTATGGCAGAAATTTTACACCTAAACATATGGAACTGTTGGTTGATGGAAGTAATCCATCAGTAGGGCTGGTGGATTTCCAAGATGTAATTCGTTCTGCCCAGAGAATTTCCCTTTTGATGTAGTGATCCATTTAAAATAACTTTAAAAGATTTGCCAGTCTTAAATTGGAAGCTGTTCTTATTAGGAACACACCTCTTGTCATGCCCTCCATGGCTGTTAGATCACAAACCTTGTTTTACCAGCCTGCACTAGTAAATCTCTTCAGGATATGAATTGGACTTAAAATGCAGTTATTAACTTGATTCGCATCTTTATCCCCGTTTTCTCAAACCCAAAGTGCTCCATCAAGTTTCAATAGTTAACACATAGGCTTTCGCGACCAATATCATCCATAAGGTTTTTTTGGGTTAGATCGTGTAACTATATAAATGTGTTGTTAAAACCTGCCACCACCCGACACAGCCAACTAGTAAGGGTTGTCCTGTAAAAAGAACATGCCAATTCGACACTAGTACAGCACACTGGTGTGTTGGAGAGCCAAGCCACAACATTTACAATCCGAGTACAACGTTTCGCCAGTAATTACAACTAGCTTCATTCCTTATATAAAGGCGAAACAGGATGACTTCTCCACAAATCTGGCTGTCGCCTGATGAAGCTAGTTATAATTACTGGCGAAACATCATACTCAGATTGTAAATGTTGTGGCTTGGCTCTCCAACACACCGGTGTGCTGTAATAGTGACGAATTGGCATGTTCTGTTTACGTGACAACCCTTACTAGTTGGCTGTGTCTGGTAGTGGCGGGTTTTAACGACACATTTATATATTTACGTGATCTAACCCAAAAAAACCTCGTAAGTTTCAATAGTTCTCTACAAAATGCAAATTGCACCCGTTTTAATTTTTACACTAGATTTTGTGAAAACGAAATGTTTTACACAATTCGTGATTCATGGTAAGAGAAACACGTAAAATCTTTTTTTATTGCAAATGTACAAATAATACTTGATTCAACATGTTTTATTTTATATACAGTACGTTTAATGGACTTAATAATATAAGGTTGGTTTCAATTTTATCGTTAAATTAAAAATGTCTCAATTAGGAAAGTAAAAATACTATTTCAACAAACATTTTTCGATTTAAAGCTTTCGTGACTGCAAGGATTCATCTTCTTTGGTTCTTTCGGTAAAGTCACGTAGAATGAGAATAAAATAATAAATTGATAAAATAAAATAACACAATAATATTCTCACGACGTTTCGGCCACAACACAAGCGGCCTTCATCAGGTGAAGGGACGAGACTCCAGACAGTCTCCAGACAGTCTTCATCCCTTCACCTGATGAAGGCCGCTTGTGTTGTGGCTGAAACGTCGTGAGAATATTATTGTGTTATTTTATTTTATCAATTTATTATTTTATTCTCATTCTACGTGACTTTACCGAAAGAACCAAAGAAGTTCAAAAAACATGTTATACATGCTGTAACTTTACCAAGATAATTCCACATTGCAGTTATGTCGTCTACTTGTTTTGCAGTCTGTGGACAAAATGACATTGGACTGCCTGAAGAAAGCTCACAAAGAAAAAGTGACATCCATCTCCTTCCCAGCCCTGGGCACTGGGAATTTAAACTGCCCACCACAACAGGTTGCTCGTGCCATGCTGTCAGCTGCCATCCAGTTCAACAAGGAGCATAAAGACGAAATCCTTCAGCTCATTCAGTTTGTGATCTTAAGGTCTAAACCAGACATATTTAAGGTTAGTGTACATTTTAATGCAGGTATACACCACCTTGCTTTGTTTAAAAAAAAACACATACTCATGCGGAAATTTAAAAAGCCTAAGTTTTGACAGACCCAGGTTTGTCATAGAATCTCCAAATTTTTATGGTGAGGACCAGTATATTAATGGGATATTCATGGGATGACTACTGTTGCTTTCCCCCAAAAGGTGATTATTTACCAATTGTAAAGGGCTGATATTCTTGGAACATACAGTGGACTAATAACATGTTTTATAACAGGTAATGTGTGTTTAGTAATAGTGACAGACATGTTTTTACAATAACGATGTAGGAGAGAAAATATTTCAGATAGTATGAAGTGAAATATTATTGTAATAGGAATCTGTGTATGATATTACATGTGTAGAGGTGTTACGGGAGGGTGACACGCAGTTGTATAACGGTGGCCACAACCACGTCCGCTACGGCCACCACCCTGGGGGGCTGTGGGGGACGCTGTGATCCCTCCCAGCCCCACCCCTCAGTGAGGGACAGTATAAAAGGTGGGACCCGGAGAGCTGAGGGGCAGTTCGACTCGAGCAAGACGAAGAGCCAGTGAAGAAAGAAATCAACTAGCCAGACCCTGGGACTCCTTTGGCCCGCTGTCCTTCTGAGGGCCGGGCAAAGCAAGCCAGGGTGCGACACCAGAGCCGCGAGGGCCGATGTCCTTCCGAGGGCCGGACTCGTGTGGCTGGTGATCGGGACCTGCGCCGAAGCTGGGCCAGGTCAGACAGCCTCCTGAGAGAGGACCAGGATAGAGGGAACCAGGGGGCTAGCGTGGACTAAAGCTCGGGGAACGTTCCCTCTATAGAGTATGGGTGAAGAGGCCGTTACCTCTTCAAGTATCAGATTCGCCACTGTAATTGAAGCGTCTGTAGTAAATACGTGTTGCCTCAAGTGAACAGTCTCCGACGTCAGTAAGGCCACTACACACGCATTACATCCCAGATTTGAGATGATTGTAAAAGGTTATTTAATTTTATATGCAATGTACAATATATGGTGCATTGTAAAATGTCATTTACTTATCCTGTAAAGTGGCCTATTAACAGTTAAAACGAATGTATTTTACTGTAATTACACCTGTGTGCTTTCCGTACAGATATTTTACTAGTATTTACAAAATAACCTGCTGCAGAGTCCGTATTCTTAAGTGAGTATTTTACTGTTACAGGCTTTTGAAAACGAAATATCGAGTTCCATATCGGACTCCGAAGCCAGAGCGCCCAACCTTAAGCAGGAGGAAAGGTTTCAAACTGGCGCAGGTACAACATTCACGTGTTCTCTCGTGCTTTTGACGCCTGCATGCATTCATTACAAAAAAATGCATTGACCATGTTTGCTTTTTCTTACTTCCAAGATGTAAAGTCTCAGGGTCTAATTGTATCACCATGTGCATTTCAATTAATTATTATGTTAAAAGGGAGTCTGTAGAAATGTTTAAACTTTACAATTTGTCTACGTTGCAGAGCATAATAAGAAACTATTTAAAATACAGGGAATTACTGTCGAGCTGTGCAGTGGGGATATCACTCAAGAGAAGACGGACGCCATTGTCAACTCCACAGACACTAGTATGAGTGTGACCTCAGGTAACCACGAACCACACCCATAACATAGCAATTACAGAATTTGCACAGGATACTTTCAAAGAAAATTAACATGAAATAAACAGTACTTTATCAAAGTTAAATGAAAGTGGGTTCCTTTAACCCCGCGATCAATTGCGAGCTACTCAGCTGTGATCACTAGCAACAATGTTCACACTTGCATGCGCCAATAGTTATGGATTTTTTAGACAAAATTGAGCTCTGCTTAATTAAATACTGTGCACCTTTGTGTAAAATTTCACATAGAACTTTTAAAATATGTGTATCAAGTCGGTACACTACTTCTCATTATGGAGCATTCTGTCAAAATATTTTCCAGTGGGTCTGTGATTCATATTCTAGAGGAAAACTATTCTTCCAAATTGACAATTTCAGTTTTTCTCGAAACGTTTCCTTTGTATGCATGTTGAACATTTACACCGTGCATAGCCAACTGTGCTAATGGGAGGTGCGGGGAAGGATAACAAACTAAACACAGCATTTTCGAACACCTTTGGAAGGCCACAATCACATATCCCTGTCACTTGGTCACTGCAATAGGCCCTTGCAGAAGTGAGTAGGCATGCCAAAATTTGAAACAGTGTTGACAGATCGAATATATTCCCCCCTTGAATCGATTAGTGCAGCTAAGATGCTTGGAGTGAGGGATACCAGTTGTTTCCAGGCTGTTTAGAAGTGTAGTATGCCTCATGGGGCCGTGGGCAGTAGGTTTCCCCAACGCTGATTTCAATAATTTTACAGTTAATAGCGCATTACCATAATACATTGACAAAAAGTTAAATAAGATGTATTTCTCAAATGGAATGTAAGTATATAAGAAATAATTACACTGTGGTTTTATATCCTAGCTGATCAAAAAATGGTTTATATCGAATGTTTATGTGTAACGTGGTGCCTGCTAAACAACAACGTTTCTGGTTTTTCCTCTGTCTCCTTGACGTCAGGTTTTTTTTTGTTCTGCCCCATCTATGAGCCTACACCTCTTGCTACCTCCTGATCTTTGCCTGACCTCTCCTCTGAATCGTCGCTGCCTTTACTGCCGTGGAACTCATTGGTGCTATTCCGGCTGCCCCTGGAACTCTGTGAAAAGGGCTTTCATGCCCTCAAGATTCCCCTGTCACTCGTTGCACTCCTTGGTTGAGCATCCGCAATGGAACTCGTTGAAGGGTCCCGGCCCCCATAGATGTCTGTCTTGGCTGTCTCTGTTGTTGGTGTTGGACCCCAGTTGCTTCGTCCTGGGCTGTGCCATATCATGTTGCTCTGTCATTTCTCTCTGTTTCCCTACCTTGACCTCCACCCTACCGCACCTACGACTAAAATTTAGCTTTTCCTCTTAAATGTGAAATGTCTTGCATTTCATACTACATTACAAAATTGTTCTGCGTGCGTTCTAACTGGCTGGAGGCCATGTACCACCCAACAAGCAGAGAGGAAGGGCCGCAGATGTAGCTGACACATGGGTGGGGGCACGCGGTGGGCACCGAGGGGAGCGTGCACGAGGGGGCCCCGTATAGGGGTGTATATATGGGCAGGGGGACGGAGGGGTCTTGGGAGTCCCATGCGCGAGGGGGCCCCGTATGGGGGTGTATATATGGGTAGGGGGACGGAGGGGTCTTGGGAGTCCCATGCGTGAGGGACCCAGTGGTGGGGGGGAGGACCGTTATTCAATGACAGGTACTTTCACTGTATCGTTTTATAAAGTAAAATTTGGCTGGCAGGAGTGACAGTTTTCAGTTTCATTTATTAGGTATAACTCCTTGAGCCATGCAGCTCTTGACTCTGGTGCAACCGCAACAAAACAAAAACATGAACAAGAAACATCTTAAAGTGACTATATGCAACAGAAAAAAATCCTGAAAAAAACAGCAAAGTCTTGCAGAAAAAACACCGCATTTCAACGCTGTGTGCATAAATACCAGTGGGATGCAAGTCAAACAATAACAACCATAAGAAAATGTAGATTAAAGTTATCAGGCCAACTCTGTACTACAACAAACAAACATGGCCAAACCGAACCATCCTCAAAATCACCAAAATAAAGCCACAAAAACAATGTAACAGTGATCATAGGAACTGTGATTCAAATCCAACAACAAACGATATACGTAACATGTACGACCAAATCCCGCAGCCATTGCTGGATGCATGAGTCGCTCCATAACAGCAGAAACATCAGTAGCAGAATACAAATTTCTCAATACACCTTTAAAGATCAGCACACCACAATCAAAACTCAAGATCATACTTTGCAGTGGTCACCCGGAATGATACATTTTAGACAAACGGACAGTCACGTCCAAAAAACATGCAGGCTGCAAGTTTCTGTTAAAAATATGATTGTTGTTGTGTTACCCTTCCAGGAATTAGCAGTGCTATCCTTAAGGCTGCTGGACATACGATTCGAGATGAATTCTCAAAAGGTAATATATTGTGTTATTCATGATAGTTTCCATTTATTTGGTCAAGAATAGGTCATTGATGTTATTTTATAGGTTGAAGTTATTTGGTCAGGATAAATATTATTTATTGTATTCAATTTTTATATAATCCCTTGTTTTTTCGATGTTTGAATATGTATTATTTCCTTATTGCAGAACATCCCAAGTTGGGAGACATTGTTGTGACCACAGCAGGCCAATTGGAGTGCAAATATATTTTGCACATTGCAGGGCTTCAGGGTAATATTGAACAAACCTGTTCAAGAATACTACATGAATGTCAAAAGAAAAATATAAAATCGGTGTCTTTTCCAGCATTTGGTACAGGTACATATATTTGATGTTTTAATGAATGTTATATTTTGTTGCCATACAAGAATGGTGAAAAATTAATTTTTTTCTTCAGTTATTTAAATGTAAAAACTGGCCTTTGCCATAGGGAATGTTTGATATCCGCATGCTCAGGGCCACCAAAATAGATGAGCATTGCCACACACTAAAGTAGGGAGACACTTTACCTTGAAATATTGTAGAAATTATTACCGAAATCTCGGCAATATTGTTTCAAGTATGATCCTAAATGATTTACTCTTGCCCATGTTGTTTCATCAGGTAATGCGAATCTATCACCTCGGAACGTTGCTTCTGGTATGCTAAACGCAATCCATGCGTTTGCAAAAGAAAACAAACCTACAATTGTGACCAACATACGTATTGTGTTTGTTGAAAATTCGCTTTTGAACGTCTTCCAAGACGTCTTTCATGGACGCATCCACTAACATCACTTTGCTGCACCTAACAATTACGTAATTGTCTTGTTTGCTTCCAGATTACACTTATGTTTTCATCACTAATCTAAATTGATATCCGATGGGTTTTTATCCACATCTAAATGTATGTCTATCATGCAATATTAAAATACAGTAAGTTATCTACTACGTTGGGGATGCATCCTTGGAAAACGCGACATGAGGCAAAACATAAATCTAAACACCTATTTTACCATTGACTTAATTATGTTTCTGGGGTACATTTTTCGTCAAAATTTGAGAAAAAATATTGTCTTAAAAAAGATTCCTAACACGTTTAAATAAAAAAGTTAAATCACAGTGCTCACCAGAGATGGCGGCGGAGATTGCACAAACAGGGACTCCTCTACTTACGAACGAGTTAGGTTCCAGGTCTGTTCATAAGTCGAATTGTTCGTAAGTACAACTTTACTTTCGTCGATTTAAAACAAACACGGGGAATGGCTTTAAAAGTTATATAATATCCTGTAGATGCCACTGGTTCTTCATGTTCTGCAGATGTAGATGCCACCACCGCCATCTATTGCTTGGGGGTTGAACTTACGACTCTTGGCCCAAACAGGATACTGGACATGTGGACAGGTTTGTTCGTATCTCTAAAAGTTCGTAAGTAGAGTTCGTAGGTAGAGGAATCCTTTGTAGGGAGTAGTACAATATGTACTCCTATATTGAATACATGCATTTTATTATTAGTTCCCTAATTCGTAGGCAATGTTAGGGAAAGAGTGAATATTAGCAACATAAAAATAAGACTTGCTGCACTATTATTTTATTTGGTTTAATTTATTCAGCAATGCTTTATCATGCAGAATTTCGATTTAAAGCTTTCGTGACTGCAAGGATTCATCTTCTTTGGTTCTTCCGGTAAAGTCACGTAGAATGAGAATACAATAATATAATAAAATAACACAATAAAATTCTTACGACGTTTCGGCCACCTGAAGAAGGCCACTTGTGTTGTGGCCGAAACGTCGTAAGAATTTTATTGTGTTATTTTATTATTTTATTCTCATTCTACGTGACTTTACCGAAAGAACCAAAGAACATGCATAATTTTTTGTTACATTTATTTTCTGTCGCCCTGTAAATTAACATCTGAAGTACCTGGTAGTTGATGCGAGTTGTAAGCTCTTGCACCAAATTACATTTCAGTGCAACCTATCCAAAATTTGATCAGTTTCCAAAATTAATTCTGTTTTCCACACCTTAACGTGGCCTATGGTATACATTTATTAATGCTTTCCATTCAAGTGCAAATGATGCTTTTGCACCCTGCACGCATCAGTCGATTGCTAATTATGAAAACATGTCAATGAAATGACATGCTGGCATGTGAAAGCTGCTGTATAATGTGTGCATTGGAGCTGCAGAAAATTTGTGATGGGCATTACCCATCTGTGCTTTCTGCAAAGAGTGCATATTCTTTATCGGTAGAGCACTTAGACGTGTCATCTGCAAGTTTGGATCTTACACTGTTCCAACTCGACAACAATGTCCAGCCAATATTCACAAGTAAACGTTCAACTAACAAGTGACCCAATGGCAGCACTAATGATATTTCTTCTGCAAATTTGGGGCGCAGGGGTGGCGAGATGTTAACTCCCTTGCCTGGTATACAGGAGGTCGTGAGTTCGATCCCAACCTGACGCCTTGTATATATTTGGAGTTTGCATGTTCTCCCTGTCGTCGCGTGGATTCTTCTCCAGGTCCTCCGGTTTTCCCCTCCATATTTAGAAATGTGTATTTAGAGTATTTGCCTACTATAAATTTCCATATGATAAACCACTAAGTTGCGCTATCATTTGTGGCCAGGTCGCTTCTGAAAAAAAGACATATAGCTCAGTGGTCCTTACCTGGTAATTATTAGCTTACAACTCATACTCAAAATACTGCACGAAAAACGAGACTGTATAATTAACAACTCCTATATTGCCAAACAAAAATGACATTACAATGGATTTCCCCAAGCCCCAAATACATGGTTATCTTCATTGCGATGTGGCCACTCTAGAATGCTTATAGATTGCGTTTAAATGGAAATGGTAAGTAATTTTATGTCACTTATGACATGGCATTAAATATGTGCAAATAATCACCCAGAAATGTCTGTCACTCCACATGAGTTCCACACCCCCCCCCCGCGTGACGTCACTCCACATGAGGCCCGCCCCCTCATTAATATTCATGAGTGGATAGATTTTTAAACTAACGCAGAGAAAGGTCGGGCTGAATTAAATAATTTTACGCAAAGTCGCTTCAAATGACGTTTCTTTACAGAAAGTGACGGTAAAAAATAAATCTACGCAGCACAGTGCTACATCCGTGCGTGACGTCACTGCAAAAGAGCGTTTTTCGTCCGTTGTTTCATCGTCATCACTCAACCAAACAGCAAACCTACCTCTACCTAATGTTACACTACACTAGTGCAATGTATGTTTGTTGAACTTCTTTCGCACATTACATAACCAACCCTGTTAATCGGAGGTGCGGGAGAAGAAAAAACAACTAAAAACATAGTAATAAGTTTTACCCTTTAAACTGGCACAAAAACTGACACCTTTATTCAAGGCATCATGTCTGCAATAACTGCAACACAAGCAGTCAAAATGCAAACAAAAAGACAACTCTGATAATATTGGCACTGTCCTTGAATTTGATTGGTCCACACCCGAGACAGCTTTCTTTAGAGCCTAGTCAGTTTTTTGTGCCAGTTAAAAAGGGTAAAACCTATTACTATATCTTGTTACTGGCAAAGGAGGTATAATGTAAATGCTCACCCGAGCCCTCAATACTCTGATAGTGCGCTGTTTTTGAGTTGTACGCCTTTTGGCGTCTTCTGGTCCAACACCAATGGAGACTAGGCTCTAAGAAAAGCCGTCTCGGGTGTGGACCAATCAAATTCAAGGACAGTGCATATTATTAATGGAGTTGTCTTTTTTTGTTTGCATTTTGACTGCTTGTGTTGTGGTTATTGCAAACATGATGCCTTGAATAAAGGTGTCAGTTTTTGTGCCAGTTAAAAGGGTAAAACCTATTCCTATACCTTGTTACTGGCAAAGGAGGTCTCATAATGTAAAAAAACCCCTAAAAACATGGTTAATGACCGAGATTGACGCGAAACTTAAGCTCAATTGTATCCAGAAATCAATTAACAGACACGTATAAAAACGTGGCGTTTGAGCAACCGTGGGTGTGCTGTTAACGTGGCGTGAAATAAACGTTATCTCTCCTTGCCCAAGTGTTTCTTATCCTCCCAGCGCATCCCATTCTTTGAAAGCGCCCTCGCCGTCATGGATCCCCCCTCCCTCCCTCCGCTACAACCACCCACTCCTCTAGTCCTCCCCCTCCTCTATCCCCCCTCCTCTACCCCCCCCACCTCCTGAATTTCCACCACACTTCCTATTATCCCCCTCCATTATCTCCCTTCTCATCTATCCCCCTCTTCTTTATTCCCCCACCCCTCCTCTTTCCGACCCCCCCCCACCCTGCCTCCTTGATCCCACACCCCCTCCTCAATCCCTGGCTGCCACGAGGACAATTTCAGGGAAATCATATGGCATATTTGTTGCTATTTTAAATAACTTTATGAATACGTCCTTAATTATCCACAACATTGAACACTTTTCAAGAAATAAACTATTACGTAGTATATATGAAAGTAATCTGTCTCGGCTTCGTTGTACGCCGTATTGCATCACTATCCGAGTAGTTAACCTCGAATTCAATTTAATGAATGAAATGAGGTAAAACTGATGGAAGAATACAGCATCCGTTAATACTTGCAATATCAATACAATTAATGAACACTGCGGCATCATAACATTGTCTTAGATAACATGAATCTCGATCATAGGTCCTGGATGGACGAGGCACTTACATTAGCACTGAATAGCTGTACAACAAGAGAATAAGCTACTGTGTTAAATAAGGTAAATTTATGTAATCAATATACTGCAGCCTAAATGTACAGTGCTGCATATAACACTGAACTGTGGATGAGATACTTCATCCTTGCTCTCAAGAACGGATTAAAGTTACATGGGCACAAGTCTGGCTCGACTTATCCAACTACAAATAACATTCACAATAATGTAAGTTGGCAGGCTTCATTGTTACCGAGGGCCCATATTCATCATAACAATTTTACAGCATTATAAAGGCAATCCCAACATAACAACATTCCCAGTATTATAAGAACATAAACGAACTTAGAGACAATGCTTCTTAAAGTCCCGCAATGAACAGATGCACCCGTCTTCACTGAGACACTAATTGTGCCTCCATTGTGTACTCTGTGTAATGGCTGACACCCCCTCGTGGCTTAGAGACCCTTAATCTGCAACTTCCTGGTCACGTGACTAAACTCGGCGCCATTATATCAGGAAGTTCCTGTATAAACACACCCCCCATATCTGCCGTGGGGCAGACCATGATCAATTGTTTGACAATCGATGACACATTAACTCAAAAAGGTATTACACTTTAAATTATAAAATGTATACATATGCCACATTTAAATGTTGTCGATTATTAAACATATACATTTGATGCATTTCAATCAGGACATATTGTTGCTGGCAAAAAAGGGTCCTGTAGATACGACTGCTTAACTCGGGCTTTGGCGTTTGCATTGTCCTTGTGTCCTCTGCCTTTTGGCATCCTTTGGTCATTGGTGTAGGCCACTGTAAATGATAATATACTGTACGCATTATCAACACATATCTGTCTGCATGTTTTACCACAAGTATGTGGGGTTCATGCAGACCTGATGCCTTGTAATGGGTGTCTACTTGGTGTTTTGGATATCGTCAGAATAAGAATCTGTATTTATCCTGGGGAAATCCGATGAGCTATGAAGCCGTTTTTTTATTGATCTCCAGTAGGGGCGGGTCAGAAAGTCACACCTGTATTATTGCCGGAAAGGGTAAAGCATTTCCTATATTCATTATATGAATTACGTCATTTAACATTGTCGAATTTTGAACAGACACGTTTTAATCATCACCACCACGATTCATGGGCAGATAGCCTATAGGTATCCACGTTCCGTCATGTTTCCACTCTCCTCTGTCTTGGTCTACAGACTAAATTAACCTGTTAACTATGGATGGAGTAGGCCACGTAAGGTGACAGTCGGTCCTTCATTCAGTTCATTATTATTACCAAGTCAGCTCGTCAATCAAGACGATGCATTGCTGTCCAGAAATGCAATCAGGGGGATTTCTCTTCCGTCCGTCCAGATTGCCTTTCACATTGGATTTAGAAGCCACCATTGACGTCAGGCAAGTCACGTGTGTTCTGGCTCTGATCTGAGTTACAATGGCTCGCTACATTGCAGCCATGTATCTACCATCCTGCGCCTGCATTCGACCATCACAACTCTTGCTCGCAAGTACAGGCAGACCTCGCTAAGTGCTCAAGATGCACTCCTGGAGAAGCGAGCGTTAATCGAAACAGCGCTAAAACGGGTCATATCATTGTAGACATGGGGATACGTTCCCGATAAGTTATTTCTATCCTATTAACAATGAAGACTTCATTTGAGTAGCGCTAATAATAATAATTGTGGTGGTAAACATAACTTAATGAATAAACTATTTATTCTAACATCAGTATGCTGTGCTGTTTTCAAGAGTGCATTCTACTCCATGGCAGCAGTAGGAGATGGGGTTGTAGGAGCTGTGGCGCTCCCAATCCAGTCCATTCTCGGAGAGGGTCTCCGAGAACTCCGTGATCTTGCTGATGCCCTAAGTCTACATTTCTTTGATGAAGTTTCTTTTCAGGTGGAGCCTGAGACTCTATCCTGGTCTCGTGAATTCTCACCTGGCTAAACGCACTATAATAACATTCAAATTAAACTAAAATATTTTTTATTTATTTTGGATATTCTAAACATAACAGAACGCTCTGTATCATATGAAGTGGCGTTAAAACACAGTGCCAAAGTCTACTATGTTAAAACGTGACTGGGGGCGTCAGGACTTTGTCCCATCACCACTGGCTAAAAAACATCGAAATACATTCACATGTGCATGTTACACAGTACGGCATAAGAAAAACAACAAACTCGCAATGATAGTCGCGCGCACGTGTGAGAGAGATTGTGGGGGGAGCGACAGTGGAGTGGTTGGCACGTTGCGCAATAAACCCGGCCCCAACACCCAGTGACGATTATCTGAACCGGTCATGGGCCTCTTCTAGGTCGACTCAGCTTTAAACGAGTACCTGGTGCGGCCTGCAGTAAACCTACGCCACTGGGGAAGACAAAGGCGGCCGGGCGTGGTGCTGGCCACCCCCTCGCGTGCCGTGCCCGTCCTTCATAGGTGCTCCTTAGCAACATTTGCCCCTTGCTTAGACTACACGGAGGGGGCTATTTGTCTTTGTAGCCCTTTGGAAATCCCCGTGAGTGCCGGCGACATTTCGGAGTCAGTTTCCGAACGCTCCACGCCGCACGCGCTCGACTCGTGAACAAATCGATTCTCTCGTAAGGGGCCGTCCATAAATGACGTCACGCACCTGGGTGGGGGGGTCAGATATTTGTGACGATGTGTGACGAGGGGGCGGGGGGTTTGAGAAATGTGACGTCACATCAAAATGTGCAACTTTAAATAAATATAGACAACACGTTCTACTTAATTAAATAGACTTTTTTTATAAATGTTGTCTCCTACAACATCAGAATGTAGCGCCACATTAAATACGCACTACAATGACAATAGTTTAAAGCGATTTGAAGCATGTTTTATTTTCAAAATGGAAATATGGTTTTCGGGGGGGGGCGCAGAGCTTTGTGACGTCATATTTGAGGGGGGGTGGGGTCTGACTGTTTGTGACGCCGTGTGACGACGGAGGGGGGGGGAGGTCCAAAATCGCGTGACGTCATTCATGGACGGCCCCTACCGCGGCGCGATCGTCTACGGCGTTCCGTGAGTCGTCGTCGTTGTGGCCCAACTTGTGGCCCAACTTGTTCCACGCCTCCCTCCGCTGTGAGCCGAGGGCGTTCAAACTGCGGGTTGCAGTCCCAGATGAGAGGCGGGTTGGGGAGGCCACTTCGCCCCACTTCGCCCTCCAGGATCGCGCTTCCACGTTCAGTGTTCATCGACGGCTGTTAATAATTGACACTTGTTAACTAAGTGTACGTGAGTTTACTACATTACCCTTAGCGGCGGCAGCGGCGTGCGTGCGTGCGTGAACGTGTCTTCGTTTAATGCGGCGCGTGTGGTTGTCATTGTCGTGACCGATTGTGTAACGAACGAACCAGCAGAAAGGGGAAGTTCGTGTTGTTTTTGGGGTTTAGTTTCGAAACGCGAGCGTAGCAAGGAGACATTCTGTGAAGACTGAACAGGCAACGCATATACTGTAAGTGACTCCGTGTTGTGTACGTGTCTTTGTGCTTTTTATTTATTTATCCCCGGCCTTTATAGGTACTTGCTAAGAGCACTTGCCCCAACAGGCTGTACGAGAGATCTTAGTCCCCTCCCCCCCTCCCCCTTAATTAAAAACTAAAGCGGCTGCACATTTGACGTGGATTTGCCGAGAAGGGGTTAGTAGAGAATACAGGTGATGGTAGTAATACGTCCCGAGTTAATCAAGACGGGCAAGGATAGTAATGAGTCGAGATTAGTCCAGACAGTTGAGGACGACGATTGACAAGACGAGTGAAGACGGACGGCATCGGGCAGGATTTGATTGACAGGATGGAGAGGGGCCGAACAGCTGTGGCATCGAATGTAGGAGGGCCGGACGATAGCACGAGTTCACATGTGCAGCTGATGGAGGAGGAGACTGCTGTACTCGTGGAGAACCTGCCTCGTGACCTGGACAAGGTACTCAAGGGGAAACTACAGAAATATTTCCAGAGCAAGCGGTCCGGTGGTGGGGAGTGCCAGCTGATCTCTCACCGGGACTCAAAGCGCAAAGCCATCGTGAAATTCACCTCTAAACAAGGTATGGTAGAGCAGAGTGCCTTAACTTGTCGCACACAGCCACACAGTGATGTGCGTTTTAAAATTGTATCGTATCCTTACCTCCGTTTGTCGCTACATTGCCATTTGTCTCTGCCTATCCGCTTGTTTCATTGCATCTCCCATTATATCTCTGTATGGTGTCGTTTGTATCTGGTTCTGGAGCTCCATCTCAGTGCCTCGTGCTGTGCAATAAACATTGGAAATTATCTCAAAAAAAAATCTCACATGTATTTTACAATATGATACAAGGCAGGTGTTTTGCTAATTTCGATAAAATATGCAAAGTGAGTCAGTTTGAACCGGTTCTTAAACGGTTATCCGAAAATTAATCGCCCGATACTCTTGAACCAATGGAACCATATTAACAGGTTCAACTGGTTTTCGGTTAACCCAAACTTTATCCAAAAAAACAATCAGTTAGACTTCCTGATTTAAAGACACCACTGTGCAACTTGCATGTGCAATAATTACCTGTAAAGACAAAGTTAAGCAGACAATACGTTTCCATATATCTGTCTCTCCACATAAAAAGTATACTTACACAGCCACCGGCCCCACGGCCTTCTGGGAGTGCAGACTCTCAGGAGCACTGTTTAAAAACAAGTAAAATCTGGACCAATTTTAAAATAGTGGCTCATCAGCAGGCTTAACTGATGCTGTTGGTGAATTGTCAGATGTTATTGACAAGGCATGGTCCCAGTGCAATATTAAACTATAACACATCACACAATGCTTTTGGAATTATGTACTCCCAGAAGGTCATTGGGCTGGTGGTTGTGTAAAAAAAATTGTGTATTTTTACGTGGATACATATATATGAAGGAGACAATTTTCTGCACATCCATTTTGATCACTTACATTCTCCACAACGACACATTAATATTGTGTAAAGACTAATGACTGAACTGTTAACTTTGGTTACAAATTATTAACATATTTTGGTTCAATTCCCATTTCTCTTTGGTTGCAAAACGTGTCTCATGCTTTTCCTGCCAACAAAGGACTAATACTTTTCAATAAAAGTCAGATGTGGAGAGATGATAAGTTTCACTTTCATTAAATACAACAACTGTAATGTGATTGACAAGAAATACAACCTTAAGAATTTGGAAAAATATCATTCTTTTGTTGCAGTACGGGAAAGTGTCTTAGCTAAAGGTGAGCACGTGATTGAGGTGTCCAGTGATGAGAATGTGGAGGTGCACGTCACTGCCTTCACGGCCTCACCAGCAACTCCTGCGGAGCCTGGAGCATCCATCAAAGAAAAGTCAGATGATGAGGATTTATCAACCTCGGCAAATAACAAAAGTGAACTGGTAACCATCTCTTTGTATTCATTAACAGGAAGCACTGCAGACACATACCTGAACCATTATAATGGTTAAAGTTGCATTATTACATTAAACAGTAATGATCTAAATTATCCAAGCTAGTTGAGATAAACAATATATATGTTCGAATATATAGGTCAGTTTAGATATTCTTCTTGTATGGGACGATGGAACAGAAGGTTATGTAATTTTCAAAATTCGATGTTTGATAGCTGAAGTGCAGGCAGATTAAATACTATGGGAGGCATGTAAAGAATGGCATTGACACCATTTATTTTGCTGCTTACATGATATTAATCTTCTCATTAACCCATTATCTTCAACAGAGTGAAAAGACAAAGGAGAACACATCGAATAAATCAACAGATAAGCCCGAGCAGCCCAAGCAATTGGAGGAGAAATTGAATCCATATTTGCTGAAGTTTATCACATCGAATGAAGAGCACAGGTCAGAGCTGGACAGAGCCATGGAAAAATCCAGATGCAAAATCAAGGCGGTGAATTTTGACACCATCTGGTTCTTACCAGATAATGAGTCCATCACAGACCACAATGAATGGCAAGGTTCGGTTACAAAGATGTTTACACAATTTACCCAGGGTTATGCTCATGAAACAATAACATGCACAGAAGAAGAATGGAAGGAGGTAGAAAGAAAGAGTGAGCAAAAAAGGGATTTAGAAGTTTTGTATAAGAATGGCATACAACTGACTGGGAAATCTGATGAAGTAAAAAAAATAAAACAAAAAATAGAAGACATCATGAGCGAGTTTAATAAAGGTAGTTTATTTACGAATATTGAACCTCATTATTTTGAATTGCTACAGGATGACCTCTGCAGGAGGTTTCCAGGTGTACAATTTCACATGAATAACAACAAATTATGCTTCAAGGGAGATTCCACAAAACTTAATGATGTGAATAAATACATTGATGTCAGTTTACAGGACTCCGATAAAAAGACATGTAGCTTTGGAAGTTATCTGAACAACTTTTTGAGAAAAACCAACCTTAGAGCCTTGGTGCAAACGCACTTTACTGGAAATGAAATCAAAGCCCTTTGTGATTTTGATGAAAATGAAATCTACATTTATTCACTTCAGGGTCATGCTGAAAAGGCCCATGCCATTTTAAATGTAATTTTAAAGGATCTGCTTTTTCCAGTGACTAAAAAGAATGGAGCTGTCATGAAAAGTGAACAGTGGAATTTTTTCTTTGAAAAACTACAGCAAAATTATTCTAAGGGAAAATATAGCTGCATATTTAGTATAATAGAGCACAAAGATGGGACCAGTAGTGCGATTAACATAGCAGGGATAGCAGAGGCAGTAGAAAAGGCAGATAAGGACTTGACAAGCTATTTCAAAGACAACACTGCTGAAGAAATCATTCCATTGCAGAATGAAGCATTGTGCAGTTGCATCATTGACTACATGAAGATTATCGATCATTCTGCATTAAAAAGTGTTTCTGTCGAAAGGCACGATTCACTGATGGATATCATTATTATGGGCCACGTTGAAGAGGTAGAGAAACACAAGCAGTCTATAAATAATGTGGTTTCAAAAGTCAACAAAGAACTTCGGAAAAATGAGAGAGGGATACCAGATGAAAAGAGCATTTCGATGTTCTTAGAGAAATACAGAAGGTGTAACTCTCGATTTTCTACTCAGAATCAAGAAGAATTTTCTTCAGTGGCAGGTGCTTCGGAAAGACCAGTTGCAACTCAACAAAGGCCTCCTGTAAGATTGCCTGGCAATCGATTTCTGTTTGTGCATGAAGAAAACATTTTAAATTTGAATGTAGATGTGATCGTAAATGCAGCAAATGAAGATTTAAAACATTTAGGGGGGCTCGCTAAAGTACTGTCTGATGCAGGAGGTACAGTCATTCAGCAGGAGAGTGATTCTTATGTCAGAAAGCATGGAAAAGTGCCTACAGGAGAGTTGGCCATAACCGGGCCAGGCCACCTGCCATGTAAGAAGGTATTTCATGCTGTCGGACCCGAATGGGGAGATTACCGGCGTAATACACGTCTAGGAATTATGCTTCTTGAAATGGTTATCAAAAATGTGTTAGAGAAGGCTGATGAAGAAGGTTTCAAATCCATTGCAATTCCTGCCATTAGTGCTGGAATATTTGCCTTTCCATTGGATATCTGCACGGAAACATTTTGCCGTGCTATTTTTGACTACTGTAAAAGTACCCAGGATTTGGACATCGCCCTGACTGATATTCACATCGTGGATGTTAATCATGAATTTATTTCTAAATTTAGAAAAACTATAGAGCTTACAATGAATTGTAGAGACCGATCAGAAGAGCAGTCAAGTAATACCCATGAAATGCAGGATGAAGAGGATGAGGGCCAAAACCAAGAATGGAATTTTGGTCATCATAGCACTGAAGATAAAGTCACTGATTGGGAAAATTGTAAAGCAAAGGATGAATCTTCCTTAAAAATGGACGACACTGAAAACAACATGTTTATCACCCATGAAGGGAGACATATAAAAGTTGTAATTGGAAATATCGAAGACCAACATGTAAGTTGTTTTCTGGCACCATTAAGCTTTTGTACAATCTCTATGTTAAATGCTTTACTTCTAAGATAGGTATTGGGTGGCACTCAACTCAATATTAAATCCTGAGCCAAACTCTATATTGAATCGTGAGCCAGTGTTGGAATGTCCACACTCGTATGGTGGTGATCCATCTCCACAAGACAACCACTGTTTAATGCTTACATAGTGGTACGTATTTTAATGACCCAGGAGGAATGATTGGCTTATTCAACCAGTGACTTGAGATTTAAATTTTCACTAGTTAAGTTGGGTGCATCAACCAACCAAATACCTATGTGGGGGAAAAAAATAAAAGTGATCTTCCACACTTAAAACCACACTGGAGTTTGAGAACGTATGTGTTGATGTATTATTGTTATTTTAACATTTACCCAGAAAAGCCTCGCTGAACCCCCAGGACTCTTGCCAAGTTTTGCATTTGGATGCAAAATTTCGGTGTTTTTTTTCCAAAATGAGTTATTTGCGGATACATTTTCTCATTCAACAAATGCCCTAAAACTTGCAAGTTATGTGTGTCCTGCACCTTAATATTGAGCTTTATAATATATTAAATAGTGCAATGTTCAAATAATGTTTACGAGCAACGTATTTCTTTCAGACTGATATTATCGTGAAATCCACATCTGTTGCGATGAAGCTCGACAATGGAGGTGCAGCATCTGCTGCTCGTCACAAAGCTAGGCCTTCACTCCAGGATGAACTTGACAGAAAAAAAAATCACCTTGGTCATGGATCCATCATAAGCACAGACACCGCACAATCTCATCTCTTTTGCAAGAAAGTATACCATATTGCTGTGCAACCTGATGAAAAAAACAAATCGGTAAGTGGCCTTGTCTGCTAAATATAGGAAGACAAAAGTAGCATTTTTAGTGTCTGCATGCTCACTTGAGCATTGGGTTGTGCCCTAAGCCAGTCAGAGATTCTGCATTCTCGCAGTTTTATGCGACTGTAGTTTGCCAATTTTATACTGTACCATGTTGCTTTTCATACAGCCACATGGAATTTTACATATGAACGGTGGATCTCTGCTTGATCTCTAAAGTAACGGCATAAATTGGCTGATTTCCACCAAGGCTGCTCAATCCTGTTCACATGTCTCAGAGATCAAACAGTTGCTGAATTTGATTCAACCAATCATGAGCATGTGGGTCGGATGAATGTCATGTTGTGACATTGGCACATTTCACTGTTAAGAGACCAGGTGGGAAACAACATGCCCAGCGGGTTAATACATGTGCATAAATAATGGATTTTAAACTCCACCACTATTGTTATACAAAATCACGTATTTATAACAAATTAATGCTAATGGTGCCTTAGTCTTGTTATATGAGATGCACCATTTTAATTCGATATATGTCTATGTATATCTCATCTGTTTACACTGGCCTGTCTGTCTGTCTGCATGTCTGCCGTTACCCGTTCCTCTGCTCTGACTTTGTATGCTGTGCACACGCACCGTGCGTCTGTACTGTGCCATGCTATATTTTATCTTTCTTCCCTCTTGCGGTGGAGTGATCGATCAGCATGGCTGGATTTCCAAGATGTGACTTGTGATTAAGCTGCAGTTGATGCTCTACTCAGGGAATTGCCATTTTCATGGAGCAATACATTTTGAGTGCTTGAAAAGACCTGTCAGTCTCACTTGGGAATTGTTCTTCACCAGCACACAGCACTTGTCAAGCACACTTGGCAGCTTGTGAATAATTTACTACTATATTTACCCCAAGAATGTCAGTGTGTAACGTGCGTGACGTCACTCCACGTCGACCAGCCCCCCTCATTAATAATCATGAACAGGTTACGTCCTCGACATGGACCCGCCCCTCATTAATAACCATGAGTGGGTGACGTCACTCCGCATGGAGAAACCCCCCCTCATTAATAATCATGAGCAGGTGACGTCACTTCACATCGAACAGCCCCCCTAATTAATAATCATTAACAGGTGACGTCCTCCAAATCTACACCCCCCACCATTAATAATAATTAGCGGCTGACGTCACTCAACAAGGAGGGGGGGGCGAGGCGCCTCCTCCCCCCTCCTCAGCGTCAACTCACAACCCTCACTACAAAGGCAGATCCCTCACGTCACGTGATCTCCTTAACGCTGTTGTTGAGACATCAAAGTAAAAATGACGTCATGATGAACAAGGGATTATAACCTTTAAATTAAATAACTCCGTGTCACCGTGGCCTTACAAATTGCACACGAATTGATGCAATTAATATCACGTTGCGGTCTGTGCTTTTCACTTGCAAGTTTCACATTTACTGCAATACACCCGTCCTTGGACGGGCAAAAGGCTAGTAAGAAATGTTCTTCCAGCCTCTGCTATACGTTTCAAACAACTCGCATGAATGCATACAAAAAAGCACTTAGCCGCGTGCATTACGCAAACAAAATATAAGAGTTCCTGAAGAACCGCATTTGGTACTCTAAATGTCACTGTTCTTGTTCCGTGCTAATGCACCACGGTTCTACCTTGAAAACTAGCTTGTAAATTGGCTAAATGGGACTTTTCGTGTAACCGATAAACATTGATAAAATAACTTAACTGCATGTGTAAGGACAGTACGGCTCCCCGTGGCCGTGGTTACTAATTAACGTGCCGGGAACAGGCAGTTTCAGTTCCATTTATTAGGTATAGCCCTGTGAGCCATTCGGCTCTTGAATCGGGTGCAACCGCAACAAACAAAAACATGAACAAGAAAACATCTTAAAGTGACTACGCGCAAACAGAAAAATCCAGGAAAAAAAACAGCAAAATCTTCCAGAAAAAGCACCGTACACCAACGCTGTGTGCAAAAATCCCAGTGGGATGCAAGTCAAACAACAACAACAACCACAAGAAAACTTAGATTAAAGCCATCAGTTTAACCCCGTACTACAACAAACAATCATGGCCAAACCAAAAACACTTTTCGAAATCACCAAAATAAAGCCATCAAAGCAAATGTAACAGTGATCATAGGAACTGTGACCGAAATTTCACAATAGGCAGGGTCACGGTCAGGGTGATGTGGGCCCTAAGTGGTCGTTAATAGTAATTGAGAGACAGGGCCAGGTGCGGCGAGAGAGTGTTGGGAAAAGAGGCGAGGCTGGGTCACGAGGGGGATAAAAAGCCTGCGTGGAACAGGGTTGAACATTATGCACCGTCTAATATCATCTAGTGTGGTTTGGAAGGTGGCGTTAATGTCGATCATTAAATGCTTCCGAGGACAAAAGCACATTGGGAATTCTTACAAAATGTATGCATTTGCATTATTCTCGTTTTATGAATTATGCTTTGGTTTATATGTTTGCTTTCAGTGCGGTATTTAAGTGTTTACAGGCCTTATCTGATGAAGTCAACAATCCTCGCTAACTAACGATGTTTTCGCATGTTACTATTACATCATTGTACATTACAGCAGTATGTGCATACCATTGTATTGGACTGCCTGAAGAAAGCTCACAAAGCCAAAGAGACATCCATCTCCTTCCCAGCCCTGGGCACTGGGATTTTAAACTGCCCACCACAGCAGGTTGCTCGTGCCATGCTGTCAGCTGCCATCCAGTTCAGCAACCAGCATAAAGACGACATTCTTCAGCTCATTCAGTTTGTGATCTTAAGGTCAAAACCAGACATACACAAAGTAAGTGTACATTGCAATCCAGGTGTACACCACATTTTATGCCATTGTCTTAAAAATCATAACTCATGCTGAGTTTGTGAAAGTAAAAAAAAGCCAAAGTTTGGACAGGCCTAAGCTTGTGGTAGAAGTTCCAAATTGGCATTGTCAGGACTCGTCTTCGTGGGACAATCACTTGATTACCCCTTAAAAAGTGACCATCTACCAAATGCAAAGAAATAACATAGTTGTATTATACAGTGCACTATTATTTTATAACAGGTTTTTTTTGTAATTCAGTAACACTTTTTTATGATTCTGATATAGCAGGACATAAAATATTTCATAAAGTACTCTGAAGTCAAATAGTATTGTAATGGAAAGCTGTGTTATATGAAATGCATTATATCACATTTTTCTAATTTGCGATTTTGATTATGAAAAGTCAAATCAATTTTACACACCAGAGATATGGTAGACAGTAAATGGTGGCGGGTTTTAACGACAAATTTTTACGCGATCTAACCCAAAAAAAACCTCTTATGGATGATATTGGTCGCGAAAGCCTACGTGTTAAACAGCAAATGCTAATTTACTGCATCTGTAAAGAGGCCTATCCGCAGGTAAAGAAAAAACGATGTGTTTTTACCTTCATTATCCAAATGCCAACAACGTTTGTGCTTTACATACATATTAAACATTTACCTGCCATTAAAAAAAATAACCTGCTGCAGAGTCATTCATAAGTGAGCATTTTACTGTTACAGGCTTTTCAAAACGAAATATCGAGTGCCATATCGAAGACTTACTCCGAAGGCACAGCGCCCAGCCGTAAGCACGAAGAAAGGTTTCAGACTGGCGCAGGTACAACGTTCACGTGTTCTCTCGTGCTTTGGACGCCTGCATGCATTCATTACAACAAAATGTAGTGACCATGTTTGCCTTTTCTTTTGAAATATTAAGTCTCGGGCTCTAATTGTATCACCATGTGCATTTCAAATATGTATTGAAGTTAAAAGGGAGTCTGTAGAAATGTTTAAAATATTACAATTTGTCTACGTTGCAGAGCATAATAAGAAACTATTTAAAATACAGGGAATTACTGTCGAGCTGTGCTGTGGGGATATCACTCAAGAGAAGACGGACGCCATTGTCAACTCCACAGACGCTCGGATGAGTATGACCTCAGGTAACCCTGAGCCACACCAACAACAAAACAAATACTGCATTTGAAAGGATATATTTCAATAAAATGTACATGAAATAAAGAGTGCGTTCGAACATTGAAAATGAAAGTTTCCTAGAAAGCCAACAATCGCGAGCCACTGAGATGCAATGCTTTAGTGGGACACTTTCACCGCAACAACTTTTGTACTCACACTTAGGTGTGCTAATAATGATGGAGTTTTAGATAAAGTGAAGCTCTGCTTAATTGCTTGCAGATAAAAGTGAAATTCCCTGGAGTACTTGGTACAGTAGAAATATATTGCTTCCCATTGAGGCATTCTGGTTTTACAAATGTTAAAAACCATACGGTGGGTGGGTCTTTTATTCTTCATTACACATTGTTAAGAAACATTATTTGCAAATTTGCCATTGAAGATTAATACTGTTTTCATGGAATCTTTATATTCCGGGTAGGGAACTTTTTCCTGAATTTTAAACACCTTTGGAGGGCCGCACATTAACATGCACACAAAAATGTGAAACTGTTGGCAGTTCTAAAATCTATCCCTCTGGTACTCGGTTAGTGCGGCGAGGGTGCTGTGAGGCTTGAACATTGTTTGCAGGTTCGTTAGCATTGGTAGGCCTGTGGCCACGGGCCATCGGTTCCCCCAACCCCGTTTGAGATCATTGTAGAGTCTATAAAATATTACTGTACACTTGAGTATTTGTGTGAAATACATATAGGAAATTAACATTTCTGGAATGCTGGTTCCTGATTGCTAATACATATAATTTGCCCAAGCCGACTTGCTCTGCAGGGAATTGACATTGATTTATGTGCAATATTTTCGATTTATCTTGTAACAAGTTTTTATCTCATTTACATTTGCATCATCGCTGTACTTAAGTTAATTGGTTAGGGATTTTTTTTTATTTTGGTAACCCAGGTTACCATTGCAAATTAAGATATTCTGATGTCTTGAGATTTCACTCGGTTAATTGATATAAACTTGACTTGTTTCATCCTGGTCTGTGCCGCATTGTTGCCCTTCCCCACTAATATAAAATATATACTCTTTGTTTTGTATAAGTGTCTTTAGATGCATAACTTGAATTTGTTGATTGTGTTACCATTCCAGGAATTTCCAATGCTATCCTTAAGGCTGCTGGACAAACGATTAAAGATGAATTCTTAAAAGGTAATTATTGTGTTCTTCATGCATTTCCATTTGTTTGCTCAGTAGTTGCTAATTATTCTCTTATAGCTTACATTTTTCTGGTCAGGAGTTGTTAATCAATATTCTTCTTTTAGATAAATCTATTTTATTGGATTGCATTTTCACGTGGTACTTTGTTACGTTTCTCTAATTCGATCTGTTTTAATGTGTTCTTTCCTCATTGCAGAAGATCCCTCCTATGGAGACATTGTTGTGACCAACGCAGGCCGTTTGAAATGCAAACATATCGTGCACATTGCAGGACTTAATGTAACTATTGAAAACATTTGTGAAAGAATACTAAAGGAATGCCAGTTGAGAAAAATTAAATCGGTGTCTTTTCCAGCTATTGGTACAGGTACATATAATTTTTTTGTTATGAATACATTTTGTTGCCGCTTAAGAATGGCGATGAAGTTTCTTCTACAGAAGTTGTTCATGGAGAAACTCACCTGTTCCATAGGGAATATAGAACTGCTACCATTTGTTAAGTGCCATATACTCAATTGAGTATGGATTACCAAAATATTCGTGTAACCATGGACAAAACTCCTCAAACGTGATGACAATGACTACCCATCAAAGAATAAAGTGACTGGAGGAATTTAACTAAGATTATATATAAAGTGTACTGAATTCTTGGCCAATGGCTAAGACCGACTAAATCAACGTTTTATAATTAAGAGTGGCCTATATTTTTACTCATCTAATTGACTAAACTAAGAAAATAACTGAGATGAAATTTACAGGCTAAGACTTTACCAAAATGGCATGGGTTGTCAACGACTACACAAAGACTGACTAAAAATGCTGAATAAATAAAGTTAGAGACATTTTTAGTTGCAGTAAATCAATATTAGCGTTCAAATGATATCAACACTTAAAACATAACTATCAAATGTCAATTCAACGGCCTTCTGTCCATGTTGTTGCATCAGGTTTGGGGAACAGAAGCCATCAACAAGTCGCTCTCAACATGGTGAATGGAATTCACTTGTTTGCAGGAAGTTACGCAGAGCCAACTGTGACGAACATCCGTTTTGTATTCATTAATAAGGAGCTTCTGAACATCTTCCAAGACGTCTTGAATGGAAAGTTTTAGTTTCAAACATCCCAGTTCTTTGCACCTGACACTTATGTAGTTGTGTTGTTTGCCGTCTTAGAGTGCAAATAATGTTATGTTTTCATCAGGAAAATAATATAAAATAACTTGGTTCCCTTTGGGGTTTTATTCACGTATTTGCATACCTATATATAATGCAAAATGAACATATGGTGATATTTTATTTTAATGGTTTGTATAGTAATGGGGTCAGCAACGAAAATTACAATGAGCCATTTTTTTCCAAGTCGGTAAACCTGAATATTTCAAGTGCCCCAATGCATGTAAATACGAGACCGTGGTCCTTTATAGATAGCGTCACAAAGCAGTCATTAAAGAGGCAATTGGCAATCATTAAAAGAGTACGATTGAGAAGACCTGCTGGAATTTGAAAGCCGCTGCATCATGGGTACGTTGGAGCTGCGGATAATGTGATAAGCAATGCCTGTCCGTGCCTGCAAAAAATGCCCATTGTTTATCGGGACAGCGAAGATGTGTGAACTGTAAAGTTGGTTCCGGGGGAAGTTAGGAATTGGATAAATGAGCCATCACCGGCAATCTCATTAAACTCTTCCAACCAGACAGCAACGCCCAGCCAATGTTTATCAGAAAACTTGGTCGCATCACTGGCCTCGTAAATAATTGCAGCATAACCAGATCAAAGCCCACACTCACAAATTTACATGAAATTCGAATTTATAAACTGGCGTTATTCCCCATAATAAAAGTAAATAAATCCAAAATATTTTTTACATCCCTTCCCCCAAATGACAAAGGTCTATATCCCCCTTTGTCAAGTGAGATGCAATCTGTGAATGCATTAATGGTTTTGAATCCTGCGTGTGTATTGCCATTATCGCCTTAACATGGAAAAGTAATGCGTGCAAGTAAACTGCTGCATATGTCGAGTTTTATGTTTTAAAGAGCCCCAGGGAGATTCATTAGAGGGAGTGGGAAGCATGGAGAGGGATGAGGTTATGGTTTGGAGCACTGTTGGCTAGAGAATCTGTGGAGCTGATGGATTAGTGAACTCGAGGTGAACGGTTTATTAATCCCACAACCCAACCACAGCAGTGCAAAAGTTTAATGGTGCACCGTAATCATCTGTGCAACCAACATAGGTGCAATAGCAGTGCTTGGTGTAAATCACAGGGAGAAATTGCATCACTCAAAATCGTTCACACCTTGGTGATGACATCCATCCAATACAATACTAGCCGGTCTGAGTTGCTGTATATGCTCATAAGATGTTTATTCATGATAATGCAGTTTAACTTGTTTAAGCAACAAACTTTTAAATAAACATTTGCTCTTTAAGCTGCGATTCTTAATGTTTAATGCCTGGAAACCACATACAGTTCATAATGTACAAGCGAATGCAGCCATATAATACCTCAACGATGGAAACACAGGTAGAGCCAATAGTATTCTGACAGCTGACAGATATTCATATTTTGTCACTATCACCCTTACAAATAAAAGGCATATTTTACTTGACAGGCATTACAGCAATAGTTTGACGTGTCGACGCATTTTGTATTTTGAAATTATAACCATCACTGAAGACAAAACATGGTCAATATCTATGAAAGTAAACATTTTATATCATTACAATAAAATTAAATCACAATACAACAATCTATACATTACGATGTGATGATGTAAAAAAAAATTTGACATTACACCTCCCAGTCCATCAAGATCGTGAAAATGTTCAAGCTGCAATTAGGATGCCAACATTAACTGGAATTACCTGAACTGGTAAGAAGATCTGTCGAGAAGCAAAAAGTAGATCTCATTAAAATAAATTTGTGGCAATTACCTGCCGTAAATAGTTTATAGACGTTTCTATTAGATTTAAGATAAGCAATTGTCTACTCGGTTATGTGACTTGCAGCTATATTGTCTGTTACGGGATGAGCAATATACGTAAATAAATGTCTTATTTTCTTATAATCATAAAAAAAAGATACACAATGGATTAACTTGAGCAAATGTATTACGCTTTCATCACTTCGCACTGACCAGCGTGGTGAAGCATGGTCAAACAATAAGCCATATTGACCTGCATGGCATGGAGGCCACAATCCATCAGTGTATTGACAAATGGGCTGTACATGTACGTAAAAAAACCGAAAAGGATCAATCCGACACATAACCTGACATTTGGTGACCATTCCCGTGTAAATTCACCAACACGGGGCTTATTTGCTCAGAATATTTACCAGGGACCCCAAACCTCCCTGGACTCCACTCCCACACTTGAGTGTTGAGGAATGAGGGGGGGCAGGAAAACATTTTCCAGAGCTCAACCCCCAGACAGCTCTGGTTGGAGTTAAGCCCTGACCCCTAGGTTATATTCAAGCCTCGTTGAAGTCATAGGTTTGCTGAGCTCATGCCAGAGAAAACAACGATACAGGTGATGGCAGGCAAGCAACACTGTTTGCATGGAATTGTAGCCAAAGTGTAACTTCATGTTCCGGAAGGCCATAGTTAATGCACGCGCTGTTGTAAAATCACACGGTATTTTACTAAGATGCGTTTTACTGATCATCATTAACGAGGATTATTTATTTTATTTATGGACATTCAAGTGTTTGAAAACACCTAACATTACATTAATTCATACGTGTATTTTTTCTAAACGTAATTTTTCTACAGGTTGCGAAATACTGTATGTGAGCACTCATTGAATTCCACCTCATGTATTTTATTTTACAGCCCAATGCTGAGCTTGCTATCATAGTAAATGAATACACTTTCGCAGAGATTTTTGCTTTCATAATTTCTTTATGTATAGCCACAAAAACCAAAGACCGACAGTTTTGTTTTTTTTCCCACGATCGAGTTATCAATTCCTAACTTATGGGTATCGCGATGGACACAAGCACAACATGGGCTACTCTTGCGAATGGCATCATGGGAGGTGGGTGCCACAATCCACTGCCATGCTGCAGGCATCAAATAACCCTTTTGCACTGGCACATCTGAGCCGCGCCAACACGGGACCCTCACGCTATGGACGGGTTTCCGCTGGCTATTTGTATATGCCGAAACTGAAACAAAACCAAGATAACCCTCTTGGTCTCAAGACGCCTGAATATCGGCTGAGGGCCGAGCAGAGACAGGGGTGGGGTTAATTACGATTACACGTGACGTCGGTACGCTGTGAGGACACAGCATCATGTCACCTATATAGGTCTTGACTCGTCCACTGCGTGTGTAATGTCAGTTGTACTGTGAGGAAACATTGTCAATGCGTAATCTACACGCGTGTGACTTCCAGTGGCACCACTCTGCTTATGCAGTGGATAAACAAGCTGGCACCTCCCCACAGCATTTGATGAGCTGGCTTGGTATGGCACAACCCTGGCGCGGTTCAGTTATACAGTGAAAAAGAGCTAAAACTGTCATCTGGTTCAGTGGTGTGCATCACTATGATGCCATCCAACCCTCTAGTGTCAGAGACCATTTGTGATTAAATGCCAGACTGACACAAAATTCGCCTGAACTGCACTTTTTCCCCCGTTGGCCTTTGAGGCATATATGGAGGCTTATTTTATCAATTGGAGTAATAATATTGTCTTTTTTTGTATTCAGCCGAAATATCCAGCTGACAGGATAATATGTGGCTAGCAGGAATGGCGAGGTGGTGGGGGGGGGGGGTGTGTCAACAAAATTTGTAAAGCACAGCGCTCTCTGGCCCACAAGAGCGACACGCAGACAGCTATTAGAAGAGGCCCTTGGCTTTCTTCAAGTTTTGTTGCTTCCAGACGGGCATCGCCACGAACTCGCCCCGCGTGATGCCCAGCACTCGCACAAATGCATCCTCCGACAGATATTTCTGTTTCGCAGGGGAGGGTAGACGGACATTCGACAGATTACAGTTGCACTGTTGCAAATGGAAGTGAGAAGTCTACAGTTAGGCTTGCCACCTGCCCCATAGTTAAAGGTGTAGCCCTGCAAGTACCTGCTCATGCCACTGCAGTTGGAAGGGCCGCCACGAGAGGGAGCTCAGGATAGTCCCTGTAGTCGTATTTCACCTACTCTACCATGCTGGCCAAACATCTTGGAACAGGTAGGCGTACTCATACTTTACACCAGCGACGTGTCAATCAACTAACTGTGGTGGGCCCATTCATAAACAGAGGCAGGGGGGATTTAAGAAATATGTCTGATTGTTTCACCGGGAGATGGAATAGAACCGGCAGCTTCTGAATTACATGTCCAGTGTGCTAACCATTACACTACATGCAGCATCTATCACATTTCAGATGGCTTTCCTCCTCAGCACTGTTTTGACTGTGATCGGATATTTCACGTTTTGGTACCACCCTGAGCTGGCTAAACTTAATTGTATCGTTTGAAATGTCGAAAACGGGATATGATATTAAGATGAATTAACCATTGAAAAGATCATAATTAACTTGTTTTAATCGTGTAAAGAAATTGGCAGCATTCAAGATTTTCCGGGTAGAGCGGTGGGGCAGTGTCGCGAGTGGACCTATGCTCTGAATCTGGTGACAAAATACTTGGCCATGGCGAACATCAGTGGTGTGGATAACCTGAACCGGTCCTGCCCACCCCATCCAGACTCCAACCATGCCATAGATAAGTATATATTAAAAAAACTCCTACAGGCAACAGCACGCGGAGGCCTTCATCCAGCAGTGGATTGATGAAGGTCTGCACGTACAAAGTTTTGTCAACTTAGGTGGTACCAATTTCTGCTCTGGCCTATGGCATCACAAACCTCATGACTACAAAGTCACACCCTTGGATTTAGTGCCAATATATATTGTGTTGACAGTATTCACTGCCGAGTTCCTCCATCTGGCGGTGAAGTCATGGTTACAGTTGTGTCCACAATGTGTGCCACTTGCTACATTGATAGCGAGTAGATAACAATTGTAATTTCGTCTTTGATAACTGAAATTACAATGTGATTGCAATGTTCCTGAATTTGCAATTGTAATTGACTCTCGGCAGAGCCAGATAAATGCAGGGGTTTTAGGACTGCAGCACTCTGATACATCCTATAGTTATCTTGGTAGTGAAATACATAGAGTCACTGTGTGTGTTATTTTCAGTTATGTGCCAATATTAAAATTGTTTTAACTTTTGACTTCCGATTTAGCTTTGAAAATCATACTTCGCATTTAAAAGTCGAACTCAAAGAACCATTGTCTGACTGGCTGCCCCGCCCATGCTGTTTACGCAGCACAAGCCCTCCTCCCCCCAACTCTTGTCCCCCGCCCACTCACTTTGGAAACCCTTATAAGCAGTTGCATTTGGAGGCTTGCCCCCTCTTTTTTCTCTCCGCCTGATGAAGACCGCTTGTGTTGCAATCGAAACGTCGTAGGTTTTTTTATTTGTATTTATCATTTTAATTTTATATTTTTTCTATCTACGTGGCTTTACCGTAAGAACCAAGAATATCAAATAACCAGGGTAAATAACAATGGAGCAAATGGCATCAGCCATGGGTGGTGGTAAAACAGTCAAGGGAAGGCACTGAATATACAAAGAAGAGCGGCCCCAAAACCTGCCAAGGCCCTAGGAACCCCATCAAACTTAAATTTGGCCGATCCCAGGTCTGGTAGAGTGAGGAGTCCTATTTTAGAGGCTGCCACCACCTAGAGCCAGGCCTCGGCACCCAAGCCTTGGCCCCACCAGCCCAGACGCACCTCTTTGCAGGCCGGGTCGACACCCTCGGGCAGCTCCTCCGTCGTTTTGTTGACGAGGTCCTCGGCCGGGAAAGTGGGCACGGGCCCCTCGTTGCTGCCCTGCTTCTCATCGTTGAGGCTCTGGAAAATAAAGTACGCGGCGGCTAGTGTGCAATAATCCTGCGCCGATGTTTGTGCTTGCGAAAAGTTGGTCATTATTCACGTGTTGTTTCGTCTATCATTATTATTGGCGTTTAACATTTGGGAACATGAGAAATCTGGAACTATTCATCATTATTTTTCTTCTTTTGCTAAGAGATGTCATGCACATGTGCAGCCCGTTTTGCCAATCTACAGCCGGATGAGGGCATGCGAGTTCGTGAAGACGAAGGGCAAAGATGTGGGCGCGCTTCTAAGCACAGTATCTTGGAGTTTGTTGCACTGCCCTCTACTGACAACTGCGTACACCAGTTTAACACGTAGGCTTTCGCGACCAATACCATCCATAATACAGGTTTTTTTTTAGGATAGATGACGTAAATATAAAATGTGTCGTTAAACTCGCCACCACCCGACACGGCCAACAAGTAAGGTTTGTCACGTAAACAGAACATGCCAATTCGTTACTAGTACAGGACACCAAGTGTGTTGGAGAGCAAAGCCACAACATTTCGACAGTAATTACAACTAGCTTCATCAGGCGACAGCCAGATTTGTGGATAAATCCGCCTGTTTCGTTCCTTAAATAGAGGGGTAGATGTGATAACACTTGTGTGCTCTTCTTGCGTGAAGTGGTGGGGGGGGGGATTAATGAATGCATATAAATGACTACGGATATACATTACCGTTTGGGTTTTTTAATACGGTAATCAACGCACATTCTGCATGCGCATTATACAAGCCCATTGTTCTTGTACCTCCTGTCGATTGTGTGTTCTAAAATAGCCGTACCGTAATCCCTATTCACCCATCCAAGCACTTATCCAGGCTCAAGCTTAGCTTCCGAAATGACAAGATCGGGCGCATTCTGGATGATATGGTCATAGGCAAGTCACAGAAGTGTGTAATATTATGTTAATACCGTGTACTAGAGATGAGACCTCTGCTATGCAGTATGAAAGAAATGTAATCATACAGGATGATCCATTTACAGATTCCCCATTTATTTTAATGACCCCCCCTCCCCATGACTGACAGAGTTGATTGGCAAAGGTAGCTGCAAATTATAACGTTATTATATTAACTGCTATTACAGGTATAGACATGTGCACCTTCCCGTGCTCAATTGAGCTTCGGCACAACGCAACAATCTCCCTTCGTGCGGTCACAATAATGAAGCCCCCAATCGGTTTGTGTCCATCTGCAATGCACAACAGCTGTGAAGACGTGGTTGCGAGTTACGTCAGAAGCAAAGCGTTCACACTGCAGACGGCTGCAGTTGCACTGGGTTTGAAGAGAACGAGAGGACGTACAGATGTGATGGTCTTAATGGCGGCGGCGTCCCCAAACTGGGCCTTGAGCTCCTCGTAGGATTTCCCACTCTGCGGACCCCACGCGGGACGACACAGAAAACGGAGTTAAGAAGCGTCAACGGGCAGTGTTCAGCATCGCCGCCTTACCTTACACAACACAACCCGTTCAACGCGTCACTACGTGCACTGCTCTCTACCGATCTTCAGTGAAAGGCAGTGCACTCCCCCTCTCCACCTCTGCAACGCCAACACTCTTCTGCGGGGTTCTTGGGCCATGGACTAGGGAAGGATGATTAAGGTAGCTTCTTCCTCGCTATCCTCCGCAGGAGGATGCGATTTGAAAGTCACACCCCGGACAAAACGTGGATGTCAAAACAAAATTCGCAGAGGCAAGCCTGCGGCAAGTAGGAGCCACTTACACTCCACTTGTGCGCGTCCCATGCCAGGAACCAGCCCGTGAAGGTGGGGGGCTCGAACCCCTGCTTCACGATGATGATGGGCGTGTCGGGGTCACGGGCCCCAGGGTGCGTCCGCAGGTAATCCGCCGCAGTCGTCATCGACTCCTTCTTCTCTGCATCGCTCGCGCCTTGTCCCACCCACAGGAAGACCTGCAAGCAGCCGACCGGGCAAGCGGTCCGACATTGCACCTTGTTCACGGGCGGGAGGTGCTCACCGAGTAACAATCGTCACATTTCGTAGTCTGTCCCATCATCTGTGCAACCTAGCTTTGCCCGGTGAAATGTCACGATAAAATATATTAAAACGCAACGCACGCTACGTTTCACATAGTTTAACGGTTCCATTGTTCCAAACGGCGAGCCTCTGCTTTGTTGTCAGTGCTCGACAGACACTTCCTTCTTAATCCACACCGGCCCCTGAGAAGCCAGACAGACAATGTGGGCCTCACCTGGTCCCAAGTGTCGAGCAGCATGACGTCATCCTCATCCAGGTCGTCCTGCGAGAAGTCACTTATCTCCGTTACCACGAAGCGCCCCGTCTGTGTGGAGCACTCAAAGAGCCGCGGCTGCACTTCCGCCTCCTCCACCTGCATCCTGAATGGGAGTGCACCACGTAATAATAATAATAATAATGACAATTATACTCCTAATAATTACAGGCAGATGTGCATCCCAAATTCACTTGCTCGCGCCAATGCTGGTGGAAGGGCCTGCACGAGAGGGAGCTCTAGAGAGCCTCTCTAGGGGGTATTTGGCCTACTCCTCCACGCTGGCCAGACATCTTGGAAGAGTACTCACGTTTTATTCCAACCACTTGCAACCTGCCCATCGACTGACTGGTGTACTCATTAATACTGCCGGGTGAGGGTGGACAAAGGTGGGGGGGGGGGGGGTGGACGATTTAAGGAAGTTGTCCCATTGTTTTAATTGCCTCATCGAGTGATCGCATCCAGATGGTGATCCCTCTCTGACCTGCAAGCCCATTATCTCACGGCGGCATCCCACTTTGAATAACAAATCCTTTTATTTACCCAGGAATGCCTCACCTATTCCCAAGTTCATTTAGCGAGGAGAATCCAACGTTAGAATGTTTGGCCAATTCCAAACTGGAATACCCTGAGAAATCCCAAGCATACAAGAGGATAGCCATTGTATGTATGTATGTTGAACTTCTTTTGCACCACATGTAGCCAACTGTGGTCATCAGAGGTGTAGGGGAGGGACAACAAACTAAACACAAAAAGCAAAACACATTCAAGCTCCACACAGATTAAAGAATCCACCGCTGTTCTGCCATCTCCTGGTCACCGTGCACCAGCTTCTCAGCTCATTCTCGAGCCCGGTTAAGGACTCAAGATGCACTCATTGAGAATGGGAGAGTGAGTCCTCAAACCTTCCGCATAAGCTCGATAGGGCATACAAATTACCATCACCACCACAATTACAACCATCAGTAACAGCACGATCACCACCAGCAGTATCATCCGTACCACCATCAACAACACCACATCATAGTTTTCTCAAGATGTATCTGACCTTTCGAAGAAACCAGACATTTATCTTCGAAAGAGAAAGATCCTTTTGATTGAAAGCTTTCGTGACTGCAGGGATACAATGTAACTACTACCACAGAGGCAACTTAGTTTGTAGACGCCATGAAATCTGTGATCTGGTTCCGTCTGTAAAAGATGTCATTCCGGACATAGAGTAACCCTGGCGTCTACAAACTAAGTTGCCTCTGTGGTAGTAGTTACATTGGAGACACCAAACGACATGTCTCGGACCGCATTCGTGAACACACTGTTATAATTCAGTAGGCTCACATGACATTGACTTCTCCAAGACAGAGGTTATTTGCAAGCCATCTGGCTACCATGAGAGATTCGTTCATGAGGCTATCCACATATACAAACACAGAGACAATTTCAACCGAGAAGATGGATTCTGGCTTAGCAATCATTGGAAGAATTTGATAAACCATTTCGGGTCTTAATTGATTGTTCACGCTTACGGTGGCTTTCAGACCGCATCCATTATTTTCGTCTCCCCCCTCTTTTCCGAACATAGATGGACTCGTCCATCTGAATAACTGCCAAGTCGCTCTCCGTGGTGCTAACGTAAAAAAAGCCACTTTTTTTAAAATTTTCTTGCTGCGGTTTTCACACCTGATGATTATTGCTTGTGTTGCAGTCAAAACGTCGTGGAATTTTATTGTTTACATTTTTATTATTTTATTGCTTCCCTTCTACGTGACTTTACCGAAAGAACCAAGAATATGAGAAAGATCCTGTTTGTAACATGTTGTAACAAGAATGAGAAGTTGACAAATTGTTGAAGAAAATCTGCAAAGTGAGGATTGCACAGAGGTGCCTCAAGCTATCCCAGCCTGCACTTTCATCCACAGTTCACTGACAAAAAGCCTATTCCACAGATGGGGAAGTGCGTGCCTGCCATGTTAATCACAGACAGTACCTTAGGAAATTGCTCGTCTCAACTTCATTGCTAACAAAACGAAGATGGAAAGGGTGAGAACGCACTGCAAGCAGCCGTCTGGATGGTAGCCAAAACAGGAAAAATATATGTATGGGCAAGGCAGATGCAATTTATTTTGTCTGGCTTGTACATAGAGCAGTGCTCTCTTGCATTGCCTTAAGCAGGACACACACAGCATGGATATACAAAGTGACAGATATACTGCAAATTAATGCTACAAAAACACATTTAAGTGATTTATGGACAATTTAGCACCTGACAATTAAAACGTTGTCAGTCTAAAGCAACACAAATTAAGAGAGTGCGAACCTACGGGTAAAGCCTATTACACTTGACGTATTAACTGTCGGAGTCTGGCTGCTCTGTAATAAATACTCGTCTAGCGGCGGCAAGGAAAAGGCACGCACGAGAAACCTCTAAGAGACAAGTGGGGAACGAACAAGAATGTAAGAGATTAAGGAAAAGCTCCGTTGAGACGTAACCTGTGGTAGGACGTGTCCCTGAAAGAAATAGCGATTGATAGGGAGATTTAGCATCCGTGAGGAAACAAGGTAATGGGACAAAGAGACATTAATACGTGCGTCTGGGACTGTGGCCGATTGCTGCACCTTGCACAGGACCAGGAGAAACGGTGTCAGAATGTTTGGCGTGTTACACATTCCACATTGCATCGAATTATCAAAAAAAATCAAGATACTGCCACTCACTATACACACGTTGAACTGCATGCATGAAAACCCATCATTTACAGTTTATGTAAATCTCGCAGTGGCGAGATGTTAACTACCTCACGTAGTATACAGGAGGATTGTGGGTTCCATCCCAACCCTGGCGCCTGTATATTTGGAGTTTGCATGTTCTCCCCGTGGTTGCATGGATTTTTCTCTGGATCCTCCGGTTTTTCCCTCCGCATTTAGAAACTTGCATTTACAATTTCTGGTTGCTATAAATTTGCACGTGGCAATCCACTTCGTTGAGCTACCATTTGTGGCCAGGTTGCTTCTGAATAAGAGCTGTAGGCCTTACCTGGTAAAATAAAAAGTTTTAGTTTAGTTTACATACTATTTTTATACTCAAGCTACATTTAGGATAATGGATTGAACACAAACAAAACAATATTTCGCCACATAACCGCATCGCCATCCTAACTTGCGACAATAAATCGAATAATTGAAGCAGGAAGGGGAAGGGAGGTGATGAAGCTTCATTGGATGAAAGCATGCAGTGACGTCGCCCCTTGCTGGTAGAATATATTCGGCCGTGAAACATGGTGCCTTCGTGACGGCCTTGCGCTTCAAGTCCAGCGCGACCACCGAACGTGTCAAGCGGATCACTACACGCCGAGCGAAAGCGGAAGGGGAGCACGCGGTTACCGCTTTTCGCTGGCGTACGGAGCCTTTCCACCAAGCGCCGCCCAGAATTCGGGTGGCTCCTGTCCCTCAAGCACCGTCTGCTTGTCCCTCCGTGTGAGTCCGTCCGCCAGGCTCCGCGCCATTTCTCGCTCGTCCCCGCTGCAGCCCTGAGCCCGGACCCCACGGGGGAGAGGGACAGAGCCAGCAGGTTAACGACGACTCGCGGAGCGGCAATGCAGGAACCGACACGGGTGTTGTGGGTTATCTGGCTGAGACGACTGGCAGATGTGATCAGTTGTATCCTCACTGTGTCAACCGATATAGCCTTGGCGCAAATACTGTTAAGCGAGCACATGTGAAAGTTGGCATCGCACAAGAGGGGGTGGTGGGTGGCCAGCACCATACAACCTGGCCACCCTTTTTCTCCCTAGGTGCTCATTTTAAGTCTATTCGACCTATGGAAGTTCTCAGTACTGGTTCAGATACTTGGCATTGGCTGCGAGCGGGAATCGAACTTGGATAAACCCGGGTTATAGTAGCACAGTGCCCCAACCGCTGCGCTACCGCTCCCCACTTGACGCACACCGCAAGCTGCACGCATGAGAGCCTCACCTTGCCGCACCACAGGAAGCACGCCACCTCGGCGTTGAGCACAAACACGTCGTTGGAGTTGAGGGCGGAGGCGCGCGCCGGCACCTCCACGGCCTTGGTGTTGAACTCGTCGGTGCCGCGCACCTGGAAGAGCCGCGTGGTGGGCGGCGCTGCCCCACCGATGTCGTTGCCGCCGGCCCTGGAGGTGCCGCCCTGCGCCACCATTTATCAACACTCCAAGCATCTTTACAGCACTAATCGAGTACCAGAGGGACATATGTTCAACCAGGTAACACAGTGTTTCCAATTTTAGCATGTCCAGTTACCACTCGTCTTTCACGTAGTTGCGAACACATCTCGTCAACACGCATACAGCCGTAGCACGCTTAAGGTTTTGTGTCAACTAATGTGTGGCCTGCCAAATGTATTTGAGTTTCATTCAGCCCTCAGTAAGGCAAAGGATCCCCACGCCTGGCTTAATGGAATGATCACTGGTGGGGTCAGCTTGAGTAGAAAGACCGGGCGAGTAGAGACCGGGTGGGGTACCTCGTAGATGATGAGCTTGCCGTGGAAAATGGCGAGGAAGTGCTTGGGCTCCTTCCCCATGACGACGCGCACCTGCACGGGCTCGCCGCCGTACTTCTGGTCTAGCGCTACAGCCTGGTACGCAGACGCCGCCACCTCGTCCTGGGTGGCGTGACGGCCCTGCCGTTACACGCACCCACAGAGACAATGATCCCCCGCGCAGCCTGCTTACACTGCTGGGGCATGGGGCTGTCGATGGCCGGCACAGAGCACAAGGGGCCAGTGTGGCCAACACCCACACGGCCACCACCACACCCACACGGCCACCACCACACGGCCACCACCACACCCACACGGCCACGGCCACCACCACACCCGCACGGCCACCGCCACACCCACACGGCCACCACCACACGGCCACCACCACACCCACACGGCCACCACCACACCCACACGGCCACGGCCACCACCACACCCGCATGGCCACCACCACACCCGCACGGCCGCCACCACACCCGCACGGCCACCACCACACCCGCACGGCCACCACCACACCCGCACGGCCACCACCACACCCGCACGGCCACCACCACACCCGCAAGGCCACCACCACACCCGCAAGGTCACTACCACACCCGCACGACCACCTTTGTTCTCCATTCTTGACATTTATACATCGCAACGAGTTACTAATCTAAGTCCGAGTCGACAGGAGGGCCCACGACCGGTTCAGATATTAATCACCACTGATGTTAGCCAAAGCCGGGAATGGAACCCAGGTCGGCAGTTTTGTAGGGCAGTGCGCAGACTACTGCATTAGCACGTGTACAAACACATACAAAAACAACAACCGCTATTTGTCACTAAGTGGCGGTGACGTTTCCACGGTGTTTGTACCAGGCTGTGTGGCCAGGTGCGATCAGACTTGGGGCCGTGTCACCGGAGGCATACATAGAGAATTGCAAATGTCAGTTAAAATATTTGTCAAGTTATTCACTCCTGGTGGAAATCATACAAAGCCAAGAAATAAACACCAAGGTCTTAATGCATGTGTGGGTGGAAAGCCAGAGTCTGCCAATAACCGGCGTAAATAGTTAAACTGCTGTGATTTGCTATCGATTTGGCCATTTTGTCCAAGTCATTTCCGACGAACGTAATGGAGCAGCTCCCAGGGGTGCAGAAATATTTCATGTACAAGGATGGTAGCAAAGGAAGACATGAATGTAATAATATAGAACACATTAACATTACTCAATGGTCAAACTCTTGATTTTGTTACCTGCCACATGTAGAGTAGGTAGGCGAGCTTGTTGTTGCTGGTATAGGTGTACAGCACGAGGTAGCAGTCCCCGCCGTAGAACTGTCCATGTAATCTTTTCTCCACCGGTTTCAACTCCAGATCCTCAATCCGGAACATCTGCGCAGAAGCAGAGATTGCTCAGCCACAGGCTTACAGAGGCATGACCACGTAGGGAAGATCTTTGCCTTTTAAGCCTTCAAATGGAAAAAAAAAACACTCACAGCTCACGGGCTAATCAAGGGCACAGACGTGAACTGGTATGCTGCACATTTGCAAAGTGTTCCTGTGGCAACGTGCGGTGTTCACCTCCGCAGTGCCTGAACCATCGTCCACCATTCGATGTTGAGCAGCGACCTCCGGCTTGGCGTGCAGCACTGTGGGGTCAAACTTCACCTGTTCCACTCGAGCTGCCAAGCAACACAGCAACCAACAACTCCATCAGCACCACCCATGCATGTTAAGAAGATGCATGGAATCATCAATTAAAATCACTGCTTATTCTCATGACTCCATCATCACCCTTGTCGTCTTCATCTTCATCTTCATCATTTTATTAGATCGCGTGTGTGCCTCTATTGTGCCACTCGCCATTAAGTTTAGAGAACAAAAATCCGATGTAAATTGTGTAGGACAGAGGCACAAAATGTACACATGGATCTGTATGGAATGTGCCAAGACACCCTCTCAACAGCTCCCCCACACAAGCCATGCCTCAATATCGTGCTTTGTTCTTAGAGTTTTGTAAACTTTGTACCATCGTTGACTCCTCCAGAACCCCGCCCTATCCTCACCCACTTGAAGGTCATTCCACAATTGTGGCAAGAGTAACAGCAGCCAAAATGGGTGCGTTTATGATAAAATTGGCTGTGCTTGAAATGCAAGTTGCGGAATGGGGCTGCTTTTTCCACAAAAAGTTTGACACTCCACCAAAAAGTGGCAGGATGGTAACCAAAATAGCTATGTGAATTGAGCCCCTGGTCTCAATTGGGTTCTCCCTGGTCTCAATTAAACCAGTGTACTATCCATTCACCATGCCAACAACACCTGGCTTTAACCAATTCCAACATTTTTTGTGAATGATGTGAAACTCAGACAAAAGGTGCACAAATTCTGGAAACAAATCAGAGTAATATCACGGGTTAAGAGTAATAAAACACGTAAAATGTGATTTCATGACTGCTGAGTTGGTGGTGTAAGACAAGGCTTTGTGCATTATACACTCAGGATGGCAATTTCATATGGCATGCAAGGAATGATGGGAAAACCGAGCCTTCAGCCACACTTGTGCCTGTTGCGGTCGATAAATCATCTTTTGCGTCTATTATTACTCTTACCTCGTAGCTTTGTTTTAAGCATATAATAATATTACTCCAAGAACACAGTGGCCTCATCTGAACCTAAGCGACGGTCACATCTTAACCACATGGCAACTTTAAAAGCCGTTCACGTGCGCCCAGGGCGAGTACCGATTTTGCCGACGGTGTAAGTCTTGCCCATCCCCTGGGTCTGGCCACGCTCCGTCCAGTGCTGGAACAGCTGCTTGAAGATGGCCGACTCGGCACCGTCTGCCACCGTCTCCACGTTGGTGCTCACGGGGTAACCCTTGGCCTTGATGTAGCCCTGCGCGCCACGCAGAAGGACACGGATATACGTCACTTCGCGGAAGCGGCAGGAACAAAGCCAGGGCCGTATTATCCATTAGGCACAGTACGAACTGTGTCTATGGCTTATGATAAAAAAAAAATGTTTGTATGATATCTTGTTATATTTTTAGGCTTACATTTTCTTTTCTCAATAATTTCAAATAAAATCTGCTCATCTGCGGCACACAGCGCACTCCCGTCGAATTAGGGCACAGACTAAATAATGAACGTATCAGTGATGACATCTGTCCAGTGGCTGGACGAAGTACGTGTGAAACAAACGAGTGACAGCAGTGGCAGTAACATGAGCAGTACCAACTGTAGAAAGTTATCACTGAAGGCCTAGGAAACAGAAGTGCCTAGGGCCTACAAGATCCTTTATCCAGCCCTGACCTAAGTGTGAGGTGGCTGGGAGTCAGTGGCCAATGCGGTGCTTCTATTGTCATGAGTGCACGCAGCATGGGGTCACAAACCAGCGCTCGCTTCATTGCTGCCTGCCTCTCCTCCTTGCTGGAGCCTCGTCCCTTCCACACGTAGATTTTGATTCCTCCCTGGTCCAGGATGTAGCAGTCCTGAGGAATTGCATTCGCACCATTGCATCGTTACAAATTTATAATGCAAACTGGAACATGCGCATTTATTTTTCTCGGTTAATGAAGCAGCGTTTAATGAACTACGGCTGAAAATGCGAGACTGCATGTCCATCAACAAGGACGTGAACTCACATCGTGGTTCAGCAGGTCTTGGGTCAAAGGTCGCGTTGCCACCTCCTCCACCATCAAGTTTCCACCTTTCTCTGACACACTGTAAATTTAAGGAGCACCATAACATAACCATACATCGCCAATGCATGTAACATAAATTACACTTTTACCGCAGCTGCTCATTTGACTCATGTCGTGCGTCCAATAGCAAGCTGCACACAGACTCAATTCCAAAACCCCATTTTCCTGTGCTACCCATTCCTCCCTGTTTCCCTACACATTTAGCTCACTGGTAGAGCTTGACATTGGCCTTGCGGCTGTGATCCGTCGGCTCATCAGGGCTGCCAGGGGACAGATCGCCATGCCGCTCCCCCAGGGCGGCCGTGAGGACGGCCATGAGCTCAGGTGAGGAGTCCTCGTCGTTCCCCTCCACGACACCGATCTGGGCGCGCCCGCCACGCTCACGGTCACGGATGTCGGACGCCAGCTGCATGCCCTGCACAGAGATGGTGAGGGTTGAAATATCATAACTTTTTTTAGCGGTGACCCAGGAGAGGGCTCAGATCCTCAGCCAGAATCAGTGAGGTCTTGGGTTTTGATCCTGGTTTCAGGAGCAGTATGCTAAAACCTGGGGCTTTTCAAGTGTGGCGAGTTGATGGCCTCAGCCCGGTCACCAACGACTGCACACGAAAAAAACTAGCAGATAAAAAAAATTCTTACTGTGGAGAAATTCCAGCTCAGAGAATTTAAAATAAGGGTTTGACAAACATTTCATGGTGGGAAGTGTAAAAGTGCACTCCCTAGTGTGTGGATGAAAGAAGTCAACTTGAACGGATTGTTAGAAGTACTTCAACAGTATGGTTGCACTGCTCCGATGTGATTTCCATACGGCCATTCTTGTATCCTGTCATAATGCGCCTTTGAAAAGTGATGAGATCGTTCCAATAAAGAATCTCATAAATATTCTGGCAGGTTACCGATGTTTCATCAGCTTGATTAATTAATCCCACAATTGACAAATAACACAATCAATGCAAAGGTCCATCTTCCAAGAGTAGAGATTGTATGTATCAAATGGCTGCTATGGATGTTTTAATCACTGGAGTTATTATTCAAATGTTTGCCTGGCCCAATAAGCGCTACCGAAAAAAAAGAGTACAGTGCACCATCATTAAATATGTTCTTGACAAATCAAATTTAATAACCATTGGCTACGTTAAATAATCAACCATGAATCTTTTTGCAATCCTAACCCATACCCCCAATCTCACCCCAGACACAAACCCTAGCCCTAACACCTAAGTAAGCTCAAACCTCCACTAATGTATGTAAACACTTTAAAAAGGGTTACACCACAAAGTGAAATGGCAGCAAAGGATCCGAATGTAAACCACTGCCCCTTTTTAAGAGACGAGGGCCCGTCGGTCGCTGTGTCAGTCGCTGCTCGCTGTGTCACAGTCGCCGCTCATGCCATCCCCGATGTTTGTGCGGAGCATCTCACCTTGATCTTCTCCACGCGGTTGCTGTCAGGGCCATTCCACTGGATGATGACCTTGCCCAGGTCGAGCAGGAACACGTCCCCACGGCTGAAGCTGTCCCATGACAGGTTCACCTGTGCAATAGAGATACGGGGATCGGTGATTGCGATAGGGAGCAGGTGTGTGGATGGGACAGGTCTGGGGTCAGGGATAATTACGGGTGGTAACTCATCACATGAAATCAAGGTAGAATCATTTGATGACATTGAAACACTTGGTATTTTGAGTAAACATTATTTACGATTTAGCAAAGTCTGGAGGATAAGTCTGGTATTTTCCAAGGTAGTAAATTAACCGTTGATAGGTATATTTATCAGGTACTTAGTATTACAACGTTGAAATGTTATGCAACTCAACACTTAATTTAGTTTTCACAATTTGTAAATTTATATCAGTTACATTTTTTATACAAGTTTAACACAACCAAGATGCATATCAACACAAGTCTCAACTGACAGATCACAACAAGCCATCGCTGTACTTTAACGCTCCAAAGAAAAAAAAACACAACACTGGGAGCATTTGAATAAATTCTTAAATAGCAAAAAAACATTCCTGATGAAATGCAAAAAAAATAAAAACTCCTGAATAGAGCCGTACAAACACCCCAATGCCGGAGCATGGTGCAAAAGAATTCTGAGACTCCGTGAGGCTTGCTTGGATAAATAACAGCATTGTTCTTGCTATTCATGAGCATTCATGCAGCCTTCGCGATGGGGCCGGCTGAGTCCTGAGAACGAGCCTCTCACAGAGACCGTTTTGTCAGCCGCTTACAATCACATGGCCACAGCGCCTGTGCACTCACCGGTAAGGGACAGCGCCGCTGGCTATTGGAGTTTGTTTGAAACGCTCTTGTGACAGCATTTGCCTGTTGTGCGTACCGAGGCAGTGAACTGTGCAGTTTGCATAATGCTCAGCAGTGTTTTTTTTTTTTCACATGCAGGAAGGATACTTTGCAGGCACCAAACTTCAAAAGGCATTCGCCAGACAGGTGGTACTTTAATAGAAACTCAAGAGTACCATAGGCTGTATCATTTAACTGGTACAACTCTTATCCCTCAAGCCTATTATCCACAACTGTTGAGTATTAATACGAGCTGTACGATCCGGGAAAACTTCTATTCGCCATGCCCTGTTATTCATGTTATCTGTGATTAAACACGTTTGTTTTTGGTAGCTTTATCCACAAATTCATCCTATTATATGTATTTATCCACAGTGTTTCTTTGAAGATAAAAATAAATTTGTGAATAACATTTTAGGTAATAGGATTTGTGGTGTTCATCCACCAGAATTACCACTGATAAGAGTTATGCTGTGTTTACTTCAAAAAAGCATTATTTCGACTCTGGTTTATACTTTCTTAGATACTTTTTGCACCATCCTCGCATTCCAGCACGTTTCACAATGGGTGATTTATTACACATTCACTTGACCACAGACTACCTAGACTGGCAATGCCACGTACTGTATGCCTAATACCCAACAGCTTACTGTGTTGTGAAATGTTCCCTGTGCGTTTGAGTAATGTCAACAACAGTTCTGCAATATTGACATTCACTTTTGTGGTGAAACACATTAAAGGACATGGGACCTCAAATGTCTCATGATTAACCAAGGTACTGGCGCTGTAATCAGCCAAATTATTTGGCGATACTGGCAGTGGTGCACAATCACAAATAACAAAAACCTCACATTCTTCAATAACATTGTGGCTTTAAAAGGAAACATATATAATAGGTGACATTTTGGGCAATGTTTTTTTCTTCAAAGCACATAGAGGCCAGAGAGAGAAATCGAGATCGTTGGAGACTCACTTTACACCATGGGGCCCTGATAAGAATTTCATTTTTAAAAAGTTTCCTGATGAACAGTTTTCAAGTGGCACATGTCACTCGATCAGTTGGTTAATCGGCCAACGGGTCGCGTATCGTGGGTTAAAGTGTGGGCACTTTCATCAAGAAGCCTGGCCAGCATTGAAGTGTCAGTCATATTATCCTCTAGCAGAAGCCCTTCTGTCAGCAGTGACGTGAGCAAGTAATCGCAGGGCTGCACATTTTAACTGAATCTAATCCAGTCGCACCACCACCGGCCTGTGCTGCCCTGTGTGTTTTTAAATCATTCATTGCAATGCCAAGCACACAAACAATTCCTCCCCACCCCCCAACCCACTCCAATAGAAAGTGGCCCCACATTATAATGCAACGCAACAAAGCGGGAGCCGTCACGTGAGCCAGCGCTAACAGAGATGAATAGAGACTGTCCACATAGAAACACGTACACACACACACAGCTCGACCGAAACGGCACAAACAGCAAGCGTGCAGCCGGCAGCTCACGCCCTGAATCGCCCTGGGAAACGCCCTTGTGCAACAGAGTGGCAGGGACAGATAAAGTTCACAATGGATCAAGGGACCTCATTACATATGTATAGCCTCAAGAAATGGCTGTAATGCGTATTATTCTTTGGGATTAATTTTTTTTGGGTTCATATATACTCGTAGCCTGTGACCAAATCGCCCGGAATGTGCCCGATCTCGTCAGATCTCGGAATCTAAGCAGAGCTGATTGGTCGTCAACGGCTGCTGCGAGGTCATGTGATGGGTTGCAGAAGGGTAGTCCAACAAAAACCCATTGTTATTCTGTACTTGCATGCGACCACTTTAATACTCCCCCGTCTTCTCCAACACCGCACTGACCAACACGGTGAGGTATGGTCCAATAACCCCATGACCCTCAAGGTGTGTCCTTCGTCAAGAAGCGGATTCCAAAAAATACTGTACATGTCCATATACAGTAATCATGAAAGTTGTAGTATAGGTGAATGTTGAAGACCTCATGTACAGGGTGTCTGAGTGTGTTCATCACGAGAGGAATCTTGGCATGCTGCACACTTTCCGACGCTACCTATTCAAGGGCCAAGCCTATCGCGTTCTAAACCTTTTTATAACCACATAACAATTTCGAAAACAAAAAATTGCACCAAATAAAAGTTTTCACTTTGTTTTAAAAGCTTTAAAACTCATTCGATAACAGGGTTTAAAAATTGTCAGCCTACCGCCTAACTCGGTAGCGTTGGCAAGCACACACCCCGCCATCCCCCTGCCTGGTTCGGTATGTGGTGGAGACAGGCGGCGTGCTTTTGTTGTGCTGGCCGATGCACAGGTGATGCATTCGACATTTGTGCCTCCTCCCCAGAGTCCACACACCTGGCCCCACCAGCTGCCACATCTGCCTGCCCTGGGCATGGGAGGTGGCAGCTTCTGTGAACGCTTTACAATATCAACAATGCCACTCACTTAACCCGCTAAGATACAAACAGTTACACACTTAACGGAATTGGGTACCAGAAGTGAGGTGGGAAGCTGTGGTTTCATTTTGGTTGCAACAACAATATTTTCCCCCCTTCTATAAAGTACTTAGAGGTTTCACGAATAAACTCTACCCGATATAAATGACATTTTTGTGACAACAATGCAAAATACATCGACACAGCTATGCAACAGCATTGCTGTAAAACATTTGTTTCTTTTGGGTCTGATCGTGCAGATGTAATGCATTTTTTTTTACTATAACCCTGCATCACCCCGACAGAGCTACTGAATTCAAGTTGCCACGTGGGAAAATAGGCCGATTGATTTGGTTTATCAGCAATCCAAAGGAATGCTAAGAAGAAAGCAAAATGAACAATTTTGTCCGAAGTTCTGCTCGAGACTACAACCAGCATGATCAGATGATTACCAAGCTCAGCTTTTGCATTTATATTTTCAAACCCATAAGAAACTAATTATGAATCAAAATATTGGTTGTGAAAACCTTGGTATAAAATCAGCAATGCTGAAGTTGGTGACAATACAGCGAAATGTCTGGATAGATATCCCACTAAATTAATAGGATAAAATTATGCAAATATGTAATTTTAAAAGTCTGCAGGGGCTTTTTGTCGCAGAAAATCTGAATAAACTTATTAAACATATTAATCTCTCCCCTCTGTAAGATACGGAGCCATCCCTTTCACAAGTCACTCACCTGTTGACAAACCCAAAACCACAATAGGGACATAAGAAATCAGTGGGGTATTTAAAAATGGATCATGACACATACAAAAGATACAACACCGCCTTGGTTTGCGATAAAACCCAAATAATTAAAATAAAAATGTGCTTGCGTTCACGTGTAGAGGCTTTCGCGACCAATATTACGACTCGTAGCTAGGGTTTTCGGTAAGATCGCAAAGCTGCAACGCCTCGTGTACATCATACCCACAGTATCACGCAATGTAATCCCAAAAAAGTATTACAAATTTAATTATATTTTATGGGCCATTCTCACAGGGTCCTCAATTGCAAATGGGACGGCGCGCGTCCAACGATCAAGCAGCCTCAGCGGTTTGCGCTCGCTACGCAGCCTCATCACGGCACAGCTGCCCTCGACGGCGAGATCCCGGTGTCCCTCTGGGCCCTCGGCACTTCCCCATGCGCGTCCAAGTGGCCGGCGCCAGTGGCGTCTCCAGGGACGACGGGGAGAGTGCTAGGGGGTGGGACGGGGGGTGGGGGGGGGGGAGTCGACGCTCAACCCGTGAAAGCATCAACAGTTTGGCCTGGAGCAGCCTGGTAGCCACATGGGGCGGGGGCGGGGGGGGGCTGGAAGGGGCTGAGCCCCCATATCCTTGCTTTGAGGCCGAGCCACCCTCTTGTCTGCGGTAGTTATAGGGGGGCTGGACAAAATGCAAATGTTAGCACAATTAGGTGATGGCTCTTGCGGCCTTTCCTCATATACCTTTCCTCATATACTCAGAGGGATGCGAGCCGGAGCCCACGGGAGGAACACCTGATGGACTAAAGCAGGCCGTATCGTCTCGTGCACCCTCCCTCGAGTTTTTGTATGCCCCCCCCCGCCCCCCCCAACAAGATGACGCTGTGGGGGCTGGGCTGCAGGGTCGGCACGACGTGAGAAAGCAACATCAAGACAGCCCAGGAGAGCACTTTGGGGGGTTGGGGTGGTTGTGGATGGGGAGTGCGGCCACTGCGAAACGAGGACGCATGACGAGGACTCGCTGGTCCCTTGCAAGAGTTGTCGAGGGTATGGCTCTCCGAGGTGTAACTTTTAGGCATGTGCCCTTTTGTGAATCCACTGCTGGATGACGGGCCCCCCCCCCACGGTGTATGGGTTATGGGGGGTTATTTCACTTGACTTCACCATGGTGAAGTATGGCCAAATAACCCCGTGTCTTGGTCATAAGCAGGCCCAATTTGACTCAATCACCCGTGAAAGAGCAAATCCGTCTAACAAACAAGCAAAACTCTCCTGTGTGCAGGAATCCCTTGAAAAATAGTCTTGAGACTCAGCGAGGCCTTCCTGGATGAACAAAGTACGCGATTATGTTATGCCTATGAGACATTCACCTGGAATGCACCCGACCGTCGTGTCTCAGAAGCTAAGCAAAATTGAGCCTGTCACATGAGTAACGGGCGTTATGGGCTGTGGAACTACGCTGTAGACATCAGAAGACGGTGCAGCTACATCCATTGTTGCGCCGTACTCCTACGCTCCCCGCCTTCACCAACCGGCGCCGACAAGCGTGACGACGTGCAGTCAAATAATCCCCATGAGGACACCCTCATCCAGCAGAGCATTTACAGAGGGCTGCACGCGTGCGTTATTATTTTGTTGTTGTTGTTGTTGTCGTCAATGTCACTCTATCCCCGTTGCCTGGAGGCTTTACAACCGACCTCGGTTGCCGTGACCGCCTTGCGTCCCTTGATGTGGAGGAGCCGCTGCACGTTGTAGGAGTTCGTCTCCGTGTGGTGGAACCCAGACGCGACGCCGCCTTTCTTGTAGCTGAAATGAAAAGAGGAGTGCGGGGAATTAGGGGGGGGGGGGGGGGGCAGCAGGAATGTTTGTGGCAAGGTGGAAAGTTTTTTGGTAATGTATCCCCTAGGCAACAACGTCAATGCAGTATGATTAATCTTCAAGCGCACGCTTTGTGTGCCGCGTGTATAGGACTAATTCCCGCTATGACTATTGTGCGTGTGCGACTGCCTTTGGGAGCAGACGTACAAAGGATTTAACAAAATGTCTTTTGTAGTTATTTTTAATTACTTTCCAGACACCACAAAGCGGGGAGGTTGTAGCGGTGGCACAGTCGTTCGCGCTCTGAACCCAAACACCCGAGTTCGATTCCCTTCACGAGTTCGTTCCCGGCCAGTGGCGAGTGATATCTGAACCAGGTCTGGCCGCATCACCCCCTTCACGAACCTGCACTGACCAGACTGATGACGTATAGTCAAACACCTCCCACGAGGCCTACATGCACAAAGTGGATTGGCCAGGGACTGCAAATTATGATTATAATGCACATGTCATTCAGTTGCAAGTGTGCATTTCACCAGTACAATACCACAGAGAATCCGCACGAGTGCTCAGTGTCCCTCAGAATCCCCTTCATGCTCTCCCCGGGCTGTCCCCATTTGTGTAAGAGAGTCACGCTACATCAATTCCAACACGGCTGCAGGACGAGCTCAAACGACACCCACGACACCAGCTCTGCCTGTGCCCCCCCCCCCTCCAACTCCCCGAGTTCCCCCGACGATGCGTCACTCCCCACAGACCCCTGACCTCGCATCACCTCTCACTGCAACACTGGCTGAGCGCTCGCCAGCATGCGACGGGTACAACGTGCAGCCAGAACGTGGTGGCTCAAGCCGCGTTGACTTTCACGCAGATCTCTCCGCGTCATGTCGACGCGTGCAATTATCGGCCACGGGGGGGTCGCACGTTTTTTCCTGCTGTCGGTGCTTGCACTCAATGTGCAAGCTACATTCATGTTTCAATCCACACGCAGCCCTATGTCAATCCACTGCTGAACGAGGGCCTCACAATTTCCACGTGGGTCAAAGGGGGGCTATTTGACCATACTTCCCCATGCTGGTCGGAGCAGGTTGAAGGATGTAAGCATAGTCTTGGGGCATACAAGTGTACGGTACAACCATGGGATTTTTTATGCACAGCCCTTTGATGCACAGAAAGATCATTTGAAATCAAGCGGTAGTATTTCATCAGCACTAATCAAGCCATTGTATTAAGTTAGAGGGGAGATGACTTTCGGCTTCGTGATTTTCTGTTAAGATGCACAAGTTCTGCATATATTATCATGAAGCTGTGGCCACGATGCAGCAATATGGCACAGAAATGTTCATAGCCACAGGAACAAAAGACAGTACTGCCCCAACTTTTCTTCAAATACACAAGCGTGCAACAATTCAGACAATGACCCTGAATTGGAGGCTTAAGTGAAAAACTTGCTTGCACTCAAAAACACACACACACACACTTCCAAACAAAGCCAGCTGGCTCTTGGTTCCATCTAAAGCATAAAGCTGCTGTAAACTTGCCAATTTGCCAAGTGTCCGTCGAAGACTCCACTTTCTAATGCGTTTCTGCTCAACCTCCAGACATCCAAGGACAGATCCTCATCACTATTTGCATACTTTCATTGGCTCGTCCTGCCGCTGGACGTCTCGAAAAATCCCAAAGCAAATTAAGCGTCCAGCCAAATGGCTTGCTGCCACAACTTGATTGCAGGATTGGTGCAAGGAGGGACACGGGTCGGAGGAGGAGGAGGAGGGGGGGCAGTGGATGCGATGGCAGTGGAGAGAGCCAGGGCATGAGGTGCAGAATGTCCCGTGCTTTGCGGCGTGGAATGCCACATTTCCCGGAGTGTTTCGGCGCGACGCGAGGCAGTGCTGCCGCACGGTGCCGGTCACGCGGGGGGGGGGGGGTGGGACAGCTCTCCGATGTGTGGTGTCAGGGGGCTGGACAGGGTATTGTTGAGCAAGATGTCCGACGTTTCTGTTCTAGCACATGGAGCGAAACCGTTGAACATCGCAGCGGACAAAAGCCGATAGAGTCCAAAAACACAGCGGAGTGCTATGCAGTACAACCGCAAAAAATACACACAGCACTGTCTAATCCTGTTTACTAAACCCCCTGCGTACAGTGTATGCATGGGGGGGGGGGGGTGGGGTCTGGGGGGACATGCACCAAATGCTGAGTGTGACACGGAAGGAGATCCGGCCTCTACCGCCCACTCGCCTAGCTCTGCGGGGGCCTCCAAATTGACCATTACAACCACTCACACCAGCAGCACTTTCCCTACTCATGTTCCTGTGTGAATTTCCTGCTAAGCCCACTGGGGCAATGCAGGGGACCCTAACGGTCTTTTCTTTTTTAAAAAAAGCATCCCTTTGGTGTTGATAAAATTGAAAATGATTCGTGTTTCTATAGCGCCTAAACACAATCACGTCGTGGACGTGTTTATTTTGCAGAGGCAGACAGTCGATCACACGCGGAGGCTCTTAAGCCTGTATTTGTATGCGGAAAAGGATTTGGACAGCAAGGGTGGCTGGAGAAAGAGAGCTCCAAACTATGGGGGTTGATTGAGGGGAATGAGCCATTTCCCACCGAGCACCAGCACGCGAGCTCATTTCATTGATCCATCTCGACAAACGCACTCTTGGAAGAACGTTATTGAAAAGGCAAAGCGTTATCTCGCGTTAAATTGTGAATTGTACATCGCCCGGCACAATCACCCCTCGGTGCAGTGAACGCGCCGCACTGTGTCACACTCACACGACGCCGCTCTTGAAGTATCCGCGGAAGACCTCGGACTCGTGACCCTGGTACTCTCGGTGCTGCACGGGGAATCCACCCAGCGCGTCGTCCAGCTGCGTCGTGTACATGGCGGCAGCGGCCTGCTCGTCCTGCGAGGACTCCTGCCCAACCCAGTAGTGGACGTCGTACGTGGGGGTGGGCGACGATCCTGCCTTCTTGGCCTATGAGCCAGAGAGAGGTGGGGGGGGGGGGGTGGCAGTTCATAGGTCAGAGGTTTATGGATAAATGCTAAGGTCGAGAGGTCGTCACGGCCAATGCCATTGATGCCACCACGTGTCTCTTGGTTTATTGATGCCGATACGATTCTGTCGTAGTAAAGTTGGCAATAGTACATCACATTGTTTGTCCCATTATTAGTCCAATTCTGCTCCATGGGGTAACATTGCTCCTGCCTCACTAATGTTTTGAACGCTAAAAGTGGCAATAGAAATATTTATGTATTTATATTGTTTCATTAAAATCAGAAAAAATCTAATTCTAAATATTATTTGGGGAAGAAGAAGACTGATGGTTGAGATGCATCGCCTTGACCATTTCCCCCATTGGTTGTTTTTGTCCCCAAAAGAAATGACAATAAGGAATGCACGAACACGTGAGTGAAACATTTTTCAAGGTGGTACTTGCACCTGAGATGCTCAGCCACTTCCTTGTTTGAGTCTTTGTTTATGGCACTGCCCGGAGAAATATCCACGTACGAGAAGGGATAAAACTTAAGGCTCTAGTCCAGGGGGTTGGCACCTGCGGCTCCGAATCCGCGTGCTCTTTAAGGAGCCGCTTCGTGATGTTGTTTACAAAGGGACCACCCCATCTCGTATTCACACGCATTGTGGCTCTGGAAATACTGAGCTTTTTAGCGAATTCTAAATAAATGGCCCTTCTTGTTATTTTGGTTTGCTGACCCTTGGCTCTAGCCTCACAAAGCCTACCAGGGTAATATTTCACGTAAGTTAATGTTCCGAGTTTGCCGAAGGTAGGGCCTTTTGTCTTACGCCATATCACGTCCACCACTGATATTTACAGAACATCAAGTACATGGCACTAAATATTGACTTCATGTCAGATGTGGAAAAGTTGGACTGTAGCAGCGTCAGAGTACGGGGGTTTGAGAAACCCTGGCTTACCAACAGGAAAGTGGGCCGACTTGATGGAGGGAGGGAATGGGATATAGTCGTAAGGACTGGGACCATCCACAGTGCGAGTGAGATTGGCACTTAGAGATAAGAAACATTAAGTATAGACAGATTGCCAACAGTACTTACGTAACTTTTTCTGCAAGGATGCATAGATAATATCTTTATTCACCAGTGCAGACAAAAGTTATAACTGAATATGAAAGTTACACGATACATCGAGTGGAGTGGTGAGGCAATGGAGCAGTGGTTAGTGCACTATGTTACAAACCTAGATACCCGAGTTCAACTCCTGGGCACTGCTAATGTTTGTGGTGGTGGAAAACAACACCCCCCCCCACCACCTGCCCATTTAACCAACCCACACTGACCAGCACGGAGAGGTATAGTCAAAAACAACCCCAAACACAGCATGGGGACAATGAAAAGGGCTTTGCAAGGCAATAATTAATTATTTAACACAGGAGATTGGAACATTTGCCGTAGAATATTCCAGCGTGGGGCAATCCACGGTCCAGGCACGCACAAACGAATTCACGTAAACAACAAACGTTAGGGAGATGACGGGAATGCAGCAGCCACAAGCACGATATGCGTCTCTTATACAAATCTCCTATCTCTGGTTACATTGTCCCCACTCCAGCGATGGGGCCGTTTTGGGCGTTGCAATTAAAAGCTCACGCATGTGTGCATTGCACGTGCCACGAGAGTCGAGGTTCGGTCAGCTGCAATAATCTCATCGTCAGCGGATGCACGCACGCCTACCTTTTTGATCCATTTGATTTAAAAGTTTCCATTATGTTTTTTTTGTCACTCAGTGGGGGGGTCCAAAGGTAGAACCTCAATTTGATGTGTGGGTATGCGAGTCACACGGGAAGGGTGTGCCGCTAACAGGAGTGTATACCAGTGCATTGTTCGGTCAACTAATATCGATGGTCGAGTTCACGCTACATTCACCGCACGTAATGTGTTGATGTGATTCCTCCAGCCATTAGAGGCCGCTACATTCACCACAATAAAATATATATCGATTCTCGACCTTGCATCGCGATAATTTATTACATAGCGTAGGGGCGTAAATCATTAAACATCTAATTATTAGCGTGCCACTTTTTGGTAAAGGCATGTTTTGGTTTCCTTCCACATTCAATATACAGTGAGGGAAAAAAGTATTTGATCCCCTGCTGATTTTGTACGTTTTCCCACTGACAAAGAAATTATCAGTCTATAATTTTAATGGTAGGTTTATTTGAACAGTGAGAGACAGAATAACAAGAAAATCCAGAAAGGCATATCAAAAATGTTATAAATTGATTTGCATTTTAATGAGGGAAATAAGTATTTGACCCCCTCTCAATCAGAAAGATTTCTGGCTCCCAAGTGTCTTTTATATAGGTAACGAGCTGAGATTAGGAGCACACTCTTAAAGGGAGTGCTCCTAATCTCAGCTCGTTACCTGTATAAAAGACACCTGTCCACAGAAGCAATCAATCAGGATGTCAGGGACAAGATTGTGACCTACACAAAGCTGGAATGGGCTACAAGACCATTGCCAAGCAGCTTGGTGAGAAGGTGACAACAGTTGGTGCGATTATTCGCAAATGGAAGAAACACAAAGGAACTGTCAATCTCCCTCGGCCTGGGGCTCCATGCAAGATCTCACCTCGTGGAGTTGCAATGATCATGAGAACGGTGAGGAATCAGCTCAGAACTACACGGGAGGATCTTGTCAATGATCTCAAGGCAGCTGGGACCATAGTCACCAAGAAAACAATTGGTAACACACTATGCCGTGAAGGACTGAAATCCTGCAGCGCCTGCAAGGTCCCCCTGCTCAAGAAAGCACATATACATGCCCATCTGAAGTTTGCCAATCAATATCTGAATGATTCAGAGGACAACTGGGTGAAAGTGTTGTGGTCAGATGAGACCAAAATGGAGCCCTTTGGCATCAACTCAACTCGCCGTGTTTGGAGGAGGAGGAATGCTGCCTATGACCCCAAGAACACCATCCCCACCGTCAAACATGGAGGTGGAAACATAATGCTTTGGGGGTGTTTTTCTGCTCAGGGGACAGGATAACTTCACCGCATCAAAGGGACGATGGAGGGGGCCATGTACCGTCAAATCTTGGGTGAGAACCTCCTTCCCTCAGCCAGGGCATTGAAAATGGGTCGTGGATTGGTATTCCAGCATGACAATGACCCAAAACACACGGCCAAGGCAACAAAGGAGTGGCTCAAGAAGAAGCACATTAAGGTCCTGGAGTGGCCTAGCCAGTCTCCAGACCTTAATCCCATACAAAATCTGTGGAGGGAGCTGAAGGTTCGAGTTGCCAAACGTCAGCCTCGAAACCTTAATGACTTGGAGAAGATCTGCAAAGAGGAGTGAGACAAAATCCCTCCTGAGATGTGTGCAAACCTGGTGGCCAACTACAAGAAACGTCTGACCTCTGTGATCGCCAACAAGGGTTTTGCCACCAAGTACTAAGTCATGTTTTGCAGAGGGGTCAAATACAATTTATAACATTTTTGAAATGCATTTTTCTGGATTTTTGTTGTTGTTATTCTGTCTCTCATTGTTCAAATAAACCTACCATTAAAATTATAGACTGATCATTTCTTTGTTAGTGGGCAAACGTACAAAATCAGCAGGGGATCAAATACTTTTTTCCCCTCACTGTACATTACTCGTTAAATAACTTGAAAGACAATGCGACCTTCCGGGGAGACTTAGTGAAGCTTTTCTCACTAAATTAAGGTTAAACAAAATATTCTATAACGTCGTATTCGACGGCCATACACCCGCCCTGACCAATTAACCATCCACAACCAATGCGGTTTTTTTGTGCACGGTGCAACGGCCTTCTACAGATGCTTACAAATCCGACCTCGTCACATGCAGCGCCGCATTCTTAATCCCGCGTACACACGCTTACTTCTAAATTCCCGTTTTTCAAGCAGTTTGCGCATTTCCTCCAGTTATCTATTCCGCAGAATGTAAGTCCTATTTATATTGATGATCACACACCTGGCCTTTTCACAATTCTCCCTGTAACCTCAGTCCCCCCCCCTCCCCCCCCAAAGTGTGCCAGCGTTTTCCGCCTCAACAAACCGAGAGAATGATGTAGCAGTCGCCCTCAAAGAAACTGCCATAGGCCTTCTGGGGCACAGCAGCAAGCTCCATTTTCTGCAGAGAGAGAGCCAGGACATGGCACCAGTCACAGGGAGGTCACATTTACATCCATATAAGGTTACAGTAGCATTTTACGGAGCCAATGGTTTAGTGCCGACACGGGCAATCAAACTTTTGTGGAAACGCGACAAGAAATAATTTGCTAATCTTGAAAAGGACACATTTAATTGCCCATCTCTCAAGTAAAACCAAAGTGCAGTGTAAAGCTCAGCAGGAACTTTGATTGAAGGGGGAGGTTGTCCAAAAGTACAATCGATGGTTTTTACATTAGCCACCAGAAGCTATTTAAAAAATGGACCGTTCAATTAATTGCAGCCACTCAATGCACATATAGAATTACAGTTGATGTATACTTTTAAGTACACAAAGAAATGTATGGCTATATGCTTTCCTTGTGGTATATATTCTTTAATTACTATTTTAACAATAACAGCAGAGTTATCTCGCGTGCTATCATCACAAGTGTAGGGGCTCTCCAACGTCCTCACCTCCACTCTCCATATGTGGAGGCCGGCGCTCTTGGGCAGGTTCTTGAAGACTTCAGCGGTTGTCTCAGGCATGATGTCGGTGGTGGAAGCGAAGTTGGTGGCGGTGAAAGGTGTTGGTGGTGTCGGCGTCGGCGATGATCCGGCGAGGCACGGCTGTCGTGGCAAGAGAGAGGCACAGAGGAGAGATTATCCCCGTGTACGCCTTAACCACATGCCTCCGCCGGGTATAAAGTTCACACCGCTAAATTAATGTTCATTCATGCAGTGCACAGGGCAACGAGAAAGAATGCATGGTTTAATGTTTAACTCACCGGCACCTTGCTTGATGAATAAAAAGGCACGAATAAAAGTTATCAATGAGTTCCCATTAGGAGATCGAGACACCAGCAGTGGACCCAAAAGTTTTGTTTTTAATCTGCATGTAACTCTGCTTTTTCACTGGCATGTAGGTTCCACATCGTAGCACCTTGTAATAGTTCTCCCTATAAAATAAAACACTGTACTGGGCAAATCATTGGAACGTTTCACTTGTCCTTCAAAAGAACTTGACTAAGACTGCATGCATTCAGGGTCCAATTCATGGGCCCTTATCTGCTCCAGCTGACCACCAAGGTCAAAGAGACTCCATTATATGGGTCCTAAAACCTCCCACAGGTGGCTACGGGTGGCTGCGTAATCTGGAAGCTGTTCCTCTGTCGTAAATTCATGCACCGATAATGGCAATCACACATTCAAAGTCATAATCATCAAACATGGTCAATCCACTGCTGGATGAAGGCCTCTCCATGCAGTTGCCATCTCTCAGGATCCTGTCAAGTAATAATTTACAAAGCACACAAGCTGATTTCGACACTCCATCTCTTTGTATATTTTTTCTAGGACACTTTCCATACGTTGGGTACCACAAAATCAGCATTCATGACCACCGGCCATTTTCCGTCCTGCCCAAGCGCTCAATGACTATTCTTAACAGTTTCAATTGTGTACTTAAACTACGTATGCTCTCCAATCCGTGTTCTTATTTGTGTCTCTAAATGTAATTCTAAGCATGCATCTCTCCTCGAATGACATTTGTGGCCATTTATGCAGTAATTTTCACTTTGCCTTCAGTCTTCTCCATGAGGGTGACATTTGAATGCGCAATGCATCACACGTTACAGTGAGGATGCAGTATTTCTCTGCACTGAGATGATAATCTTTTCTTTGAATTATGGATGATATTGATTGGCGCACAGTTGAATGCTGAATCAGCCTCTCAATGGAAACACTGATGGACATTCTACAATGCACTGTTTCAGTGATCACAAATCATCCCCACATTGTTAAATAACCTGTGATATTGTATACACGTTTAAGGCTCTTGATGAAAAGTGATAAAATACATGGACGCAGAGAGCTGCTGCAGTAGCTCATGTGCTGCACTATGAACCCGGAGACCTGAGTTTGATTCCTGGTCATGGCTAACATCAGTGGCGAGTGATATCTGAACCGGTTCTGCCTCCTCTCTCCACTATCCAAATGAAATGGGGAGGCATTTATACCTCTCTTGCAACCATTGCATGCATAGCTTTCAAGTAAAAACAAATATCATGAGCGCAGAGTGTCAAGCTGACACAGTTGTGAAGCCGAGTTAGAATTCAGGCAACTGCTTGTGATTAAACTGGATTCTCAAGTGTAGCACATTTAAGTTTGTTATGCACTTAATCTGGCTAAATTAAAAGCTCTGAGAATTAAATATATAAGCTTGACTGTCATTGGATGACCATTGTTCTGTAGCAAGTGGAAAAGTGCTGTCCTCTAATGTGGTCATGTGCAGGGATTCCAGAAGTAGTTACGTGATATCTACTTCCACGGGCTATTTTCTAACACAGGAGGGGGGGTTGCACACTGCTATGTGAGAGTTCGGAACGGATTCTTCTTCTAGAAATGATAACAAGAGCACAGTTGGGACAATTTTGAGAAGATACAAAAAAATAAGAGCTTCCATGAAGCTCATCTCATGCACGTTAAATTGTGTGTTGGTTCCTTTCTCACCAGCACTGTTTGATATTTAATTGTCTTCATATTGTGTCCCTTCCTGCCCTTCACTTGAGTCCCCCCACCCTCCTTTCAATCTCTCTTGGCCATCCATGAACAGATTTTCCCCCACTCCGCTAGCCGCTGTCCCTTATTAGTGATGAACCAGTGGATGTGAAAGGCGGAAAGATATTCAATTGTTAATTAGTACATAAAAAGCTGAATCACAACAAATGGCTCCTTTAGGACAATTACCACTATTCTTAATATGATGGCTGAAAATATATAAATGGCAAATTATTCAGGTAACAACAGACTGGAACCGACTTGCAATAGTGAGAAAATAAATATGGTCTGGGTAGCCTTGGACAAAGGCTGTGATTGAGACGAGGATAAAGTGGTTCAGAAGACGAGGCAGAGATGGTTAAAAGAGCTGGCTTTAAGGATTCAAAGGGCATGCTCTTGGAAGAGAAAGGCAGCATATTGCAATTGCTGCTTGTAATTCTTTATACACAGTAGCCAGGAAAGTCTGACTCGCATCTCAAACTTTTTTTAGACGGTCCTCCTTTAAGTTTTTGGGCATTTTTACTGATCAGAAAGGAGAGGCTGCACGTGTGTAGTAAACCCAAACAATGACAATTTGTTCAACGAGATCAGCAACCAACTTGCCTCTACTTCCCTACACCAGCCATCTTGCAATTCCTGCAACTTGTGGCACCTGTGTGATAAAAAAAATCCGTGAATTTTACGGGCTTGGAGGAAAGATTCAGTGGTTCGCATTGCTGCGATATGACGCCGGCAGATTGAGTTCAATTCCCCCAGTTACGGCGAATTTGCGCGGCGAGTTATATCTGATCACCAGTGGCGAAGTATGGTCAAAGAACCTGCATGACGAACACGTCATGTGGAGGCCTTAATTCAGCAGTGAATTGAAAAAGGGCTGTAAATTATAATTATTTTATTAAAGAGCTCATAGGGACCCAGCAGTATCCTGTTAAAGGGAGACCTGGTTTAAAATAAGTTTAAAATAAGTACGGCAAAATACCCGTAGTATACACCGACAAAGAGACCCACAGAGCTCTATAGACTTACATCGAGGCTCATAAGTAACCTCTGTGAAACAGTAATGCCCCGCAGGACTCCCGATTAGGCTCCCACTGTGTTGTGTGTTTATTAGAAAGAGATGAACTCTGAGAAGCAAACAGAGCGTGGCTGGCAGCCAGGCACGAAGGGGCACAGGGATTAGGTGTCTTAAGGCACCGCAGGTGGTCACGTCTGCCTCCACCCACTCCTGAGGAGACCGACTGGCTGACCGTTCATATTTGTGCACATAACAGCCCGTTAGTCAACCCACTGCTGGCTAGTGCAAATTGGTGTAGGTGGGGTGAATGGACGCCGAGCATAGAATCGCAGTAGAGTACAACAATGGCCGTTAACTGTGCTGTCCTCTGGCGACCACAATGTAGCGGGTCCCACAGCTCCCTGTGACAACCTGTTGTGGATGTCATTATCTGAGAACTATCCAGTGAGGTCTCACAAAGTGGGCTAAGATGAAACCCTCGGGAGAGGGGGACTCGGGTGAGGGCCGCAATGAAGAGCAATCTGTCACAATCGTTTTGGTGTGATCTCAACAACACAACCACGTGTCACTATTCATTGAGCTAGGTAGATAGGATCATTATTTTAATAGAAAATTTAAAATTATATTAAAAAAACACCTTTTTACAAATATTTTCGACAAATGTTATTTCGACTGTATGATCGGAGTCAAGAGACAAAGAATCCATTCCGAATTCTAAATCTTTGCGTAAAAAAATCCCGTTATAGTAGCCTCTGGTCCACACGGCAGAGGGCAGCGCTTTCCCACTCGCTCTGCCACACGACAGTCAAACCGATATTTATCATTATCAGGCGCGTAATTTAGGTAAATTAACTGCAGAACTAACATTAATGTGATACTTTTTGTGTGCGTACAATGGTAACCACACTGAACCCAATCGGCTTGCTACATTTGAGAACCTCGTTTTAATCACACGGCGATTGCCTGGATTCAAAACCCAGAATTCTTAGGGGTGCCAGTTCCTTGCTCTGACCTGAGCCACATCGGCTACATGGGGTGGGAATTATTCTTTAGGTTTTTTGTTGTTGTTGCAAGTAGCCATGGAGGCCCATACCGAGTAACCATGGGGAACACGTGAAGGTTATTAAATGAGGCAGCACAGCAGGTGGCTTCTCCTGCCCTGAATGTCCCACGCCTGTTTAATAGACAATCACATCCACAATTGAATAAGACACTGTGGCTGAATGTTTGCTTCAGAATTTAATTATAACACTTACTGTTTTAATTTATATTGAATATTCATGCTAAAAAAAAAATCTATCTGCTGATGGGGATCATAGATTGACATTTTCTCGTGTCCGTTCTTTAGACATGGCCATGCCTTACACGAATCTTCAGCAATGCGTGGCCTGTTCAAACAATGAGTTGCTATGCAACCTTGATGCTATGGGTGTGAGTCATCCACAAAGGTCGTTAAGTGTAAATTACATCACAAATTAAGAATTTTCATCAGTGTGGGGGTTTACAAAAATAAATTAGGCATTACAGTTCCATCTTACGGAGTTAATTATATAGATTAACTTTTTATCTAATTATAGCTATACCAAGGCTAGATGGTTCCTTTTAAATGGGAGATGTAGACCTATACAAGTGCACGGAAACAGCACCTAACACAGGCTTGCGCCGAAACTCAGAAATGCACGGATATACATGAATAGCCCAGCGACTTACAAAGACACCCACCGATTAACAGACTCATAAGCCCACAAAAAATCCGAAGACATAAATGTACCTACCAAAGATTCCCTTTGACATATTTCACCATTACCTGCCGACAGCTAAGAGAGCCCATTGCGACCAGGATTCCAAAGGCAGAATTGAGATTTAATTAATGGTGCCACGTTAAACCAGCGAGGATTATTACGCTTTGACATGCGTCTCAAGCCACTTTGTTACATCCCCGGGTGTTTTAAATAAAACATTGACAGGCAACGTACACACGCAGTTACATGAAATGTGTGCCAGACGCCGCTGAAAAAAAAAACCACGGCCTCATCTAATCACCCGGTAAATAAGATGGAAGCCACTCACAATTGCCATCTCACAAGGTCACGTCAAAGCGGTAATTGACCAGCCACGCAAAAGCTTCCAAACCAGGGCTAAATACGAGATCGCCCCTGCAATGTGCAACAAGACAGATGACATCGGTAGATTGGCACGGTGATGGAATTACGAAAGCAACGCATGCTAATTTGACACGGGGCTGAAATGGGCTCGTCCGCGCATCTCACCGACCTCATCGTGCGAGAAATATTCCGCGGCTGCGGAATTCAACCACAACTCCACGTTCGGACGACACGTACAATCCCGGGCCATGTGACCCGACTGATATCAGCGCGCCACGCTGCCTGCAATTCCGTTACCGCGTGGCTCTGACCACGCACGGGCAGCAGCGACACGCAGGCGCGACACTTTTACCACCGACAGTGCAGCGTCAAATATTGCGCAGTCACGTGAACCAATTCTCGATTTCCCATCGCCTTAAAGCCTCATTATTGCTTTACCTGTACGGACCGTCCAGCCGTTGTAAGCCTCAACGAGATGGGCGGGTGTCTGCCTCAGCAGCAGACCATGCTTTCCCACCTGATGATGGACGCTTGTGTTGCGCCCGAAACGTCGTGATTCAATTTATACCTACGCGACTTTACCGAAAGAACCAAAGAGTAGGGAAAGCATCTGTTTCGGATTCAAAGCGTCGCCGACTCACCGGGCTGGCTCATACGGAGGAGCAACTGGAGGGTCAGGAGACCAGCGAAGACAGCCAGCGAAGGTAGCAGATGGTGCATTTGCAAAAATATATATATACAACCCACAAAAACAAACACAGACCAAGACAAGAAAGGACAACCACCCCCCTCCCGCCGTCCACGAGAGAACGACGACACGCGCTTAGGAAGAAGCCGCGGCTGCCACCTCTTCCTATCCCTCCACTACCAACCTCCCAATGTCGCACGCGGTCTCCACACAAATCCGCTGCGCGCTTAGCAACCAGTCATCCGCATTGATCCAGGCTGCACTTAGCGGCAGAGGACCTCTTTCAGAGCCCGCCCCCATCGTTGCTCACTCACGGGACGTGCCTGCCCTCCTTTTTTTTTATTCCCACGAACACAACCAACACCACCAACAACCACTCCACACCAAGACCCTTCTTCTTCTTCCACTCTCTCTCTCTAGTTCCCCACCCGCACTGCTACAGTGGTCGGCGATGTTTGCGAGCACCTATTGAGAGCCACACAACAACAACAGCCGTCAATCGCCACTCAGTGACGTCACCCCAGCGCCTGTGCCAGGCTAGGTGCACTTTAAGGCTATCGACGTGAAGAAGCGTCGAAGGCTGGCTGTAAAGCTGGTCACGAAACAGACCCAGGTGTTATGGGCTCACCGCCGAGCGGATGTGCCACCTGTGTTATACCCCAGTGTGTTGGCACAGATTAAGGCAGGCAGATGCACGATTGCGTTCATTGTGTGACCCGCATCACAGCTACGCCTATACAGGTAGGATATTCATTTAAGGCGGAGATGACCCAGGAGAGGCCAGGTACAGATTACAAATGAGTTGTGGGCTACACCAAAATGTTCGTGTATTGCGCCACCGCTCCCCACTCCGTAGAGCACACAAACGCGCCTCCCTTCTTGTACAAAGACAAAGATCCCCCGTATAGCCTCAACACTTTTTCTGGCAAGTGCTGTTAGCGAGCACCTATGAACGCCAGCACGGCACGCGAGTGAGTGGGTGGGTGGCCAGCACCACGCCCGGCCGTCTTTGTTTCCCCGGTGGCGATGATTTACACACCGCACCAGGTACTCATTTGAGGCCGAGTCGACCTAGGCGACGCCCAGGACCCGAACACCGGGACCTTCTCGTTAACACGCGCACACAAGCACACACGCGGACACAGCGGGTTGCCGTAAAGCCGACAACGCAATCCACACACACACACGCGCGGCAATGCGCGCATTTGTGGTCTTGAACATTTTACCCCATAATGTCCGAGAAAAGCCCTCGGGTGCGCAAACATGAATAAAAAAAGCCTTCCCCACTTTACAAAACACACGCGCACTCACACACACTCACGCTGCCTTCTCTTACCGCAGGCGCGTCCAAGCAAGGCGGCAGGCACAACGACGCTCACAATCCACGCTTGGAGTCCCCGACGTGGGCGTCTCGGATGATTTGACCGGCAGTTTGATGGCACGGAACGGGGCACGCGGAGCTACTACGCGTGTCCCCCGACCACTGCACGGCACAGACAATTACCGTGGGTGGCCTCTCCTACGTTCAATCCGTTCCACCGGGATTAATATCAACCAAGAGGAGGCGACTGTCGAATTTCAAGCAGGGCCGGACTGGCGTGGGAGCGCAACGTTGATGAGCAAACCCCGAGAAACTCTGTCGCAGTTCTGTGAGAAGGAGGAGGAGAGAGTGGCTCCTGCAGCTACGGGGGCTGCTGCTGCTGTTGCTGATGATGATGATGCTGGCTGCTGCTGCTACTGCTGGACCCCGACGCGCAGTCGCGTCTCCGCCCCTCCTGCCCAGCCACCGCGTGGATTTGCTGTTCGCTGGCGTAATCTCTCTGGAGACTGGGTTTGGTGGGGGGGTGCAAGGTGGAGGAGAGGGGTGGTGGTGGGGGGGGCGTGTCCGATATCTCTCACTTTACCCCTACTTCACGATTTTTTTTGTAACCGCGTTGTTTGAGAATTGGGGTTGGATTAAGATTGCAGAAATCATTATTACTCTTTGGTGCTTACTCTTTGGTACCGAAAGAACCAAAGAGTATGGATCCTTGCGGTCACGAAAACTTCAAATCTAGAACGACCGAATTCTCTCATCGGTCTGGCGCTCTGCTAACCTCCTTGTTGGCGATTTATATTTTGGACGAAAAAGGGGACATCGCGACAAGACGGCAAATATTACCTCCCCTTGCAGGTTGTTGCAGGACCTCCCCCCCCTTCCCACCCACGGTGTGCACGCTACATACATCATCTGGGAGCGTCTACAGCGTTCACAGTGCGCAAAGAACCATTGGGAAAAGCTTGCTCGGGATGACAGGAAGAGGAACACTTGGGAGCACTGAAAACACACGTTTGATACATCATTGACTGTGAAGTAGATTTGGGAAGGATGGCCGGGTGGACGAGACTGTTGACGGAGTGGCAGCCGAAGGAGGGAACGACCAGCAGGGAGATGGACCAGTGTGACCCGCTCGTGTGCAGGATTGAGATGTAGATTGTGTTATCGCAAGACCGTCGGGGATGGCGACGGCACGGAGAGGCCTTCAACTAACAGTGGATAAGCTCATGAGCACATCCGAAAGAAGTTCTACATACATGTCGTAAGAGGGTTGTGTTTATTAACTCAAGTACACTTTTACACGACAAATTAAACTCCAATGAGAAAAGTGTCAGATGCGTGTAGCAGCGTCCCTGTGTTTATTTGACACCAATTTCAGAACATTCGCGAACGTGAACAAATATGCTACAGTGGTGAGACGTTAGGCAGAAAGTTGAGAATGGCTGGACTTTAAACCCCATCCCAGATCCCGACAACGTCATAAAGTAGGTTACGTACGCGTCACACGCTGTCTCCCATTGACCCTTGTCACGACGGAGGCTTGTGGGTGCCTTCATCCAGCAGCGGGCAGTGAAACCGGTTGAATAGACTCCACAGGTTGCACTGAAGCGAGAGAGCTCAGCAAGGTAACCGTGGCTGCTGATGAAAATAGGGTGGATACGTGTGGCCCTTAAGATCAAAACCTTAATTTACCTTCCCGAGCTCTCTCCGTCGCGATGCAACCGGATGAATGTATATTTATATTCCTTTTGTCAATCCACTCAAGGATGAGGGCCTTCCCTCCCACGCTGTGTCATTCATGTGGGTCTCATGGCCACAATTTACCACGCTGGTCAGTACAGGTTGAAGGCGGGGAGGGATAACGTGGAAGCATAGAGGTACAAAATGCGTTGAATAGACTTAGAAAATACAGCCCACGCGATGCTGATACCATCATCATCACGATCCATGGGCAGATATCCCGTCGGTGTCTACTGCACATTTCGTCATTTGTAAATTGTTGATAACACCAGCGTTAATTAAGGTAAACAATCACACCTGCGTGTTGGATGAATGCTGTAGACGATTTCGCTTTGCACGCCAAAGCACAGGGTTGCTAAATGTGCTTCGCACCTGTCTCGCTGGTGGCGTTCATTCACAGCACTGGACTGTAGACTATCAATGTCGACCAATTGCTGCCTTTGATGTTAAACCAAAGGCCTTGATTATCAGCCCATCAAGGTCCGCATTGTGAATAATGGCGACAGCTGGGATTGTTTGAAAATGTTACCCAACTAGATCTGCAGCTTGGAATACAATTAGAGTTGTCTTTTGTATTAGAATAATCAAACCATCTGGCATTCGAATGTGAGCCCCCAACACACTCATTACGAACCAATTCAGCAACACATTTAATTTGACTCTTTGTGAGCCTTTACAGACCCCACGGTACATATCAAAATTAACAATGACTGCATTTGTGCAGGTGTGGGTTGCGGAATGTGGGACGTGGATACGGGGGGGGGGGGCAATGCATGGAGCATTCGGGGCAATCCAGTGCGGCAGCCTCCTCCTCCCCATTACCCTCCCTCCCACGTGTGACACAAGGGACCATCATCACACGGCTTTTACAACCAGATGGGTTGCAGGGTTAATATCGCGTTACATTAGCCTCGTCACGAGACGAATTACATTAGCCTCGTGGGCAGAGGCCGCATTACATGAGAATACTCACTTTGCAATGCGTAAAACATCGTGGCCACGCTGTTAAGATGGAGGATGACTGCTCTTGAGAAATGGTTTGCTTGGAATAAGCAGAGATTGAGCGGCGGGAAGTGATACATCTTACACAGTATTATTCAGATTACGTGTATAGTCTATGGGGAAGTGGCCTTGACAATGCCCTAGATTTGTCTCTGGTCGAAAGACTGGAGGTGCAAATTCAATATACATCGTGTATTGGTGTCTTAACATTTCCCGCACCTCCGATTACCACAGTCTGCTCCGTATGGTGGAAATAAATTCAACATGCATACATACTCTGAGCTATTGAAAATAACGTGCCTGGAAATGCAGTGATAATTATTAATACAGTCGTTGGCTTCGGGGCCCTCCATAAATGACGTCACGCGATTTTGGCCGATTTTCATCCCCCCTCCCCCCCTCGTCACACGGCGTTACAAAAAGTCAGACCCCCCCTCAAATATGACGCCACAAAGCTCTGCCCCCCCCCCCTAAAACCATATTTCCATTTTGAAAATAAAACATGCTTAAAATCACTTTAAACTATTGTCAATGTAGTGCGTATTTAATGTGGCGCTGCACTCTGATGTTGTAGGAGAAACATTTATTAAAAAGGAGGCGTTGGAAAGCTGAAATTTTGCATAAAATTTACTTGAAAATATTCATCGTCTAACTAAAACTGCAGATGTTCAGACTATTATAATGAAATTATCTTATAATTATCAAATATTAAAAGTAATTCTAACTATAAAAAATACTTGAAACTTTGTAGTATAACGAAGTAAAATGGAGAGCACAATTATAACAATCACATATTCATTCCACAGAATGAAAAGCCCTGGTAGAATCATTAGAATTATAACAATCACATTCATTCCACATATTGAAAAGCCCTGGTAGAATAATTAGAATCAAAATGTTTAATAACAATCATTCAAAAAACTTACAAAATTTATGCTTCTCCATTCTCCCATGGAGAAGCAAAATGCCCCTTCATGGAATAAAAAAAACGTTTTGCGCATAAAATACTAAATCGTGCACACGATATACTGCATCGTGAGCGGTTAATTTTTTAAAAAACATTTCCATAAGGGAACTCCGTAGTTAAATTAGAGATCCTAAATGGTTAAATTCAGGCACTCATGGTTCATAGTAGGACAATTGCGAAAAGAAGCATGACGCCATTGTCTAGGCACAAAGAACTACAATTTCATGGAGGAATAATGAATCATGAAAGACGCGTTGGCTATTGTACACTTGCCGAATGACTTTATATTTAGTAGGTACCCCATGACTCATTATCCCTCCATGCTCAAAAATGGCTGTTTGATATCTTTGTACCCAAAAACTTTTCTCTCTATATTAGCATAACTGTTATCGTAACATAAAAATATTGATATTAAAAAAAATATTTAACAAATGTGTGTGATTAAAAATTCTGTCGATTGATATGACAGGAATAATGGTACTTACTTTTAAAAATTCTTATTCGAAACTATCAAGCGTTTTTAATATAACGACTGCAATAATTTTGTATTTGCACTTCCTGACGAAGTATATTTTCTATAAAAGTGTGACGTAGTTTGACTTGCGGTTCTTAAGTTTAACATTATAATATAATCTATACTAAAAATAAAAGGTGACATATATTCTTGGTTCTTTCGGTAAAGTCACGTTGAAGGGAAACAATAAAATCATAAAATATAAGATCTGCTTTGTGTTCACGAATGCGGTCCGAGACATGAGTTTGGTTTCTCCAAACAACTTAAACACGGTAGGACCAACACCTCGGCCGTGGCAGATCACTGTTATAATTCAGTAGGCTCACATGACATTGACTTCTCCAAGACAGAGGTTCTTTGCAAGCCATCGGGCTACCATGAGAGATTCGTTCATGAGGCTATCCACATATACAAACACAGAGACAATTTCCACCGAGAAGATGGATTCTGGCTTAGCAATCATTGGAAGGATTTGATAAACCATTTAGGGTCTTAATTGATTGTTCACGCTTAGGGTGGCTTTCAGACAGCATATATTAATTTTTCGTCTCCCCCCTCCTCTTTTCCGAACATAGATGGACTCGTCCTTCTAAACAAACTGCCAAATCTCTATCCGTGGTGCTAACGTTTAAAAATAAATAAATCCGCCACTTCTTTCAAATGTTTCTTACCGTTGGTTTTCACACCTGATGATGACTGCTTGTGTTACAGTCGAAACGTCGTGAGAATTTTTTTATTGTTTTATATATATTATTATTTTATTGTTTTCCTTCAACGTGACCTTAATACATTTAAATAATCAAATCGTTAATAATGAAAATTAATCAAAATTAACAATTATATTTCATTAACAACATAAAGTTGCGCATTTTGATGTGACGTCACATTTCTCCCCCCCCCCTCTTCACAAATGTCTGACCCCCCTCCCTCCCCCCTAGGTGTGTGACGTCATTTATGGACGGCCCCTTATGGAGCCAGACAGTGATAAATATATAAATGACAATAAATAAATGAACAAGATCACTTTGCCCTTGTGCAAACAGCCCTCCTATGGAATTTCACTAGCCTGCGAAAATATTTTGAAGGTGTCACTTAATGTCGCGTTTTTGTCACATTCACATTGTTTCATCAGCCTGAAAAAGCAATGTAACACACAAGTTGTGTTTTGATCCAGCAGTTGCATGAGAATGGGTGACGATGATTCAGCTGAACTGTCCTGATGTCACAAAGGTAAAGTTCTATTCTACACAATATTATCTGCTCCTTGTACACACACACAGACTCACGTGAGATAAGTTGTACAAAGAGCGTGGGTTAAAGTTACTCATCCAGTCAATACCGACTAAACTGAAGCATTTACTGTACTCTGAGACACATTTTTCACAGCTATGCTTGTATCATTGCGCACATCAGACACACCGTGTCGATCACGGGGAGTTGTTTGACTATACTTCACCACTCTGGTCAATCTGAAACATTTTTCTTAAAACGATCGTTTTCTATCCTATTTTACAACTGTGCCAGTATGGATGCAGCCAGCACTCGGCACGAACCACTTTATCATCTACGGTGAAGAATTCAGCCGCAATACAACAGCGAGTCAGCCTCTTGAGCAGAGCAGGGTCTGCCGTGAATATTCAATCAGTTCCCAGAAACGGGATGCGGGTGGGGGGGATTGCCGATTGTTGCTGTGTGCTCGTCACGCACACGGCCACGCAGCCGCACGTGCATCTCACAACACCGACACGTCCTCTACACACACACAGGGTGTGAGTGCAGCATCACAGCTGCGCCAGGCAGCGTGTATGTGTATGCATGTTGAATTTCTTTCGCAGCGCACGTAGCCCCAACTGTGCTAATCCGAGGTGCCGGGGAGGCACCGACAAACTAAAACACAAAAACATTAACATTTAAAACGACGTTTTTTTAAAAAAACACGCTTTAATGAAATGTACCGTACTCGTAATGGAAGAACTCCACGACTCTAGGAAGTGGCCCAGAAGCTTGGCCACAACGTAAGGGGCCGTGGCCAATTGCAGCCAACGTTAGTTGAGCGTGGACAATTAGACCCAAGCCGAAACATAAGAAATAAAAAATGTTTAAAACATTTTATTTTGATAGAATATAGTAGCCATCAGTATGACATAAGTATACCAAGTTCGCCGTCGATACCACATTGGGAAGTGGGTTAAAATTGAGTTAAAAGATTTGAGGATACGACAACAATAGAGCATATTCTTAGTTTTTTCGGTAAAGTCACGTTGAAGGGAAACAACAAAATAATAAAATATATAAAACTATACAATCCGCAAAGCTATCACTCAAACCATGAAGAAGAACCCTCTTGAGGAGCCTTTCAAAACCATCACTTTACCCTACATTGCTGGGATCACAAAAAAGATCTCCAAAATCTTGAATAAACACAAGATCCAGGTCCGTTTCAACACATTACATAAAATCCGTGATCTGGTTCCGTCTGTAAAAGATGTGATTCCGGACATACAATACCCTGGTGTCTACAAACTAAGTTGCCTCTGTGGTAGTAGTTACATTGGAGAAACCAAACGCCATGTCTCGGACCGCATTCGTGAACACAAAGCAGACCTTAAACACGGTAGGACCAACACCTCGGCCGTAGCAGATCATTGTTCTAATTCAGTAGGCTCACATGCCATTGACTTTTCCAAGACAGAGGTTCTTTGTAAGCCATCTGGCTTCCATGAGAGATTCGTTCATGAGGCTATCCACATATACAAGCACAGAGACAATTTCAACCGAGAAGATGGATTCTATCTTAGCAATCATTGGAAAGATTTGATAAACCATTTCAGTTCTTAATTGATTGTTCACGCTTACAGTGGCTTTCAGACAGCATACATTATAAAAAATTTCGTCTCCCCCCTCCTCTTTTCAAAATATAGATGGACTGGTCCTGGGCAAACTGCCAAATCGCTGCGCGTGACGCAAACGTTTTTTATAAATAAATAAATGCGCCGTTTAAAAATAAATTTATGCAAACCAACACACCTGAAGATGACCGTTTGAGTTATGGTCGAAACGTCGTGAGAATTTTTTTTTATATATTTTATTATTTTGTTGTTTCCCTTCAACGTGACTTTACCGAAAAAAAAACTAAGAATAAGAATTACTGCAGTCACGAAAGCTTTAAATCAAAACAATAGAGCGTGTTAAATAAAAGCGTGTAATAAAATAAAAAGCATACGTGCCATGTTTAAGGCAACACTTTGTGATTGGGTTATCTTTAAAATGAAGAACGTAAATGGTGTTTTGTTCTATTTATTTCATCCCAGATGTCTCTTGGAAACCACAACTTGAGTCCCCAGATCTCCGCGACCACCCCAGGCCCTCTCCGCCTAACCCTCCTGACAGGTAGCCCTCCTGCCCATCATGGGCCATCTGATTCGTTCGGGCGCAATCTCAGCTGGTTTGACCAAATGGTTGTGTGTCTGTACATAAAGCATCTCAAAAGTCAATCCCGACGTTACACACATTGCATTCCCATGGCATATGAGATACGTGCACGAGTCGCAGCCTTTGAAACGCACGCGGCCTGTGCACACACTGCTAGTGCTGATCAGCGGGCGGGCGGACAGACGGACAAGATCTTCTGCATCTCGTGCCCTGACGCAACCCCGCCCGCGAAGGCTCCATTAAATCAGGGAGTGGGTGGCATTCCAGACATCGGTGACAGGCAGCCATGGAATTCCAATGAGTGCAAGTGTATTTATTACATTATGGCCTGCATGCAAATGTGTCAGGATGCCAACCCACTTAACCTTTAACCTTCCGCGAGTTTGTAGCGGGCGACATTTTACATCCAATTCGATGCAATTGCGGGCGAGTGCCATGCGTAATCCCAAACTGGTTCTCTACATTTGGCTTTTATTTTAAACGATTGTCTTTTTAGGGGGAAAAAGCTGTACTAAATGTGCATGCCACGAAATATGAATATACTGCCCTCTGCCCATTTATTTAGAAGTGGGACTGCCTGTAATGAAAATGTTGCACACGTGAACATCTCAAACCCAACTATGAATTTAAATGAAGTCAGAACGAGTGTCAAAGGAAAATGTAAACCATACCCACACGTAAACTGTAAATCAAATGCTTTACATGTCATTTGGTTTACACAAACAGGTCACTCACCCACTGCAAAACATACTGTAAGCAGCTCACGTTGACCTGAAATGAATTATTATTTTCAAACAATGAATTAAATGTTACGCATGTTTACACTAAGCGCCAGACATACGAATTTATTCAACATTATTTACAAACACAAGGAAAACTCAATTAAATATCGGAGATGGCGAAGCAAGCTGGCATCACTTGGCATTTTTGGCACAAAGCCTTTTATTTTATTCACAGCTTGTCCACCAACATTCACGATGGCAGACATTGGAAAGCATGTCTCATCTTGTAACGGCCTTTTGGCATCCACCAACATTGTTGGCATCATTTACCCACACCGGCCTAGTGTTTGCTTGTATTTATTGATCTGCCCTTGTCACCAGCAAAACTCCATGGTAATGTTCCAACATGTCTTGGCTCTAACTTTCGTTAAAAGTACCGTGACCTTGTCTGTGAGCCCTGGGCATATTCATTGTGACAATGCAAGGAATCCTACAGTACCCACATACCGCCTAGGCACTCCTTTGCGATGAAGGCGAGCCAGATATTTACCCCCGCGGCTTCTCGATGCAGATATCTTTCCCGCACACCGCAGTGAATAAAAATCACACATTTTGTGAGTAGATTTATCGTGACATGCATGTGGTTTTATTTGATTTTTTTCAACGTACAACATTTTCGAACAAAGGTGACAAAAATAATGAAAGAACAGCACTTGACTCCATGAGTCGCTGGTGAAACCGCTAACGACATCACTCCGTCAATGTTTAAAAAAATTAAACTATATTTCTCGGAGCGAAGGTGTTCAAGCTTGCGTCAAGCGCTTGGATGTTACACAAGCGGTGGTGCAGCCAACGGCGTCTTCTGGAGCCACGACAGTTACTTAAAAGTGAGGTGCAAGGTAAGGCTCTAGGCTACATAGAAGAGCAGCATACAAGTTGTGGCCGTACAGAGTGTAAATATTGAAACTCTTTGCACAACACGTCTTGACTGAAACTTAAAGAACAAAAAAGATCGGCAGAAATGAGTCAAAATTGCATAGAGCAAGAAATGAAAAAAATAGAACATTTATACAAAATATATATTTATACCGTGTAAATAGCACTTGGTCTCAGTCATCGTCACCATGGCTGGCTTCACCATTACAGTACATTCAAGGGGGCATCGTTCACCCCCCACCCCCTCCGACAATGCGCTACCACGCAGGGACAGCTCCGTGAGCGCGTGTCACCAGCTTTGGAGAACGCGGGGAAGCTTAACGCTCCTCCCTCCGTAACGTACGGTGGTCTCATTCCATTCAACAAGGTGGCACGTGTAAAATTTATATTCTCATGAATTTATCATGGAGACTACAACATCAATTAGTGGGGGCTTCAAACTTACCCCCTCCCCTCCTAAAAATGTCCCAGTGATCACCCTGGCCCAAGACATATGGGTTACAAGCACGCGCTGCGCTACGCAATCTCACAATGCACATGAAGCAAATTCAAGCCAGGTGCATACGCTCACGTCTCCGCTGCAGGAATTAGTCACTCCTCGCTTAACGTTGGGTTTGTATTCCTGAAAAAATGCAACTTTAAGTGAAATATTGTTGAGCGAAACCGATTTTCCTGTAAAAAAAACCAACGTAAATCAGGGAGGTTATGTTCCTGGGACATTTCAGATCACTCTTAAGAATATAAACTTGTTTAGAGTACATATTTCAAAGACAATCGAATAATAATGGTGATTACATGTAGCTATGATTAGAGAAAAGGTTGGGTTAACTCACCAGTGATGGTTGTGGAGCTTTCTATAGATTTAGTATGTATGTTGAACTTCTTTCACACCGTATGTAACCAACCACGCTAATTGGAGGTGTTGGGAGCTACAGGAACGCATCCAATGACTGTTGCACAACTTTATTCTTCTTTCATATGTAGTTGCTTGTAGCTTTGCAAAGTATCAGTGGTTTTCGTGCACACTTGAGTACTGCACTCCCTGCTTGCATCATCCTCACTAAAAAAATTTCCATGCCTTGTTGAAGGTGCGTGGGAGCTTTGAAAGCTGCAACGACACCCCGATTCACCACCCTTGGCCTTTAAGTCTTCAAACAAACTGCGTGTCTATGCCTGGATCACCAGTAAACTGAGAGAAATGTGGATCTGATTTTGAGCAATCCACACTAATGACAGGCACTCCATACCTCCTGCTGCAAAAGCAGTGAAAAAATTCAAATTTGGTTTGCAATGTGATCACCTTTCTTTTACACATCATGGTGCTTGAGGCAGTAGGGATCACGACTCCTCGGCCTTTTGGCATGAACGTTGGCGAGGGATGCGGTGATAAATTACCTCCCCAAAGGGTTCACAACGAACCGAGATGAGGGTATGCTGCCGCGTACAGCATCAAATCGCTCAGCCGCGCACGTAAAGAAAGTAAGGACTTGCCGTACAGCACAACCGTGTCGAAATGCACTGGGCCGGTCGGGGATGGGGCCTCGTGACGTACGTCCCCCTGGCAGCAACGTTAAGAGTGACACCACGCGACTTTAAACACATACGTGGGCAGCGATTCATCGGCGACTTTTCAGCGAAACGACGTTAAGCGGGCCGACGTTGAGCGAGGAGTGACTACTATATATTTTATCCAAATCTTGCATAAAGTAGTTGTACGATTGTGATTAACGTGTGCAGAAAAGGAGCTTACTGTACGACAAATCAAGTGTGCACTCTGGGTGTTGAAGTACAATACAATTGTAAAGCTGACTCACGGTTTATTATTCCTATAAGTAAAGTGTGAATGTTGTACAGTGTAAGGGACCACTGGATGAGCTTAGCAAATTGTGGTCAAAGGTAACTTATGAAAAGAGTGCTCCAAGAACTCAGTTTACACATCAGTGCTAAACCTGGAATCTAAAACGACCCATATGGATCCAGGAATCATCCATAACACACACTCATATCCGTTTATCTATATCACAAATATTAAACACTGCATCAGATTCAGTGTTCCGAGTTGACTGTACTCAGCTGTGATCTTGTACACGCATGGCAGCTTTCGATTTACATTTTAATTCATCAGCCCGGCAGAAAATGCGATGGTGGTCAATGAGACGGAAACACAGGCCACAGCACAACTGGCAGGGAGAGACGCCTGCAGTTGGGTGGAGTGATGCAGCTATTTAAAAGTCGTCGAAAAGGCCCAGGCCAACAGCCTAGAGCTCCGTACCCTGACAGTGACGAGTGTGAGCAAGAAAACAAATTAAAACACGTCAATTCCCGAAACATGGTAGTGCATCCTACAGAAAGAAAATTATTTTAAGAACAGCGATTAGAAAATGAGAGCCCTTCTTTTCGTTTACAAAACATCACGCAAATGTAAAACCGTACCGCCCACGCATTACAAAATATCGCTTTGGTGCTACCAATGTTCAGTAAATATACACCTGTCCCAAGCACTCTATAAAACAAAATCCGATACAGCCAATAAGGACCTGTGATTCAGTGTTCATCCAACTACAGCAACACCTGGTCTGCCAGCATAAGTGGTAGAGAGTGACAATTAATGAGCACTCCCCCTTTCAACACATACACAAACGTATAAGCACACATTCTCTAAAGCGCATGTACGGTCGTGTGTACAACTGGGTGTATGGATATGGGTTTTGTTGGTGCAGAGAAATGATAAAAAAATCCACGAACAAGAAAATAACGCAAGGCACTTGTCCATCATGAGGCGATTCACAAAACCTAACGTTATAAGCATCGGGCTAAGCGCACAGTGGACGTCTCAGGTTAACACGACCGTTTGAACACACTTTAGTGCCAAGAATCCCATAAAATATATTTGAAGGAAATGTGTAGAACAGCAAGAAAGATACGACACACAATTATTCTGAGTACATAACATATAGCATAAAATATAAGTATATCTATATAACATTGGATCGGTCACTATAACTAATAAAAAAAACATACGAACGACAAGTATTCGTTGTACCCAATTTGCACAGGAACGAATCGTTTTCTCGAAATTAACGACCACAGTTCTTTCCATGTGCGTCGAGCAAAAGCCAAAAACCGTCACGCCCAATTTCACTGGTGGCTCTCGGTGAAAAAAAGCAAATTTTCCCCGATGTGTTTTCGTGGAGCAAAACATTGAACGCCATGCCAGACCACGCCAAGTACAACCAGACAAACTCAACCGAGGGCACCAACGCCGGAGTAAAAAGTGATTATTTTAACGCATCGCACAAGTGCGGAGGAATAAGGCAAACCTCAAGGCAGCCGAATGTGGTTGCTCATCACGTTGGTTGAAGTGGACGCAGGATGGACGAGTGGATGCCGCGCATGCAGTTACACTATAACTCACGCCTCGTTCAAACCCATCCCCCGAGTGGCCATTTTAAAGGTCACGCTTGAGAATAATTGAATGATCACATGGGTCGTGATTCATCGCAGTGGTCCAGCACGGACTAACAAGCGGCGTTCTGAGCCTCCCTGAATATCAGGTCAAACATGGTCCTTCAAGTCCCCATACTGCCCACGCGAGCATGTTTAAGGCATAGTGTGCTATTTTATATGTAAGATATATTTATAATTTCGTAAAAATCTATCTTCCCTTTTATTACTATATATTGAAATGTTACAAAAAAAAATCTGCATTGGCTTTGCTGTATTATGCAGGAAAAGCATTAGGCTCAAAGAAAGATGATGACAATGATGATGGTGAAGATGACAATAATCCAAAATATCATGGCAATGAAATGAAGATGACCAATTGATGATAAAATAAAAGGTTCTACAATTTTGGAATTAATCCGTGGCAGTATAGGGGATCAACGTAGCTGGAGTGGAGTGGGGTGGTGGGGGGGGGGGGGGGGGGTGATTCAGGTTGATCTGAACAGCCTGCACGCCGTTGTCACTTAGGGCTCGAGGCCCACGTGCGCGTGCGGTCAGCCGAGGTCCAGGCACCTGTGCGGACGGCGCTTGCTGCTCCTGCGCCATACGCGAGATGGCAGCCGCCGGCCCGGGGACACCGTCCCCACGTGTCACTCGTTTCGTTCGCTCCTTTGAAATGTCATGCCGACGTGGACGCTACCTGTTGCGCTGCTGGTAGATGGCCGTGTAAACATTGTCAGCTTCGCTCAGTTCCTCAAAAAACGGAATGAGATCCAGTAGCTCTGTGTCCGTCATGTCATCGAACCAGGACATGACTGGGACCTGCAGGGCATGGAGTGGGGGAGAGAGAAAGCGACTTTTTAACGAGTTGGCAGAATCAGTGGGATGAGCAAGCTTCTCTTCGACGCTGCCAGAATTGCTAAATTCAACTTTGCAGCGAACTTGCACTTTTAAATTTGTCTGTATTGGAAGAGGCGAGATACTGCATTGTTGCTCATTTTGTTTCTTCTGATAAGAGACAAATATACAATACTGTATAACATTTATTTTTAAAACATTAACACTGTATTAGTGTGTATATGTACACTATACACATACAATATAGCTGGGCGGTGGTGGCGCACGCCTGGAATCCAGCACTATGGAGGCAGCGAGGGTTGGTGGATTGCCCAAATGTTGTGAAACTCCCTTCCAGTGGGTGAAGAGGTGCCAAACTCTGGCTCGCCAGGAGAATGCAGAACACCAAATATGTGGGGGGGCTCCAATTGTTCCATCTGTGTGGGATAAGAGTGTTTACCGATCGTAGGTGTGGGTTTTCTCCAGGTGCTCCGGTTTCCTCCCACATGTAAACACTCATTTATTTGCTGATAACACCTTAATAAATAGAGGACCGCAGAGCTTGGGCAATTGTTGGCACCGGCTCACTGCATGCTTGTCGTTCCTCACACCTCTGAATTGTACTCTTTCTTCGAGGATGAGCGAATACTGTGCGGCGTGCTGCTAGTTTGAATTATAATGATATAATTTATTATCATCTGAAATGCACAGGCACTTGCTAATGCTGGATAAAGGCCTCCCAAAAATGTTATCCATGACTCGCGGTTCCTATCTGTAATTGACCCAATAACCACTGGGAACCCGCCTGGTAGGACACCCCCAACTTCCACAGTGTGCATGCGTCCCTGTCAGCGACAGCGAGTGGCTGGGTACAAGCTCTTGCCGCGTTGTCGGGGTGGAAGATGTAGGAGGCCGGGGAGTTGTCCAGGATGGCCGTGTGACTGAGGTCACGCCCCAGGCGGCTCAGGTCCTTCACGTAGTTCCCACGGTGGAAAACGCACGACTCGCGGAAGAGACGAGTGCGGAACACGCCCCACTTGTCCAGCAGGTCGGCCACAGGATCGGCGTACTGCGCCCGTGTGTGCACATGTGTGTGGATGTCAGTCAACCCATAACACTTGGGTTTGTCACATGACCTCCTGCCAGTGGGCGTTGACACCTCACCAGGCCTTCAAGTGCACTTGGCCTGGCACAAGCGCCGTAGTGACGTCACCGCCACCTAGTGGAGAATGTGGGTTGTTGTTATTATGGGGAGCGGTAGTGTAGCGGTTAACATGCTGCACTATATATTTTTTTTTACTATTAAACTGTATAAATATATATTTACCAGGTAAGGCCCACTCAGCTAGACAGCTCTTTTTCATAAGTGACCAGACCACAAATGATAGCTCAACGAAGTGGCTTATTAGATGTAAATTAATATCAGCCAAATACTCGAAATGCATGTTGCTAAATGTGAAGGTAAAAAACCGGAGGACCCGGAGAAAAATCCACATGACCACAGAGAGACCACGCAAACTCCAAATACACTACAAACCTGGCAACGCGAGTTCGATTCCTGCTCATGGCCAACACCAGTGACGATTATGTGAACTGGTCCTGGGCCTTTTCTAGGTCGACTCAGCCTCAAATTAGTATATGGTGCAGTGTGTAAACGTCGTCATTGGGGAGAAAAAGGCGGCCGGGCGTGGTGTTGGCCACCCACCCCCTCATGTGCCGTGCCGGCAATCGTAGGTGCTCGCTAACAGCACTTGTCCCAACAGACCGTGTGTGTACATGGGGATGGGAGGCGTAATGGTTAGTGCACCGCTCTATCGACCTGGCCACCTGCGTTTAATTCTTGGCTACATTACATTTGGTTCTGTACTTAATTTGGCTTCATTCTATCTGAGAATTAAATATGACTGCTTGACTGCCATGTGACAAACATTCCTCAGTGGCAGGGCAGATGTGAAAATACCAACACCTACTATGTGGACCAGAGATGATGTAAAGGGCTCTCAAAAGTAGTTCTGTGAGATCCACTTTCATGGGCTATTATATAACACAAATGTGTTCACTGCTCTGTGAGGCTTCTGAATGAGTACTTCGTCTCATTACAAGGGGCAGAGAGCCCTACTGGGATAAAATATTGGGGGGAAAAACTAAAAAAAGCCACAAAATCTGAGTTGATAAAACGACCACCGTTCCACGGTGACCACCATCGTGTGACCCCCATGGGCTGCGATCCTCACCTTCGCCAGACTCGCCGTGAAGAGAATGCACTCAAAGAGCTCGCCCATCCTCTTGAGGAACTCATCGACGTGCGGCCTCTTCAGCACGTACACCTGAAATCACCGTTAAGTAGCACAGAGACAACGCAGTATGGGCGTGAAGATCATGCCAAACTGATAACTTGTTATTTTTTTAACAATTTTTTGTTTTCACCAGTTAAGGCCCACTGAGCTATGGAGCTCTTTTCAAAAGCAACCTGGCCACAAATGACAGCTCAACGAAGTGGATTCTCATGTGGAAATCCAAATACTCTAAACCCACGTTTCTAAATGTGGAAGGAAGAACCGGAGGATCCCAATAAGAATCCACGGAACCATGGGGGACCATTCGCACTCCAAAATATACAGACGTCAGGGTCGGGATCATGTATACCAGGTGAGGTAGCTGACATCTCACCACCGTGGCGCCTGTGATTAAACTCGGAGCTGTCCAATTGCATCGTATCTGAATAGGCAAGAGCAGGGTTTTATTTCTTGGGTAGAATTGGGGTGTGCGCTAAGATGTCTAAATAGTAGGGTTCCATTCTATTATTGTATTCTGTTCTCAATAATTGAGTTATAATTGGGCATGTAAGGACGCATCGATTCAGACTATTTACAATATATGTAAATTATATTATTTTATATTCATGCTAATGATGCAACAACCAAAGTAAATCAAACCAAAAAAATGTGAAGTAGTTAGAAATATGGTAAAAACTTCATAAATAACAATATCTTGAATCTGCTTTGTACAAATTGAACTGTTGGTGGGCGCATCATTACACGCCGATGTTTTGAGTCAAATGAGTTTTCTTTATATGGGGGACAAACCCCAGCCCCCCCCCCCAATCCCCCATTGGCTGTTCCATCATTAAGAGTGCCTTCCAAGGGAATTGTAAGGCAAATACAACTACGACCTCAAGTAAAATTCAGCTTGCTCACAGCAACTGTATTGTTAAATAATTTTCATCACCACATTTAACCTGTAAGCAATGAAAGTAAATGCCACAAAAACATATTTGACATCAAATACAATTCACGTTTTGAACCGATACGCACGTCTTATAACAAATGATACAAAAAGATAAAAAAAAAACAATTAATTAAAACTCTGGACCGAGGATCCCTTTTGCTGGAGATCACACTCAGCCCTCGTTTACCCCGGGGTAGTAGTGCGCTGAGCGGCACTTGTGACGGTCGGCAGGCGGCTCAAGTGGACTACCTCCTGGTCCAAGTAAGCAAGGACAGGCCGCGGGGTCTGAGACGCCAGCCTATCCTGGATTACTTGAACCAGGCTGCATCCAAGGGGCTCCCCTCTTGCACTACAGGCAGGAGGACGCGGTGCTGCCGGGCTCTCGTCAACGCAACGCAGGTGATGCTCTCAGGCTCGACTACAGCAAGGCACAAACAGGTTTGTGGTGCTTCCCAACATTTGGCTGTCGAGAACTATATAGACAAAGATCCCCCGTATAGCCTTAACAGACTGTAGGGGCAGGTGCTGTTAGCGAGCACCTATGAAGGCCCGAACGGTACACGAGGGGGTGGGTGGCCAGCAGCACGCCCGACCGCCTTTGTCTCCCCAGTGGCAATGTTTACACATCGCACCAGGTACTCATTTGAGGCTGAGTTGACCTAGGGGAGGCCCAGGACCGGTTCAGATAATCGTCACTATATAGAGAACCCCTTCACAGACACACTAAGTGCCCACATACCCCTACCAGCATACACTGCAAATCATTAAACAATTGAACGTTAACTCTTTTTTTCTTTACACGTCTAAAACACTAAACAACTGGACTCTGCTCATGAGATCCAGAGTTTGCTTGCTGAAAACAAATGCTGCTTAATACTACTCTGGAAAACCAATCGGCGAATGGGCATGGAGAAACACTGAACGGAGTTCTGCTTACACATGCTTTGACCCACGATGCTCCACAGAAAGTCACCAAACTAACCTCAAAATGGCACGCAAGACTGCCCTTCTAAAGGCGGACAACTGACCGAGTATTATTGCACGTCGTAAACAGGATCCTCGTTTAATGCGTATCGCATCACGGTCTTGTCCCACAAAGTTGCTAGATTTGTCTCCGGGTCGCGTGAAGACTCGGGAAAACCGCATTCGCCTCTAGGTGGCGCCACGCTCACGTAAGTGGCAGTGAAACGCCAGTGCAGCGAGTGCGGGTGCTTTGTGTCGGCGTTGATCATGAACATTGATGACGTTTTTCAAGTTTAGCCGAGTCTCCGCACCCGAAATATAAACAAATATTTATGTACACGGTACACCACATCCACCATACCTCTTACTATGCGTGTGGCCTTACTTTGTGGGAGCTTACGCCAAGTCTATCGGCGACCGGGAATCCAGTGCGAAGTTAAACCCTTTTTGTGTACAGCGAATTCTCGATTGCCCCCAGGGCAAAAGGGGGATTGGGAGTGAAAAGTAATCCGGATAAAATAAGACAAAAAACCACACAGAATGCAAAACACATGTAAATTAGGATATAAAGCCATGTGTAATTGACTGGGGGCGAGAAGACGTGGAATGTATCGTCTTTTTTTTATTACTCGTTAAGTTCATTGGTTTCCCCGTCGACAAGTTAGTGGTCACGTGGGAACTAAGCCTCTGACACTGGACGAGTGAGGAATTGCTAATAATTAAACCAACGCATGCATAAAGATACATTTTCGCAAGCACGGTTAATCTGAAACCTGAATAATAAACAGTTAACTGTGATCTGCTTTGCCAGCTGTGTAGTTCATTATATCTGCTTGTATTGTTGAAAAGTATAGATTTTTCTGTCCTGACCTGGTGCCAAAATATCTAAGTGAGAAAGGTATGCCCGCGCGCGTGAAGAACGGCCCTTTCAAAGAATATGATGCAATGTAATGTTGCGAATAGAGGCTGCTATCTAATATTCACCTGATGAACCGTTCCATCAATTTCCACGGGCACGATGAAGTCCGCATTGTTGACAGGCTGTGATAAATCAAGCACACAACAAACAAAAAACAACAGATGAAATAAATAAGTTTAACATTTTATTTATGCTTTCATTTTAACAAGGGAGTGGGCATGGGCAAATAAAGCTGTGCACAGGCCCTGTCAATCATGTGAGGGCTCATTATTTATACAGGCACAGCGCTCACAAAGTGTGATGCGTCAGCAACAGTTACTGGGGTCGCATCAGTGAAGAACATCCCATGTGCAATGAATGCACCGAATTAATGATGCATGGTACAAAGCCACGAATCAAACGCAGGTGGGTGCGACTGTAACACAATACATAAACCATCACTCCCCACATACACAAGCAAAACCCATAAAAATCCCCCATGTAGCCATACAGACTTTTGGGGTATGATGAGGGGATGTTTTGGCCAGCACTACGCCTGGCTGCCTTTTCCTTTCTAGTGCTGATGTGTACACACACTGGGTAAGATATTCATTTAATATCACTAGATCAAGGCAAGAACCAGGAGAAGTTTTTTTTCTGCCTCCTCACCGCCTCATTAATGTCGTTTCTCGTTTGTTCCGATTCAGTTAGAGTTTTGGTCACTCCATTTACCTAAATAAAAAAAGCATATTATTTGAATACCATTTGTATAATAAACAAAGGATTCGCACACACCAAAAAAGATGCATGCATGTATCGTCTTAAGCGTAAGAGTAAACATTAATCATTAAAATTGGGGCAAGGTGCCATCCCCCCGGCCAGCACCGGCCCCCACCAAACTGTGCGCCAACTGCTTGCTTCATTTCCCACAATTTCGGCTGCACGTTTCGACGAAGCGCCACCCTCAGGAAGAGTGCCCGGCACGCCTCATACTGTGCCCGCCGTGCCCTTGTTACGGCACTGCACATACCGCTCATCCTTGGGAAACGCAAACCAAAGTTGGTACACACACGCGCGATGCTCGTACATAAACACACACGCGACACTGGTAGACACACACACGACGCTTGGTACACACACACACACACAACGCTGGTCAGTGCCCATCCATCCGACGTGCGCCTGTTATCCCAAGCCCATCACAACCCCCTGCAAAGGGCCACCTCCTGATCTCACCAGAGCCTGGGACAGTGGTTACCAGGTTACATCAACAGGCTAACCGGTCACCATTTATGTTGCAGCGGGTTTGTGGCCAGGTCTATTTACGTCCCCCTGCTTTAAAGTTGAGTGTGAGCAACAAACCACACGTGCAAGCTCCGCTCTCAGGAATATTTTTTCGGGGTTTCCAAGGCGACCTTGTTAGCGATACTTGTCAGGGGATCACAGCTGTCAGTAATCATCACTTTAGGAGCGTGACAATAAATGGGTTAGTGTGGGGTCATTGTGCAGATCTATAGCCGACTTCCTGTTCACTCTAATTATTTGAGTGCATGTCCATACTTAAATGATACACCGATCCATTTATAGACACCCCACGGATTTCTAATGACCCTCTTGTTATCTTAACAGGTAATTGAATATTATAAAAGTGATGGCTCCATTTATGACACTGGAGAGTGCTAAAAGATGTAGTAACTGTACAGAGATTAACGAGAGACACATCGAGGCTCCAAAATAAAATGTATTTTTAAAATATAATTTCTCCCAATTATCTTAGTGAGCTATTTACAAGTGGATTTTTCAATAAATCGATTTTAAGGAAATGTTCAGTAGCCGATGACCGTAAAGACATTTCACAGAGGGAACCAAAACTTTCCACCAGCTTGCCAGGAGCCAGCGGACAATATCTATGTGCCGGTCCGCGATGGGGGCCACACCTTGAAGGAGCTGTGCACCAGCGTCTCGTCCAGGTCAATGACGATGCACTTCTTGCCTCTGTCCGAATGGTTGACCTCTGGCAGCAGTGACTTGTTTGGGGGCTGCAGCGGGGGCGCGGGAGAGGAAGGGAACGACAGGGCAATGAGAAAATCAATGAGACCCTCCAGCATCAGTGTAATTGAGCGCATGCAGATGCAACCACATAACACATGCGTACAGACGGACGTGCAAACACATACATTCCTATTTACATAAATGCTAGTCCATGTACACACTCGCGCATACGCGTGTACATACATGTGTACAGACGCATGTAGATATATATAGATTTTATTTATTTCTGCAGGAAGGGCCCAATAAGCTGTTCTGTTTCATGGGCGCCCTGGGATAGTACAGATGTCGTACAGTACAGATCCTAGATACATTTGTGTACATTGGCACGCATGCATGTGTGCATGTGTACATGCATGCATACACACGCATTCACATGTACATGAATACACATGAATACAAAGACAAAGATCCCCCGTATAGCATTAACAGATACTTTGGGCCACTGCTGTTCACGAGCACCTATTAAGGCCAGCACAGCACATGAGGGGGTGGGTGGCCAGCAAACAAGCCTGTTTTATATTTTATTATTTTATTGTTTCCCTTCAACGTGACTTTACCGAAAGAGCTAAGAATATGAATAAGCCTGGTCGTATTTATATCCTTAGTGGCATTATTTACACATCACATCAGGAACTCATTTGAGGCTAAGCTGACCTAGGGAAGGGCCAGGGCCGGTTCAGATAGTCGTCACTGGTGTTGGCCATGAATGGTAATCGAACATACGTTTGCGAGTTTGTAGCACAGAGTGCTATCTGCTACACTACAGCTCGCCACATTAATAGACACACACACACAAATACAATGAATGGAATGCATCCAATAGGATATCCATCAAGGAGAAGCAGCGATTAACTCAGTTTGTGTGTAGGTGGTAGACAGTTTATTACATCGCAGGATCGTGAGAGGTGGCACCAGCTCAGGGGAGGCCTTCTTCCAGCAGTGGATTAACCATGGCTAGTAACGGTGGTGACACACAAATATAACGATGCACATGCACCCACACGCATACACTTACAACACACACTTATACAAAGACAGAGATCTCCCCGTATATCCTTCAAGAGGCTGGTGGGGCGCAAGTGCTGTTAGCGAACGCTGTTAGGGCCAACACGGCACACGAGGGGGTGGTGTGGCCAGAGCCACGGACGACCGCATCTGTAGCCCCATTTGTGATGTTTACACATTTCACCAGGTACTCCTTTAGGGCTAAGTCAACACATACACACATATAGCAGCAGCCACCCACTACATTGAACATGATACAACACACATATACACGAGTGCAATTACACATTCATGCTCTCGTGAATGTACACGTGGAGCATTCAAACAATTTTGACTGATTTCACAACAAAAATCCACAAAAAACCTACGGGCACTTCACGAGGGTCATGCTAAAACCCATCAAACCTCCACATGCGACCTCACAAAACGTAGCCGTTCGAACAAAGCGTTAATTCGCATGCAGGACAAAGCTGCCCACCCAGATTTTGTGGACAAAATGTATCGGACACAGCGCACGCGTGACATTTTGCACCATTTTGGTGTTTTTATTTTTAGTTTCTACGGTCGTGGTAAATGACAAGAATGGTGCAAAATTGACACACTTAAAGAAAACTACCCCAACTCATTCCAGAAAATGATTTCAATTCATATACAATCTTCACAATTTTCATTTTAACATTACTTTACAATCGTTTGTTTTTATTTAAATTGGTGTGGAAATCAAATGTTTTATAAAACGCCCATTCATAAAAGATTTCACTTCACCTGGACCAAATTGAATGCGAACAAAAAGCAATAAAAACATTTTTTTATCCGAATTATTTTGTTTGTAAACATAAGCAGCGCTGGAAGACCCAGCAGTGCCAGGGCCAACAAAAACAGTGCACGCGAGCATTATGCACGATCCTCATCCACAGCAGCCACCCACGACGGCCAAGCGCCTCCTCCTCCAACGCGGCCTCACTCGCTTTCCCCCCACAACGGGCGCCTCCCCCCACCACCCTGACAGCCGAGTCACGCTTGAAGCCACCACACACAGAAGCCCCTCAAGTCAGCGCTCCTACTCCCCACAGCCGCCCGGTTCCCCTCCGATCAACCTTCCTCCACCCCCCAACCGCCTCCTCCCTCTCTCCCTCCCTCAACATCACTCCCTCGCTCCCTCCACATTACTCCCTCATCCCCTCCACATCACTCCCTCACTCCCTCCACATCACTCCCTCCCCTCCGCAGCAATCGAAAATAGCACATTCCATGTCACCATGCCAACAGCCGCACCCCAACAAGCAGCCCTCCGTGAATATCGAGCCCCACCCCCCCAACCCACGCTATAACCCCCCCCCCCCCCCCTTTGACTTCCGAGAGATGGAACAGCCCAGATACGTACACAGACGAGCTGCAGGACTTGGAGCTGCTCTGGGTAGACCTTTTGCAGGAAGGAATAAAAAAACAAACACACAGAGGGATAACCAGAGACAAGATGAAGGGCTCTGAGGAGGATAAAACGAGGCATGTTTCTAGATGTTTTTAAGATGAGGAAATCTCCAATAGTGGAAATATAATTACTTATTACCACTAATCACAAAGAGAAAGATGCTAAACTAATCGCTATGCTGGGCTAATCCTGTTTCCAGGATGAACGAGGAACAATCAACATTTTTTTTTTGTAAACCAAGAAGATGTAATTTACTCCAAAAATACAACTGCAGGATGAAGTCACTATGACAGTATACCGCTCGTTGTTCCTGCTCTCCTACACAACGAAGCATCAAGCAAATGGACGACTGCGAGAAGGAGCTTTTTCATTATATGGCGATCATGGATTATCTGCCCAAGAGAGAGTTCCTTCTCTGTGGGGTCTCCCCAACCTTACACGGCTCCTGACAATTAACTGCCACCCAGATCAGAGATTGCCAATCCAAACGCACCGAGGGTTAGGGCAACTGGATTGATTTGTGGACAACCGGATTGATTTGTGGGCAAACCTGATCGCCACTGAGCCCGGCGTCCACTGAATGATCATTCAGTGCCCAAAAGCTGTCAGCAATTTCTGCTAACAACCGCCAGAGTATACCATTGGCTGTTAAGTGCACGCTATGGATCCTACCAAACAATCTGTACGAGTTGGCCCTGTGGCTATTGTCACACTTAATTTGCGCCATTTCTACATTTTGATAACTACCCAAAAATAAACTTAGGAAAATACGAGTGAATAAAGGCAAAATAACACGGTTGCTTATGGCTACCGCCGACTCTAAAAAACACATTGATCTCAGTGTGCAATTATCTGGTTAAGCAAGAGGCATTTAATAGAGCTACATTGAAAAATTCATTTACCAACAACTTCTGGCCTCTTCACTCAAGACTAGTGTGACACATACAAACAAAAGCCATTCGTCAAAAGAGAGAGGAAACAAATAGAAATGTTGAACAAAAATCAATACTAAAATTCTAGAACCACCACACAGCGACCTGTAATTAAACACACCAGGTTCTCACTTGCAGTGAGTTGATGGTCTCAGCCCATTGACCAATGGCTGCACAAAGCAAGCATCATGATAAATTTGGTTCTGTACTTAATTTGGATAAATATCAGCTCTGAAAGTTAAATGTCAGTTTGACGGTGATATAATGATGAACATTACTCTGGAGGTGTGGGTAGAAAAATTCTGGCCTCTACCGTGTATACCATAGGTCACTTAAAGGGATCTCAGACATAGCTCTGCGATATCCACTTCCGTCGGCTGTTCTCTAACACGTTAATCGAGATCTGCGAGAGATCTCAATGGATACTTCGTCTTGTGGCATGACGCCGACATATTTAAGAAAAATAAATAAATGTAAACTCAGAAGGGGAGGAGTTTCTCCGGGACCGCCCGTAGCCTTCCACAGAACACCTCACCTTCGTGACGACGCCATTCTCCTCAGGAGGGCCGCAGCCGTTGTTGTTGTTGTTTGGCACCGGCGATGTGGGCACGGATGCTTGGCGCGGCTCACCATGGCCGTGCCGCTTGCCCAAGCAGCAGAGCAGCGAGTTGAGCAGGCAGCGACCACGCGCTTTCTTGGGCTTCACCTGGGACACGGCTGGACGACACGCACCGGAGCACCCTCGCGTTATCACCATCGTTGTCATTGTTGTCATCATAATCTTCATGATTGTCATCATCATCGCCGTCATCTTCATCATGATTTTAATCAACATTATTATTGCCATCATCGATGTCACAATCAACAGCATTATCATCGTCTTCATTACTGTCAGAATTATTTTTACTGCGGTTTCTTTTTTCAAGGCTAAGCTGTCTCTGAGCTCAAATGAATGTTGCGTGTTGTTCATCTACACTGACAGTTATGAAACATTTGCAGATATTCCACATTCATTTGCAGACACGAATGAGAATCGTTTTGTAGGAAGTCGGAAGAGTTTGAATTTGAAATGTGCACATAACAAATGTGTCAATTCCAACACGTATCAACTAACCATGCGTATGCGTTATTAACCAACGATTAGACAACAATCGTGGATTACAAACGCACAAAGATACATTTAAAGATAATATAAAATTACATGTGAAAATTAGAATGTTGCATGGTGCAAATACATTTTTTGTTAGAATAACAATAATAATAAGCAAACTTATTTGTCCAGGGGTCATTATTTCAGAGACAACTTCATGAGGCCGAGGGCTGAGGCGATGCGCGAGTGTAGAGGTGCCGATTTAACAGCACAACAGAGAATAAACATACGTCATACAAACTTCATCATTTTATTTTCATAGTTCGTATCCAAAAACCAACAACACAGAAACTGTGGAATAGTGCTCATGATTGATCCAGTTTTGAAAGCATGTGGCGCACATCCCTCAGCGATGACACTTACTTTAGTAAATCTACCACTAAATTTTGATTTAAAGCTTTCGTGACTGCAGTAATTCATATTCTTAGTTTTTTCGGTAAAGTCACGTTGAAGAGAAACAACAAAATAACAAAATATATATAAAACAATAAAAAATTCTCACGACGTTTCGACCATAACTCAAACGGTCATCATCAGGTGTGTCGGTTTGCATAAATTTATTTTGAAAACGGCATATTTATTTATATATATAAAAATAACGTTTGCGTCACGCGCAACGATGGCAGTTTGCCAGGACTAGTCCATCTATTTTTTGAAAAGAGGAGGGGGGAGACGAAATTTGTTTTTATGTATGCTGTCTGAAAGGCACTGTAAGCGTGAACAATCAATCAAGAACTGAAATGATTTATCAAATCTTTCCAATGATTGCTAAGATAGAATCCATCTTCTCGGTTGAAATTGTCTCTGTGTTTGTATATGTGGATAGCCTCATGAACGAATCTCTCATGGAAGCCAGATGGCTTACAAAGAACCTCCGTCTTGGAAAAGTCAATGGCATGTGAGCCTACTGAATTAGAACAATGATCTGCTACGGCCGAGGTGTTGGTCCTACCGTGTTTAAGGTCTGCTTTATGTTCACGAATGCGGTCCGAGATATGGCGTTTGGTTTCTCCAATGTAACTACTACCACAGAGGCAACTTAGTTTGTAGACACCAGGGTATTGTATGTCCGGAATCACATCTTTTACAGACGGAACCAGATCACGGATTTTATGTAATGTGTTGAAACGGACCTGGATCTTGTGTTTATTCAAGATTTTGGAGATCTTTTTTGTGATCCCAGCAATGTAGGGTAAAGTGATGGTTTTGAAAGGCTCCTCAAGAGGGTTCTTCTTCATGGTTTGAGTGATAGCTTTGCGGATTGTATAGTCGGAGTAACCATTAGCCCTAAGAGCTTGGTGTACGTGCTTGAGTTCACTGCTTATGTGTTCCTGGTCGGATATGCATTGGGCTATCACTCAAACCATGAAGAAGAACCCTCTTGAGGAGCCTTTCAAAACCATCACTTTACCCTACATTGCTGGGATCACAAAAAAGATCTCCAAAATCTTGAATAAACACAAGATCCAGGTCCGTTTCAACACATTACATAAAATCCGTGATCTGGTTCCGTCTGTAAAAGATGTGATTCCGGACATACAATACCCTGGTGTCTACAAACTAAGTTGCCTCTGTGGTAGTAGTTACATTGGAGAAACCAAACGCCATATCTCGGACCGCATTCGTGAACATAAAGCAGACCTTAAACACGGTAGGACCAACACCTCGGCCGTAGCAGATCATTGTTCTAATTCAGTAGGCTCACATGCCATTGACTTTTCCAAGACGGAGGTTCTTTGTAAGCCATCTGGCTTCCATGAGAGATTCGTTCATGAGGCTATCCACATATACAAACACAGAGACAATTTCAACCGAGAAGATGGATTCTATCTTAGCAATCATTGGAAAGATTTGATAAATCATTTCAGTTCTTGATTGATTGTTCACGCTTACAGTGCCTTTCAGACAGCATACATAAAAACAAATTTCGTCTCCCCCCTCCTCTTTTCAAAAAATAGATGGACTAGTCCTGGCAAACTGCCATCGTTGCGCGTGACGCAAACGTTATTTTTATATATATAAATAAATATGCCGTTTTCAAAATAAATTTATGCAAACCGACACACCTGATGATGACCGTTTGAGTTATGGTCGAAACGTCGTGAGAATTTTTTATTGTTTTATATATATTTTGTTATTTTGTTGTTTCTCTTCAACGTGACTTTACCGAAAAAACTAAGAATATGAATTACTGCAGTCACGAAAGCTTTAAATCAAAATTTAATCGCCTCTACGGGGAGGGTTTTCACATAACTTTAAGATCTTTCAACAAACTCCGGGATAAGAAAGCTCAGCTGATCGAGTCTCTCACCTTCCTGAAGAGATGCCGCGACTCTGGGGTAATACCAATCGCATTTACACTCACCTCTGCTACTGTAACTTCTTCTAATGCGAAACGAATTCTTTTCAAAACTAGCTTAGCTCTTATCTCAGAAAAAATCAGACTTATACGCACAGAACTAGATCAGTTAGACAAGACACTCTACAAATCACACTTATCATTGACGGCAATAATGTCCACATCGGATTGGGAACATGTAGACAATATGACTGCCTCTTCAGCTGCTACTATGTCGACCAAATGTAAGGAAAACCTGATTTCCAAATTTAACCTCCTCTTAAACAAAAGACCGGACCCACACACCAAAAAGTTAGACGTTAATAAAGTCGTAATTAATCGCAGTAACAGTTCTATTTCCGATGGTCTGAAATCCGTTTTAGCTAAAGGTCTAAACTTTGCAGTCACACCTAAACACATACCAGTTAATGATATAATTGCCCAAGTAGACGTTGCTCTCAGGGGCCTGGGTCACATCGCTGCAGACGTAGCAAGATCTGAAATCGCTGCAACCCTCAAAAACGCTAAGATGCCAGCTAGCAACCTCAGCAAAGATGAGCGTTTTGAATTATATAAATTAAAAAAGAGGAATGATATTGTAGTTCTCTCAGCTGACAAAGGCAATGCTACTGTTATCATGGATAAAATAGAATACAACAACAAAATTAAAGAATTACTCGACGATGGTAGTTATACAAAAATAAAAAGAGATCCCACCAACAGCCTCGTCACACAAACCAACAAAATAATTTCTGATTCAACCGCATTAATTGATCAATCTAAACAGTTTTCGTTGAAACCTTCTGCTGCCAGGCCACCAAGATTATACGGCTTACCAAAAATACATAAAGTTGATACACCTCTTCGTCCCATAGTCTCTACTATCAGCTCCCCCACCTACAAACTAGCTCGTTTTTTGTCTGAAATCCTGCGTCCTTTCACTGGAAAGACCACCTCTGCGGTACAAAATTCTACTCACCTGGTATCAACAATCAAGGGTATTTCCCTGTCCCCAGACGACCTGCTTGTCAGTTTTGATGTAGTTTCCTTATTCACCAAGGTTCCTGTACCTGACACCATTGCAATCATTGAAGACTTGGTTCATCAAGGACTAAACACTGAGGTACCCCCCCTGGTGAGACACTGTTTAACCAATACATACTTCACTTGGAATGGAACTTTCTACAAACAAACTGAGGGCACCCCAATGGGCTCCCCCCTTTCTCCAGTTATAGCTAACATTTTCATGGAGAAATTTGAGACTGACGCCATCCAGACTGCCACTCTGCGCCCAACCTTATGGAAGAGGTACGTGGATGACACTTTTGTCATCTGGCCACATGGCCGGCCTGCTCTAGACAAATTCTTCGACCACATCAATTCCATACACCCAGCCATCAGATTTACCATGGAAGTCGAAATAGATGGCAAGATACCTTTTTTGGATGTCCTAATTAAAAAGAGACCTGATGGTTCAATGAGCCACTCTGTCTACAGGAAAGCTACCCATACGGATGCTTATCTGAAACCGGATTCCCACCACCATCCATCACAGAAGAATTCTCTCATCAAGACTCTGTATCATAGAGCCCAATGCATATCCGACCAGGAACACATAAGCAGTGAACTCAAGCACGTACACCAAGCTCTTAGGGCTAATGGTTACTCCGACTATACAATCCGCAAAGCTATCACTCAAACCATGAAGAAGAACCCTCTTGAGGAGCCTTTCAAAACCATCACTTTACCCTACATTGCTGGGATCACAAAAAAGATCTCCAAAATCTTGAATAAACACAAGATCCAGGTCCGTTTCAACACATTACATAAAATCCGTGATCTGGTTCCGTCTGTAAAAGATGTGATTCCGGACATACAATACCCTGGTGTCTACAAACTAAGTTGCCTCTGTGGTAGTAGTTACATTGGAGAAACCAAACGCCATATCTCGGACCGCATTCGTGAACATAAAGCAGACCTTAAACACGGTAGGACCAACACCTCGGCCGTAGCAGATCATTGTTCTAATTCAGTAGGCTCACATGCCATTGACTTTTCCAAGACGGAGGTTCTTTGTAAGCCATCTGGCTTCCATGAGAGATTCGTTCATGAGGCTATCCACATATACAAACACAGAGACAATTTCAACCGAGAAGATGGATTCTATCTTAGCAATCATTGGAAAGATTTGATAAATCATTTCAGTTCTTGATTGATTGTTCACGCTTA